CAACACGCCGGCCGATCAGTATCGTCTCCCAAGCCTCAAATCCTTCAAGCATTACAGCACCATGCCCGAGTGTATCGAAGACATGGATCTCCAGCCTAACACCTATGTGATCATTGATGACATCAGAGTGATGGGTTTGAAGCACGGCAGCCAAAGAGAGTGTCTCTACAAGTTCTTCACCATGTACAGTCATCATCATAAGTTGAACGTGTTCTTTCTCTCTCAGAGCTTTGATAACATTAAGGACATGAAGATCAATGCAAACTTTATGTATCTATTTCGCTTCACTGATAAAAGCAATATCAAGCGTTATCTCAATACTCTGTTTGGTGGTCTGTGCACGAAGTCATCCATTATCTTTAGATTGTATGAGAAGTTATTGGCGGTGTGTCGCAGACCTATCCTAACCATTGATTGCTCTTCTAATCAGTACTACACGTATTGCGAAGACACTGCATTAAAGGTGACTTTTGAATAAAAACCTCGTTGATGTGTGTGTGTGTGTGTGTGTGTACGATATTAGTCGAAGAGTTAACCGAAAAGTTAGCCGAAAAGTTAGCCGAAAAGTTAGCCGAAAAGTTAGCCGAAAAGTTAGCCGAAAAGTTAGCCGAAAAGTTAGCCGAAAAGTTAGCCGAAAAGTTAGCCACAACATTGAAAAAAATTCCAATCATGAATAAGAATGGAGCATCTTACGGTGAAATTCTCAAATGGGCTACCGAGTAGTATACAAAGAGTGGGACTCAGAAAGGGATCCTTCTCGATACCCAAGCGTAAAAGGTTGCAAACCTTGCAGTTTATGACGAAACATCCTCAACACATCATTAAGAAGAGAGCAAATTCGTGGGAAGTTCTCGGTATACCACCACTCATGCGGCAAAAAGGAGGTAATAACTACAATGCATACTTGAAAAGCGTTAAGAAAGTTCTTTCCCAAGTACCAGATCACAGTTTGAGCACCTCCACCCTGTTGGAACTGCAAGCCGATCCGCGAGTAAAGCGTCTATATGACACCCACTTCAAAAACAATCCCGATCACATCAGTTACCCGTCTGTGAGAAATGTGATTGCATCCAACATACTCAACTATGATTCCACTACCGATCAAGTTCGCGATTCCGTTTCAGATGTCAGGAAGAAGAGAAAGGCACCTTTAACATCGGTGCCTTTCAATCTACTACAAGATCATGAATTCGACCGATGGATCCTGCAAATCCTGGACAGTTTCCTCCGGCATACAAATATACCGGTAACCTTTTTGAAGAGCAACTATTTCACAAGCCGATCACAACTGCTGCAACTCTACGATGAAGATCGACTGAGGTTCAGGAGTCGGGTGGAAGCGGCTGCGGATGCCCTGAAGACGCAGACGATGAACGACTACACTACTCTGGTCAACGAGACGAATCGCATCTACATGTCCAGGTACCCGTTTGCAGCCATAGCAGGTGCCATGGGAATCAACAAACACGTCGATGGGTTCCTTCGATCAGAACGAAAGATTCAGGAACTAACCACCCTTGTGATAGCTATACCGGGATCACAGCTCAAGTTTCAAGATCTCAACGATATGACTTCCACCTATGGTAGAACAACAGAAGCAAAATTGATCCATCCCGAGCATTTCATGATCAGAGCACAAAAGGTGATGGTGGACGATGCATCATTCATTCAACAGGTGCTGAAGGACAAAAGCAGGATCACTCGTATCATCAAGGATATCCTGAGCGGACGCTCCATGTGATCACGTGCCAAATATTTTCAGGCTATGATCAAGAATGGACTATCCTCTCAGCAGTGCCGATATCAAAGGAAGATTGAATGGTGTCGGAGGGTTCGTGGGCTGCACGAGTTACGACCTCTTGCCACCCTTGAACAATGGAGACTTTTGTATCGTCAACACCGACAACGTTCTACCGGTGTACGATGCAACGGAAGGCGGACATCATTGGTTGACCGTGTGTCGCGAGCAAAACGTGATCCTGGTTTTCGACAGTTTCGGACGCAGTCTATACACTATGGAGCAAGATTACACTGAACCTGCACTGTGCGATTTCTTTAAAGAAGCCTACGCAGACTGTAAGATCATCACCAACACCCAAGCCGTTCAAGACAGAAGCACAGCAGTATGTGGATGGTATGCCATATTGATGGGAAAGCTATTTTCCAAATATGGTCTGGATGAAGCACTTCGAATTTTCCGAAGAGTCTTTGATGATGACGAAAAGCTGGAAAACGATCAACTGGTTCTCAGTTCAGGTGCCCTGGAAGGTGCTGGAGCCTTTTGGGACAACAAAGTGCAAAAGGCAATTCAGGATGGAAGACGGAAGAAGAAGACAGAACCCGCACAGTTCCATACGAAACTGGCTAACGAATTGCACAAGCCCAGACGAGTGCATTTCAAAAGACGCAAGGTGAAGAGCAGAGCAATTGACCATATATGGAGTGCAGATCTCGTGGATATGCAACGGTTTGCCCGAAGCAATAAGAACATCAAATTCCTGCTAACAGTCATCGACTTATACAGCCGCTATGCCTGGGCAATGCCTTTGAAATCGAAGACGGGTACCGCCGTGAGAGATGCGTTCGATAAGATTGTCAGTACATCCGGAAGGACACCGCTAAAACTCTGGGTAGACGAAGGCAAGGAATTCTACAATGCCCCCATGAAACGATGGTTATCACAACACAACGTCATCATGTACAGCACCCATAACGAGGGTAAAGCGGTGGTGGTCGAGCGCTTCAATAGAACGTTGAAGGCAAGAATGTGGCGTCAGATGGTTATCACAACACAACGTCATCATGTACAGCACCCATAACGAGGGTAAAGCGGTGGTGGTCGAGCGCTTCAATAGAACGTTGAAGGCAAGAATGTGGCGTCACTTTACAGAGAAATCCACGAACAGGTACCTCAATGTCCTACCTCATCTACTAGACCGCTACAACCAGTCAAAGCATAGAAGCATTGGGATGACACCTCACGAAGCATCGAACGGTAGAATACCAAAAGATGCAGATCAACAAGACCCCCTGCAGTCAAAACCCAAGTTCAAAGTGGGTGACGAGGTGCGCCTAACCGTATCTAAGCGTCATTTCGAGAAGGGCTACACTGCGAACTGGACGGAGGAAGTATTCGAGGTGGATGAAATCCTATCAACATCACCACACACCTACAGGATTCGTGATCTGATGGGAGAACACATCATCGGATCGTTTTACGAAGCAGAACTGCAACACGCCAGAGAGACCGGTTTGAGATTCGACAAGGTGTTAAAATACAACAAGGATCAACGTCTTGTGCAATGGAAAGGCTACACAGATAATAAATTCAATACCTGGCTCACAAAGAAGGATGTGAACAGTCTTCGGTCATGATTCACAATGTCATTCATAATGAAAAATAAAAAATAAATGATTGAGTGCTATGTACAAGCTGATGGCGTTCATGAGAATTATCGCATGAGTATGAGGGGTATACTGCTGGACACTTTCACGAGTGCGTTAGCACGACGAAAAATATAAGGGATACGGTATGTACAGAGTACGAATGGTATAATCCAGTTATCCCATGTACTATTCCAAATAGAGCGCGATCAGCACTAAGACATGTATCGATTATCCCACGAGTACGAGCAAGAGTACATGTACTCTTGGTACGAGGGGTACACCGCTAGATATTTTCATGAGTGCGTCAGCACGATTGAAAATATAATGGGTACGGTATGCACAGAGTACGAATGGTATAATCCATTTATCCCATGTACTATCCCAAATAGAGCGTGATCAGCACTAACATCTCCCTTATTTACTCTGTCGCAAGACCCGGGGAATATTCGTGCTCCGAGCGGGGAATATCGCTCTATTGACAGTTGAGTCCTCTTTCCAAGATTCCTTTTGAATTCCTCTCTACCATCTCTGTGTGAGAAGAGACCACGGAATTCCGTATATGTATAGCATCCACCGATCGTGCAGTTCGCTGTGATGTCATTGCACAGTGTATGTATATTATGTGCATGTGTGTGTGTGTGTGTTTGTGTGGTACATGATGCATCCTACAATCCACTGTGACGTCAATGCACACTCCATGATGTGCGCATCCATGGTCCGTGTGCCTTACGTATTTCCACCCCTGAAAATATATGAAAATCAAGTACTATGAGAGTAAGAATTATATGAGCAGAAAGCTAGAAAAATCCTCCGTCTCATCGACCTTTCAATAGAAGAAAGGCATTCACATCTCAATCTGATATCATAGTCGAAAGATTCCAAACCCGAACAAAAAAGACTCACCATGACGGGGGCGTCTTTCCGCTTTCGAAACACATCGTGTTCTCCAAGGTCGTCACCTCCCCGTGGCGTGACCCCTTGGTCTTGTTTGAGACGTCTAGACGTAGCCTTGTTTACAAAGGTCATCGCGGCGTGAACTTTGACCTCGAGGTGAAGTAGTCTCAACCTGCAGTTTCATTATCGACTCCTTCTTGCAGTGTGAAGAAGCTAAAATGGCGTGGACATTTTCTGAGACGTGCAGAGCAGAGAAATGGTATTTATTTTCATGCGATAATGAAGAGTTCTCAATCCGTCGCCTCAGTGCTAGCAAGACAACCAGGGATCTTGACCCGATGATAGCACATCCCAGAAGATTCGATATGTCACCACTCACTGCTGCTGAGTATATTATCTGCAGGGTCACCAGTCTGATCTTGAATGTGAAGAATAGGAAACAGCACCTTCCTAAAATCGTCATCGGTGGTGTGGAGGACTACGGAACTATTAGTGAGACTGATGATGGTGTCATACTGCGAAGGTGGACTGATGGTAGACACTCATTCTACAAGCTTAGTGACATGCGTGACGAACCGTGCTCTCAACACATCATCGACCTCTTCGCTGATGCAACCTATTTGGATTCCAGCGACGTAATGCAACTTGTCAAGGAGGTGAACGAAAAATGAAGTCTCTCGAGTTGATCGTGTGCGTGTACGACGTAGTACCAAGGCCGTTCAACTCCGTGCCGTTGCAACAAGAGTAACGCGGATTCGTGTGCGAGTTGGTACGATCGACATCGGCGACGATGGATTTATCTCCAAATTACCCGAGTCGACTGTTGACACGATGGCGGTGCAAAGGAGGTCGTCGACTGACAGTTCCATTGCTGACTGGGTGGAACCATTGGTGCACATCAGAGCGTCCGACAACTCCACCTCGTACTGCGTGTCACGGAAGAGATCATGGGTGAATCCATCCTCACACGTATTCGAAGAGTAAACTTTGTGGTCTCTCATCCAATACCAGCTTGATGAAATCAGGACAACAAGAACTGAATTGTACTACCTTTCTCCTCCACTCCATTGCGATATTCACTGTTCGTTCCATTATTCTTTGTAATGACATGTATCGTATCTATCAAGAACTGACCTTTCTGACGTGTGTGCGAGCAGGACCATTTTTGAAAAATTGCATGGGGAGGTGGGGTAGGTCACGGAAAAAACTTCATGATAAACACCATATTCAACATTCTACTTTTTATACCCACTCCCATCCGGGGCAAGGTGGCCCAAAAAAGTGAGATTCAAACCCACATGTGCACAACACATATTTTCAATAATACCCCATTTTTTGGGGTCAGGGCACCCCCTGGCACATATTTTTATCCGCAAAAAAACCGGGCCAAAAATTATTTTCACCGCAAAAATGGGGTACTATTAGTACCCCATTTTTCAATAATACCCCATTTTTTGGGACCCGGGCGCCCCCTGGCCCAGAACCCGCTCGTACATTCCTACTTACGCGTATGCGACACGGCAGTAGATCGACACTGCCTGGACTTGAGAGCTACAGCACAGCCTCAGTACAGGCCAGGCGCCAGTCGATCGCACTTGCAAGACAGCGCATTTTCACACTTTGCAGTTGACAGCGCACTGGCAAGTACAGTTTCCAATGGTTTCGCACCTTACTGAACCTGGGTCGCGGTCGCTTACAGCAGATTTGAATGCAGCCACCGTGCATGAAATCGCGGTCGCTGGTCGCGCACAGCAGATGGTCGCTCTGGACAGATCAGTTTGTATGTGAAACCGTCGGTGCACGGAAAATCGGTCGCTAACGGTAGATGGTCGCCTACAGCAGAGGTCGCTAACGGCAGATTTGACTGTACATGTACCGATGTTTGCACAACCCATATCACACCGGACTACTTCCATAGCATAATAACAATTCTCCTCGCGATGAGGGGCTTATCCTTATACCCAACCCTATTGTATACACCGTCAAACCTCGTTAGGACGAATTTCAAGGGACTGAACACGTTTGTTTGTCTTATCCGGAGTTCTTCTTATCCAGATCTGACAAAAAATTGATATGCATATCAAGTGGATTGTATTTGTGTGAAGGTGCATGGCACATGTACAGTAAAGCATTTATTCATAGTGTAAGCCAGCAACAGGTACCGTTAAGTCTTGTATAAAAGCCGCACTTGAATAGAAGCCGCCCTCGAATAGAAGCCGCAATTTTGGGCCCATCAAATCACACATAAGCCTGGTTTTAGTGTTGACATACATAGAAATACCTGTCTTGTATAGAAGCCTGTCTCATATAGAAGTCTGCAAAATGTAACCAAGAAAGTCAAAGAAGCCGCGGCTTTTATACAAGACTTTACGGTACATGCACTGTGAGTACAATATGCAATGACAGCATGTCTTCAGCCTTGTACTGTCGTGGACATCGGAAATCCAGTCGATGGACAGGGGCCGGTGCCCTTGGCGCGTACAGAACATGGCATGCAGCGTGTACAGTCATGTTTAGGTCGAAGCGACCGGTGCGGCGCTGTAGCGCATGTGTGTACTGCTTACCCACGGCTGCATGGCCAGCACCCTGGGGCCGCTAGACGTGCGACCGGATTTCCACGTCCACAACAGTAGCACGTTGTCTCGCCCGTACAAAAGACCTCGACCATCGGAAAAAAACTACAGCCAGCGCATGCACGTGGACCCATAGTTCGTACTACGCGCTGATTTTTTCTAATCATACTTGAAATTAGTTTGTCCTAACGAAAGTTCGCCGAACAGGAGTTTGTCTTAAACAAATGATTCTGACTCGATATGATGCCTGGCCAACCATAGGATTCGGCCTAATTCAATTCATACTGATGGAAAGTTCGCCTTATCAGTGTTCATCCTAACGAGGTTTGACTGTACGTGATTCACCGCGAACATGTCGATAATAACAACATAGTAGTAATATGGGTAACGAGAGCACAGTCCGCATACCGTAATACCAAGAGTAGATAAACAAGAGTGTGCAACTCCGGATCTCTCCTGCACAATCTGCAGATACCCCCGCCCATGGCGGAATTTTTTGTTGACGTCACCTTTTTTTTCAGAGAAACGCGCATTTCGCCGCAGAGCAGTGTGAGAGCACGTGCTGCGCACCGACCTTGTAGTGTACAGCCCGGCCAGGTGCACGAGGGAAAACGTTCCGAAAGACTCGCAGCGCGTGTGTTGTCGAAAAGATTACGTCAACAAAAAATTCCGCCGTGGGCCTACCCATCCGCGAGTTGCACACTCTTGTTTATCTACCCTTGGTAATACTGGTGAATACAGTGCACAGTGTCCACCGCCGACTTACATTGAATGAGATCTTGTTGAACGACAGTGGATCAGGCACGCGCCAGCCTTTGTTACTAATACCGATCTGAGCACAGAGCACACCAAGCAAATGCACACACGCACACAGACACGCACACAGACACACACGCGCGCGCGCGCGCACACACACACACACACACACACATTCACACACACGCACACACACACACGTGCACGCACACACACGCACACACGTGCGAGCATCATACAACAAAGTTCACCAGAGATCAGAATTCCTTATAAGCACATGCTTCAATCCATTTTTTAAATGCAACCTTAATCACACGCGGCAAGTGCATTAGTTAAGGCAAGAGCTGTTGTGTTACTTGGAGACAATACCATATACATTCTCTTAGTCTTACCATCAGATGTGACAGCTCCTTAAACTGATATGCTTTCTGTAGACATGAACACGTGCACATGCACACACACACACACACACACACACACACACACACACACACACACACACACACACACACACACACACACACACACACACACACACACACACACACACCAAGGGCTCAGAGAATCAGAAATACAGGCCACACCATTCACCAACAACAAACTGCAGGCCAGCAACCGCAAGTAACCACCATCTCTTCCAGGCTTGAGCTTGGAGCTATTCAATAAACAACTTCCTTGACGGCTGAAAGAATACAGCAGCTAGCAACAGCACACGCCACACTCTCTAAGATAAAGCTTCTTTCAGAACAAGAATAAAGCTCTGGCCTTGCAGCTAGGTTTTGCAATGGCTCGGTCTAGAAAATAAAATAGATACACAATCAGGCATGCTCGCCAAATTATGATAAAGATTTCTTCAGCCAAACTCGGCCTAAACTGGGTTTGGAAAAGCCCGCACCTCACTCAAATTTCTGAATGAACCGTAGGAGCCAAATTATTCGGACGTCCATCTTATAAATGAAACCTGGGTGTTGGAAGCGGCACTGACTAAAAACACCTACACATCGCCATGCTGTGAGTCATCAGCCCAGTGTGGTGTGACGTTCAGCAACATTGCACCAAGCAACATACTTAAGAGTGCAGTACAGGGAAAGTGTGAGGCAAGAGGTGAGAACATTACAAGGAAAGCGAGAGGGCCAACACCACAGAAACGAAGCAACGCGACTGTGTAAACTAGTGCCGTTCGCACGCAACTACATGTACTTCACAGGAGTCCTCATGTCAGATTTTTCTACTATCACCTCTCTATCTCTCTCTAACACCATGAGATGGTGACCTCAGAGGTGGAAATCTTGAAACACACTTGTAACATTCTATTAATGTACAAGTTAGATAGTTTCCTAACCACAACTAAAACAGCACTGTCATTATGTGCCATTCTAGTTTCTGGGACCATGATTTTCAAACCAAAACCACACTCGAGAAGTGAAAACAAAGAACAACAAAAAGAACAGAAAGCCTGCACATGGCATAAAGAATCCAAGATGGGTGCCGTGACATCATCAGAGTCTACAGTGAAAGGAAAAAAGGAATGAGTTGCTGAGTCCGGGGTTTGAACCTGTGAGAGGCGATTTGTATGAAACCGTAAACTTAGGTAAAACTACAACTTGGGAAAGACAACAAGATGAGAGGACTAGTATTAAATTACTATCTTGGAATGCCATACACTGTACTCGTACACGTACAGAAAACCTGGTTTTTAAGCGACAACCCTACGGTGCAAGCAAAAGCGATCGTTAAAGCCAGGTGGTCTTTAGAACCAGGCCCCACAGTATGTTTGTGTAGAACTGTCGGTGCATGGAAAAGCGGTCGTTAAGAGCAGGTGGTCGCTAAACCCAGAGGTCACTTACACCAGATTTTACTGTACTTCAAGTAGACGCGCGAACTTTTTGTTTGTTTCTTTCTTTCATTCGAATTCGTTTAGAGCACAGGCAATTCTGCCTTCTCACCAGAGGAAAAAACCTCCGGTTCCTACTAAGAACGAACTAAAAGTAGCTGATTTGAGGGGAGTAAAGCGCAGCCACACTTGAAGAAAAATAGCACATCGCTTTGTAGCTAGCGCTGAGCTTTCATGGTCGGTTTGAGGAAGCTGCAATCCATGCTTGTCGTGGGACATTCATCATGGTACGAGTTCCATAGAAACAGTTGAGATAAATGTGAAGAAACAAGGCTGACTAGACACCAGCTAAGTACACGAAATTTAAACAGAGAGGTTCCAGGCTGTCCAATAGAGTGCTCAATGCCGAAAGGCAGAGCTAGGTCCAACAAGAATAAGAGTGAAAGGATGAAAAAAAGTGTTTTACTCCGAGTTTCATGCACTAAGCGACCATGCGTGAAACTCGGAGTAAAACACTTTTTTATCCTCTTATTCGTGTTACACGGAGTTTGGGTGGGTTAGATGGTCAACTTACCGGAGTACGGATAGTGTAGACGTTGTAGTGGCGGCGAAGGAAGTTCACTCGTTCGTTGGACACCTCATCGGCCGTCAGCCAGAAATGAGGCCCGACCTCACTGTAAGCATCCACATCAGATATCCATGTGATGGAACAGAAAGAAAGAGGTTGTTTAAAATATACGCGAGTTGTTGCCATATCCGAGGTTGTTTAGTATACACGAGTTGTTGCCATATCCGAGGTTGTTATTTGCAAGGTTGACTATACCCTAAGGACATTATTCGACGGCAACACTGACAACAAACGGATGAAAGCAGTTCAAATACAAGTAAAGTTATTTAGAAAAGCGATCCTGTCAGCTTTTCTATTATTGTGTCGACACTGATGCCCATTTTCAAAGGTAAGGACCTGTACCAAGAGTCCATAACCCCCAGAGTGTGCAACGCGCGATAGGGCCTTGTCACGACTCGTTTTCGCAGCTACATGAAAATGACGTAATGTTGAAAACGAGTCGTGACAAGACCCTATCGCGCGTTGCACACTCTGGGGGTTATGGGCTCTTGCCTGTACCAATAGACATAACTGACAAAACTTGTTGTGTGGAGTGTTAGAACTTAGAACATACCCTCCCAAACTCTCCACCAGACTGTCCAACATGGCCAACAGATCAGTGTCGGTGAGCGAGGAGCCGTAGAACATCAGCGAGTAGTTTGACGAGATGTACTGTAGCAATCTGGGATAGACGATACCAACACACGCACATACATGCTCACACACACACACACACACACGCGCGCACCATGGACATGCGCACGCACACATATATACAAACACACACACGCACACACACAAACACGCGCACACACACAAACAAACACACACAAACACAGACACGCACACACACACACACACAAAAGTCAAAGACAAAGGGGAGCTGCAGACACACGCGTGTGCGTGTGTGTGCTCTACGGCAATAACATGAGAAAAGGACAAGCATGAGAAGTGCTATGCACACCGGATCACATGATTAGCTACGGCCTATTTACAAATGTCCGAGAACAACTTGGCACTGTGCAGCAAGAAAACACAGAGACATTTGCAGCCACACATGTACATACACACACAGCCACAGTACACACCTAGTGAACGCAATACCATGCACCATGAGACGACGGTAATCGGCGTGTCCGGCCACAAGCTCTGGCCGCCCTTTCAACGTGAAATCGCCATGAAGCTTGAGCAGACGCGGAGGGTTGAGTCCAGCACGTAGCTCGGCAAACACCTGCAGAGTATAGGGAGAAAGCGGAGAACACAGTGTACCCGCAGCACATGAGCCTGGAGCAACAGTAGCAACAGAAAAACATCAGCACACAAAGCACAGAAACCATTGTAGTTTCGACTAGGCCTTTCGTACCATAACTTTTCAAGTCGAATACAATGGTGATTAACACGGCACCAAGCAAGTCCTTTTTATATTAAACCGGAAAAAACATCAGCACGCACATCACCATCACAGCAGAAAAAACGACAGTTTTCTTCATCCCATACCTCCTGCACATCGGCCCGGTATCTGACAATCGTTCGGCTTGCACGGCGATAGAAGTGCTGAGAGCTTGGATGGTCGGCGTCCCACACGTCAAGTGGCTCCTTATCTCCGTTTGCGTCCTGTAATAGTTCAAATGCAGCCTCCAGGAAACTGTCCCAGTTAGTGGTCATGACCAGCGGCCAAGGTCCGCTCATGAGCGACACGGGTAACTGTAATGCCTGCCTGTTTTGTCAACATAAATACACACACACATGCACACCACACACACACACACACACGCGCACACACACACACACACACGCGCACACACACAGATACCCACGGATTGCCATCATTTCAAGCAACATGCAGTACGTTCCAGTGGTAGCAGTGCCAGAAATCTAAGAATTAATAAATATTGAACCAGTCGTGAATACGCTCTGACCATGCAACTGTCACTCTAGTCGCAACGACCAGCACTCAAAGACTGTCATAGGTCAATCCCATGAGTGCTATTGTTAGTTTTGTAAGCAAGACTTTTAATAGCAGCTTGTTCACGTTGCTCCTACGGATGCGGAAAACTCGGCCTCCCGCCGTGAACCATGATTTTTGTTCACATTGACAAGAAAAGTGTGTACTTAAAGCATTGCTCTTACTTTAACTTGTCGTTATGGATAAGACCAGGCGTGGGCTCAGCAAGGAGCATGGGGCCCAGCATGTTGTCCACGTCATCCCCATGCTTCTTCAGGAACGTACGGAACACGGAGAGAATCTCATCCGCCAAGTCGCTCGACACGACGCGCGACTTTTGCCTGCAACGGGCCCACAATTACACATGCACACACACACACACACATGCGCGCACACACACACATGCACACACACGTACACACACAAATCATGTACATGCACATAATACATAGGGAAACGAATTGTCGACACCGATGCAAATACTGTAAGACCAGTAATGTTAAAGAACATTTAATTCCCGTAGCTATGCAGAAGACGTTACTTCAGTAACGTCTGGCGCTAGCCAGGGTCCACACAGCTTTAATTCTGTGTTTATTTGTTTGTTTGTTTTGTTTGTGCCATCGGCATGCCTGGCGCTATCCCGTACCTGTCCCGTACCATCAAGCGAATGAGTATGTATGCGAAGTGTATCGAGGGAATGCATGCAGGCCGATAGTGCAGTGCATCGAGCATTCAAGTGTTACGTAGTGTAGACACGATACTGGTCAAGCGAGCTAAGACAGAGATCCTTGTCGCCAAGTCTGTCGAACCAGGCCTCAGTCAAACTGACTGTTTACGAGTGTCCAGATAGCGCGCCGCGTGTCAAGCGTCGCATCCTGAGAGAAATCTGCATGCACCGGTATGCTGTGAAGTATGGCCCACGTCCACTGCTCTACCGAGTCGACTCCTAACCTCACTACCGGTAGTTGTAATGAATATTCCCGGTTCCTTCCAATTCCCCGCGTGAGTAACTTCGATAAGCTTGTGTATCGTGTTAGTCATAGGTGCTTCTGCCTGCGCATCAAGCTCTTAGGTGACGCTGCCAAGGGCATGGTGTACCTACATAGCATCGGCGTTTTGCATGAAGACATCACGCCGTCGAGCTTTGCTGTTGGCGTAGCGCAGAACGGCACGCCCAGCGCCAAGGAGATTGACTTCAGTCCGAGGGGTAAAAACAAGGATTGTCAACATTGGCGCCCAACGTTGGCTCTTAATAACCCACGCCCACCGCTCTACCGAGTCAACTCCTAACCTCACTACCGGTAATTGTGATGAATATTCCCGGTTCCCCCCGTGAGTAACTTCGATAAGCTTGTGTATCGTGTTAGTCAATGTGTTCCCACTCATATTCAAACTGATTGAAACGTTTTTGCAATACAATGATGTCGCCAATCAATAGAAAAAACATTTCCATCAGTTCTAATACAGGCCCGTCGCACCGACTTTGGAGGTGGGGCAGCCATGGAAGCGGGGTCCGGGGGCCTTCCCCGGGAAAAAGTTCAAAAATTGAAGCCAATTGCAAGCATTTCTGGGTATTTGGTGCCATTTCAGTGTAACTACAATGAAAGACTTTTTGATTCTGCAACAAGTCAAGAAGACGCTACGATCGGGGACAAGAATTCTTCATTATCCTCCTTAGGGAAAAAATTTCAAAAATTGAAGCCAATTGCAAGCATTTTCAGGCACTTAGTGCCATTTCAGTGTGACTAGTGCAATGAGAGACTTTTTTTGATTCTGCAATAAACCACGATCGGGGACAAGGATTCTTCATTATTTGCCACGTTTGGGCTGAGCTGCGATCTTCGCGCTTAGTTGCAGTGTGCTCCAAAGAAAAAAAGGAAAGAAAAAAAACGGCCGCCTCAGCCGCTCCGGCTGTGACGGCCTTGTAATAACATGTATGTAAAGCATAGCGTAGGGCCCTGAGCTTCCAAGCTCTCTTGTGTTTTTTACGATTTAAACGAATTAAATAAACAATTCGTTAACATTTGAGTTCGTTATGCACAAAACGATATGGACCTGTACAGTCATTTGCCGGTTCTAAGACGGAATACGTTAGAATTTCACCTCACTAACCCACAAAAATCCGGGGGTCGTTAACTTTAATTGGTCATACAATAAGCGCAATACCTTTCCAATGTACGCTTGCCGGAACGTGCTGACCCGCCGCTGGATGATGACGACTGGGATGACGACGACGGCGGCGGCGGAGCTGCGGCCGCCTCGCGTGCTATGCGCGCGTTTCGCTTGTGCACCTCGTCCCTCAGGCGCTCGGTGGCCACCATGGGCGCAAAGCCCGGCGCGCTCGGGTCCAGCGTGATGCCGAGGTTCTCTCCCACCTCCTTCAGCAGTGTATACCAGCTGGGCAGCGAGGGCATGGACATGCCGGCCCCGATGAACGGGATCACGCGGTGCGCTCGCACTCGCTGCACCAGCATCTCGTAGGCGAGCTGGTCGGCCGCGTTCGGCGCCTGCTTGCCGGCAATGTCCGCCGTCGTCTCCTTGTTCGGGTCATGGCGCCTGGCCCGCGCCATTCTGCGCACTCGTGGCTTGCTGCGTACGCGCGGCGGTTTCTGCTTCTTCAACCGTGTCTGGTCGAATCCCTGTACATCCACAGCAAACGGCAGAGAACGTGGCGGCGCTGTTGAGGCCATGCTGGTGACGTCACACTAGCGTGACCAACTCTAGCAGCTAGAGCTGGGTTGATTGAATGCACAGGTTTGTACTCAAATAGCTCAACAGAAAGCCCGCACTAAACAATTATCATTCATTGTATTTCAAATCTCAGCGCCACTGATCACAACGTCGCTGGGTAATAGGAGCCAAGGCTCGCGCTACTCATGCCGATCGTTCCTGCAGTGACGTACGAATACTAGTGAATCGTGTCCAAATGTGTTCTCCCCTGAAAATCCTGAACAATTCAACCACTGACAGGGTGACAGAGTACTATTACTTCGAGTACGGTTGTGGTGCCAACATAAAATGTGCCAACCTCAGAAACGAAATAATTATTTCGCTTCACAGCACACACATGCAGCATAAGCAAGTACAGACATCGACAGTGCAAAAGAAACTCACGTGCTTGATCAGATGGTCGAAAGCCAAAACCAGGCAGATGCGGCTTTACTTGCCCTGTCTGCTTTTGGACAGTTCAGTTGCGAAGTGTGTGGAAGCGATTATTTTGTAAGAACGGCTCGAATATGATCGTACTTCGTAGTCGTCTCGCGCAGTTCGCAGCTTCGGTCGATCGATTCGTGACTGACCTGGACCAGCCTGTATCAGGAAAACACAATAACAATGTACTATAGCGAAAACCCGACTCACATAGCGAACGGGGGAGCCAGGGGCAAAACGGGAGAAAAAAGCGTCTGGCATTAGTGCATAATGCATCAATTGGAATAATCGTAGACCCTACATGAGATTGGTTGGTCACGCATAGAATAATTCAATATGCGGGCTAGAATAGTAAGCAAGCAACTGTGCATTCACTGAGAACAAAGCAGTCTGGGTCCAGCATGCCACAAACCCGAACACCTGCATGCATCTGCTCTGCGGAAGACCGGAAAGGCGGAAAGAGATTCGACAACTCAATATTTCTGACATACCTAGTACCTGTCTTGACGTAAAACCACAAGCTGAAGAGCTGACGTGACGCGACGTGTGACAGAAGCACAGATGTTTTCCCAATCGAAATGCGGAGAAGAGTGCTTGCTTGAGTACAGAGCTCAAGTTGAGGGGTCGCGAACCCAAATTTTCTACGCACTGACGACTGACGTGTGCATGTGGAATGCGCCGGATCCGCGGATCGGGCCACATGGCGCGGGTACGGGAAAACAGAACGCACGAATACGGTACACATTCGCATACGGTATGTCTATACGATACCGTACGCCAGACTGCCTGAAGAGGATATTCATCAGAAAAATTGGCAGATTCGGGACCATTCTGGCTAAAAAAAGCATTGAAATCAGCAGAACCGAGCTCATAACTCTGCTAATTCTGCTCATCTTCCTGATGCCATCACCTTCACACATGTAACTACTGAAGTATTACTTACTCGAAACGTTACAAACCAGATGCAGATAGATTCTATTTTTCTATACTCCAAGAGCTAGTAGTTCTACTACATTTATATTGTAGAGATCGGTGTCAGCGGTACAGCACTACAATGCCAATGGTTCCACAGCTACCTCACTAAGGCTGTGTTTACATGAGAAATTTCAACCCGGGTCGAGTTCAGCCCGGGTTGAAAGTCTGTACGATAGACAAAAGAGGTGAGCGTTTACATGAAGACAGTTGACCCGGGTCAAATACTGATATGCCGCCCAAAGTCCACTTCTCCAGTCCTGTATGGTCACGTGAATCCGTTCGCGCGAAATTTGCATCTGCAGTGCCGTTCAAACCTGGCGCGAGATACGCACAGAAGTACGTTTGTACGAATTTCTTGACCCGGGTTGATTTCAACCCTCCCCTTGGGGGGAGGGTTGAAATCAACCCGGGGCGAAATTTCAACCCGGGTCAAGCGCAATGCGTCATGTAAACGCGCCATTCACTTTGTGCACATGGCGGGTTGAAATCTGACCCGGGTCGAACTCAACCCGGGTTGAAACGCTTCATGTAAACACAGCCTTAACAGAAACCAACGTAACAGCAAGGTGAAACCAAGAGTACATGGGGTTATGTACTCTTGGTGAAACGTACACCAGAAACAGAGGTGTCCCACACAGGGTTCTGTCCTCGGTCCATCCCTGTTCACCCTTTCTGTGAGGAAACTCCCTTCTGTACTCGAGCACTGTAAGGCTCGGCAGAACTCTGACGTTGTCTCCTTGTACAGAGCTGGAAAGGACACCTGCAAGTAAGTAATAATTAGTTATGCAAGGAGCTCCGGAGCTAGATCGGAAGACATTGGAAAAGTGCTACGTCACAGCATAGCAACAATTTCAAAAATTCAAAAACTGGATCCACTTGGATCCAGTTTTTGTATGGATCCAAGCACATTTCAAGCGGTCTTACCCACAGCATGGTGATGTAGCCAGTGAAACTGACTGATTTGGCTACTGGGGGCGGGGTTACAACTGGTGGCGAAATAAAAGTCACAACTGCATGCGACATGAGTGGGTTGCTATTAGGGAGTCGTACTCAAACTAGGGAGGTGACACGGATCTGTATGGTATCAGTTTAAACTCTACATCTTACTGTATCGTGCACTGCATTAACTAGCTCCTGGTCGTCTAGTCTCGTCTGTCCTGCGCAAAGTCGCACCAGTCACTGTCATGCACCGAGCACTCAGATCAGCAGCGGCGATGTCCATCCAACGTTTTTTGGGACCGTGTCCACACACACACACACACACACACACACACGCACAACAGGGCAGGCGTTCTGCGAGTAATCGGACACCTGTTTGCAAGAATTCAGAAAGCTGTTCCAATAGGCAATTATTATACAAAAACAGCTGTCTTGTAGCGGTACTTATGACATGATGAGCTATACGTAAGCAGCCTAACTCCAAAATGGAAAATGTACATACTTTGACTTGGAAGAAATAAATGAGAAAGAAAGTCGTTGTTAAAAATCCATAAGAAAATCACCTAAACTGTGCACTCCGCATTGTGCACATTCATAGAGGAGAGAGAGAGAGGGGGGGGGGGGGGAGAGAGAGAGAGAGAGAGAGAGAGAGAGAGAGAGAGAGAGAGAGAGAGAGAGAGAGAGAGAGAGGAGGGAAAATAACGATATACACAAGCCACAAACAGACGAAAGTTACGCAACAATGCGCTTTCTCTCCATAAATACAGCATGAACTCGCGCGGACCAGCGCAGAGGCAAGCTGAAATAAATTTAGTGTTCCAGCGAGCGGCGCAGCAGAACTCTACGGGTGCAGCGACGAACTGGCTGCACACACAGTCAGTCTATATACAGGGTCAACAGTGACAAATAGTACTACAAGTGGTGCTACGCTGTCTAGAAGAGGTCGAGCTTGATGTTGAAATAGACGTACGGGTAATACTCTTGCTGGTTGGACATGATGCCAGGAATATCGATATTCTGAGACAACACATTCCAAAGTCACAGTGCACCACACACGCACGAACGCGTACACACACACACACACACACACACACACACACACACACACACACACACACACACACACACACACACACACACAAGAATAGGGTCGATGCTAACACAGGAGGTAGATGTTCAGAGATTGCTGGTTCTTTCCTTCACGCAAGCTACACCAATCCCAACCAGTATGCCAAGCTAAAGGACCTCTGTTTCTCCGGATGTTTAACTAAATGTTCAGGGATTGCTAATTCGCTACTTCACGCAAGCTACACCAATCCAAGTCAGGTTGCCAAACTACCTGTAAGGGACCTCTGTTTCTCCTCATGTTTCCCACACAAAATGATGACATGTACTTGTAGACACCACTGGAAAGTCACACACCAAGAGTCAGACTCGACCATCAGATTCAGTTGTGTCCTGCTAGTATAAGGCAGAGTGCAACCCTAGCCAGCAACAACGCATTTGTCACACACACAATGATGAATACCAGCGGACCCATGATGAGACGTACTCACACGGGGAGTGGGAAAGTGTACTTGATCTTAGTATCTGAGGTACTTATTATCCAAACATACTTCAACATGGAGGAATACAGCCATGCTCTGGACAATGGCCGTACTAAGCAAGTGTGTGTCTTATCAGAGTATGTACTAAGCAAGTGTGTGTCTTATCAGAGTATGTACTAAGCAAGTGTGTGTCTTATCAGAGTATGTACTAAGCAAGTGTGTGTCTTATCAGAGTATGTACTAAGCAAGTGTTTGTCTTATCAGAGTATGTACTAAGCAAGTGTGTGTCTTATCAGAGTACGTACTAAGTGCTCCACAGCAACAGACAGAGCACAGCCCCATCAGGGCAATGCACACAGCACAGGACATACTGTCTCTACATGTACAATATAGATGCTGAGAAAGCCTGCGAACGGCCTACAGATTTGTGTGGAAAGCTAGACAAGCACTACCAGCATATTGCTCTGTGACTTGCCACGCTAATTTCACTACTGTGAAACTCAGAGTTATGAAATTGCAACTGCTCGTCTTTCTGTTTGTGTAGTCCGCTCTTCGCCTTCGGCAAATTGAGCCGTTTACGGACGGTGGATGAACCTCACATGGGACTTGCCACACTAATTTCACTACTGTGAAACTCAGAGTTACAAAACTGCAACTGTTCGTCCTTCTGTTTGTGTAATTGAGCCCTCTACGGTCGGTGGACGAACCTCACATGGGTAATTACAATTCTGTAATGAGTGCAAGCAAGTGGGTTGCTGCTGGACCTGTCTACTCACTTCTTGTGGTCCGGCTATGCTGGCCTCCAGGTGGGCATAGAGCGCGTCGAGGGTGTCACGTAGGCGCCGGTGTGACTTGCGGTGTGGCTCCATCAGCACGGCTTGGAAGTTGACGGGCAGACCGTAGCGGAGTACGGACTCAACGAATACTCTAAGCATCTGTAAGACACACAAACACAAAGAAAAGAGATCAGGCACACTGGTCAAGGACAGTTATTATAAACTGGGGGGGGGGTCGTGGACTATTCATATCGTTTGAACGGGCAGCCGATGAAATGTGAGTTTGGTGATCATCGTGATGGCTGTATTTACATGAGGCGTTTCAACTACAGTCCATTTCAAAACTATAGACGCGTAGGGTTTTTGAAATATTTCAAATTTGGCTGGACCTTTTTGAGAATAGTTTTCGGAATATTGCTCAGGACCGCTCCACAATTACTCTCATATAGTTTCTAAACGATTGGATAACAGACACCCAATTTGGAAAAATTTATGCACAAAGTGATCACAGATTTTATGTGGTATAGATGCTGGCATAACGGTTTTTGCCTAGGTACGCGTCTATAGTTTTCAAACGGACTGTAGGGGTGAAACGAGTATATTGAATACTCGAGCACTTGCCCGAAAATTTGGAAAGAGCAAGTACTCGTTTCGCAAAATTAATTGACCCGGGCCAACTCTCTTCATGTAAAAACCCACCTATTTTTTCCACCGTACAGAGACTACAGACTTTCAAACCAGGTTAAAATTTCTTACATAAACAGACAGCCCTACATAAACACGATCAAAGTCCAAGCACATGTGCATACGACGTACTTTGATGTGAACCCAGGCAGTGAACGTCTCACTGAAGTTCACCTTCAGCCAGCGCACAAGAGGGCCAAACTGCCGGCGCTTCTCGGCTTCCAGCTTCTGTGCCTCGTTACGCTCAGAGTCCTGCGAGTTCTCTTCATAAGCAAAGTCACGCACCAAGAACCTGGAAAACAGCAATAGCAGAAAGAGAGGAATTACGGCATGCGGACAAACGAGGTTGACAGACATTTTAGATGTTCTTCTCCGGTAGAATTTTCCGGCTTGTTTCTCCTTCCTCATGCAGAAACAACAAGAGTTGAGCCATCAGCAAGCCAAGAAGAAAACACGTGATTAACTCTGATTGGCCGAGGGCGGTTGACCAATCGTTCCAGGAGGGGAATGGTGATCGAGGTTTGGGATGGCTAGAAGTTTCAGATTTTCTTCTCCCTGCCGCACAGTGAGATATGGTACCCGGGGAGAGAATTGCTACACGGTGTACTTGGCAGTAGAATCTCCACCACATACCCTATCAATACCGCATAAACCAATAGCTACCAGAGCAGTGCCCGTTAGTGGTCAGCATGTAAGCTGATAAACAGTAACCTATGCTGCTTTTTCACTAGCTCTGCTCAGGCTATACAATCATGAACAGGCATCCGCCCACAACAATAAGTACAAGTAGCAGCTGAGTGAACCAGGTAACAGATGAGGACACATACTCTCAGAAAACTGACCAACAACATGGATTCCACTGAGGCACGAATAGAAGAATTCAAACTTACTTGTGCTCGCGGGCGTGCAGCTTGAACTCGTCCACGACCTTGCGGAACAGTGAGACTGTGAACAGGCAGTGATCGCTGTCTTCGAATACCAGCCTGTAACAATAGACAACAGAACATCCATCAAGACCACTAGTATAAATATCAGACAGACAACACAGTCAGGCTAGGATACATGACATGGATTGACAGACGGATGATCCGTAGCGCCAGGAAAAATGATGCCATGTCAAGGGAGCGAGAGAGAGAGAGAGAGAGAGAGAGAGAGAGAGAGAGAGAGAGAGAGAGAGAGAGAGGAGAGAGAGTGAGGGAGAGAGACACACACACACACAACCTACTTGGATGAGCGGGGCACAACCATATCTGTGAGCTTCTCGTATGTCATTCGCCACTCCTGGGCAGACGATCTAGGATAAGCCAGAAAGACAATGACATTAACTCGTTGGCAGGACACCGTACAGGTACAGCACGGAACAGCAGAACAATGAATCAATGTTATCTGAAGTAACTCGCTACCGTTTTATAATGTCAACGTGCTCCATACCAGCTCGATACGCATTGAGCTCCACACGAACATTTCCTGGCACGAATATTTCTCGGCTTACGCCGCATTTACTTCCTCCGCGTCATCGAAATTGTCGCAGTTTGACTTTTGATATAAAACGGGGTATTTACTCACCAGCACTCGTACCACAGGTAAGGAATCGGATATAGGCGATGGTCATCAGTATAGGGTGACGGCAAAGTTCTATTTTCTGTTATTGGAAGCTGGAATTTTTGAACTAGACGCAATTTCTTCGCTGATGTCGCTGCGATGGTAATTTCGACTCGCTGAGATCAGTCAGGCGTTGCAGCCTGCACATTTCTCGTGCTTATGGCCATTCACTCAAGCCTCATCACTGTTTTACCCTAGCTGGGGTGAGAATGACTTCGTGGAACAAGTGGCAGCGCTTGGAGAAACATCGAGGGGTCAGCAAACTAAATGCCTGCAACAGCGATAAAATTTGTCGCTCTGGCCGAGACACTCAGTACATGATTGTACCTGCAAGAGCCGTGTAGACTCTACATGTAGTGCTAGTGATGCAGGCGCAGGTGCCGTACCATGGTATACCAGTGAATCAGGGCCGGGCAGTGATGCTGAAAAAGAGGGCGCGCTGGACGTGATAGTACACTTACCTGCATGAGCTGTGACCACACAGCTAAAATAAATGGGCATGCCACGGCTAAAAAAAGTTCATTTCAAGATCGAGGTGATTCCGCCGACGGTAATCAACTGACCTCGCAACGATCGTGTATTCTTACTAGGCTTCGTTGATGGTGAAGTAGGAATCATCCAGAGCAAGCAGACCACAAGCATAGCAGCTCTTGTCCTGTGGAGAAAGTCAAAGCGTTTGAGATGAGGCGCGACCAACTTTCAACCTTCCTTTAAATATTTCGGAACGATATTTTTGCGTCCATTGACATCAGCGACGACGAGGACTTCATCTCTGCATGAAAACTCTCAGTCCAACTGTCCTGGAACGTTACTCTAGGCTTCAGACTATCATTCTGTGTAATATGTTTTGAATGGCTTAGCTTATGGAGTTGTCAGTAACAAGTGACAAGTCACTAGTCAAACTGCGACAATTTCGATGACGCGGAGGAAGTAATCAGTAATGATATATTTTAAATAAAACATAATGACCATCACACAAGAAACTCGCAGCCAATGTGTGAATTGCTTCAGTAGTGGTCAGCATTCCTGTTCAAAACTGCACACATACTGACACAACACATCATCCGACATGCAGTTTCGCAGGCACATAAGGAACTGCACAGGAACACAGAGCGGCCTAGTGACTTACTTTGGCACAACAACAATCAATGTTGTCAAATAATCCGACCCATGGACAAAGTCTTCCTTGGACACCAGATCGCCAAGGTTTCGCGTCATCAGGTTACCTCTGTTCAGCAGAACAAGAACACACACACACAGACACACACACACACCATGTATACGCCCGTCGCAACACACACACACACACCATGTACCATGTATACGCCCGTCGCAACACACACAGACACACGCACAGACACACACATCCGGACAACGACAATACAAACACATGTGCACTGGGAATAAGAGAAATGCAAAACTACATGTACATGTTCAATTCGTAAAAAGAAACACCTAAATCGGTGTTGATCAAGCCTGATCCAGCAGGAACGACCACTTACATGTACGGTTGTGGCAAGCGAAATCTGACACTTGCCACAAGGGACTGCGCCACACAGATTTTGTCCGCTGCCGCCATGAGTGCTCACGTTCTACAACTTTCACGTTTCCACCTTGCATAACCGGGTACTAAGTCGTGTATAGTATGCGCAGTCCATATCGTATACCACATCCATTGCGAGAACTGCAAAATGTTTCCAGATCACAACTGTTTCCCGCTTTCCAGAATGTTGGGCAGAGCTGTGATAACTACTTACGTTGTTCTCCTCTCCAGCTGCTGCAGGTTGGTCCGTACTTGATTGTACTGTTGTGAGCGACTCTTTAGATCAGCGTCAATCTGACTTACTTGCTGTGGGCACAACATACACGTATGTCAACACATAAGCACACCCACCCACACGCACACACATACGCATACACATATGCATACACATATGCACAGCAGAGCACAGCACAGCACAGCACAGCAGAGCACACACACACACACACACACACACACACACACACACACACACACACACACAAGCAAACAAAGTTCAGCTTGCCTGCTACTCAAAGCACAGCAGCGATGGACATGGCTGGTAAGGGCCGGCCAGGCCAAACCGCAAAGGAGACACAACTGAACATAAAGACTACATTGCACGATCCATTTACTTATCCACACAGCAGATGAAATTTCCAAGCACGATATGAACCTACAACTGTTGGTTGTGCAGACATGCTGGTCCAAATCCCATTTCCGGCCAAATTAGAATTGGGCTTTTGAGCCCAATAAGGCCTAAATCGGATTTGAAAATGGCCAGAAATCACTTATTTACAAATGGAGTGTAGAGCACGAATAAACAACAACATGCAAAGTGAACGCGCGCACACACAAACTCTACAACAACCATACCTTGCTGATGATTTCAGACAAGTTTTTCAACGGAAGCTTGACTGGGTACTTTGCGACATCCCACCGGAAATTGGCCAGATAATGAGCAGGATCCTCTGCAAGAACACAACAATTCAACAATATCACAAAAAAAACATGCCAGTAAGAGGAGACCCGTGAATGTAGAAGCTCCGTCAACATACCGCCAGACGTGCAACAAAATACATGGTATTAGATGGCCGCAAGACCGGGGCTCTACCAACCGTGGATGGCTGTAGCAAGGGACATTGTTTCCGAACACGGTGTTCCACCACCTTGTAATACTAGTGTGCTGTCAAACTAAAAACAAAATACATGTAGCACCACCGAGCTATAGCCCAGCAATGTCTTCACTCTACACAGTCTACAGCCATCATCACCATGTACATCTTTCTTAATGAAGTGATACCCCCGACACAAACTGCACAAACAAGTGTGACATTCTTTGAAAGTTTACTTTTGGCTGACCGGTTTCACTACTAGGAGTAGATCATCAGAGTGAAGAGTAAAGTGGAACGAAACACAATTTTATGCTCCCACTAGGTGGGTAGAAAATGTATTGACACATGTGGGCCGCCAAAACGCTAGGGGCCCCAAGGGCATTGGGAAATGCTACGGTAATACGGTCATGCAATAATTGCACAAGGTGTATGTGTGTCATGTGTCATGAATGAAGTGCGCATGCAACTATGAGTACTATATTCATGAGGTGAATTGAATTTTAGGCGGGATCCAAAGCTTGGACCCCGCCTTTTCTGACAGCTGATGTTGTCAGTCTTTACACAAACATGAATTGGCACGATACAATTTCTGCAATTGATGAGTTTTTGAAAGATGCTGAGCATCCACTGCGGCCTCTTTTGATTGCACTCATTGCCTTTGTTCTGAAAAACAACTATTTCAAGTTTGAAAACGTTTTGTATCATCAAGAACATGGCATGGCCATGGGCACTCCCATGGCGGTCAATGTAGCAAATGCCTTCCTTTTCATCCATGAAAAGAAAACACTGTCTATCTTTAAAGCTTCCATCTATCTTTTTGAAAGATTTATTGACGACCTCTTCCTAGTCATAGATGATAAGCTCAGCATAGAATCCTTACAACAGTCTCTCTATTCAGATTTACCTGACATTAACCTCACCTGGTCAAATGTTAGCGATGAATGTGTCTTTCTAGATTTAGAACTCTTCTTAGACAAATCAGAGACTAATTGTAATGTCCTGTATCGTACATATCAGAAACCCAGGAATGCTTATCTTTACATTCCGTATAAGTCAGATCACCCAAAATCAAACTTCCGCTCATTTATCATTGCAGAACTCTGTCGATATAATAGAACTAATTCAAGATTGTCTGATGTTCTTACTATCCGTGAGCGTTTTTGGTGCAGACTTAGGCTCAGAGGCTATCCTCCACATTTCTTGGCTCCTATCTTCATGAATATTGAACCTCGTGTTACACATCATTCTGCTGCCAAGAAAGCGAAGACCAGCCACAACAGGAATACAATTACATTTGTTACTTCCTATCACCCGCATTTTGCAAGAAATCGTCTTAGAACGATATTAACAGAATCTTTCTCCTCTTCCAATGTTGAGATTTTCTATCGCAAAACGAAACAATTGTTTCACTGAAGCTGGTTTCTGATGAACATTTTCAAATGTTTGTTCTCTTTTCTCCATTCTCCATACTTTCATTGTTTGCAGGCTTAGTCGCCTGCATTTAGGCGGGGTCCAAGCTTTGGATCCCGCCTAAAATTCAATTCACCTCATGAATATAGTACTCATAGTTGCATGCGCACTTCATTCATGACACATGACACACATACACCTTGTGCAATTATTGCATGACCGTATTACCGTAGCATTTCCCAATGCCCTTGGGGCCCCTAGCGTTTTGGCGGCCCACATGTGTCAATACATTTTCTACCCACCTAGTGGGAGCATAAAATTGTGTTTCGTTCCACTTTACTCTTCACTCTGATGATCTACACCTAGTAGTGAAACCGGTCAGCCAAAAGTAAACTTTCAAAGAATGTCACACTTGTTTGTGCAGTTTGTGTCGGGGGTATCACTTCATTAAGATCAAGGACACGCCAGCATCCAGACTCAGGCACGTACCTCCGTTAGCTCTGAGGTTCTCGGATAGTTTATCCTGTGGAACACACAACAGCACACGAGCATGCCAGTGTTATAAAGTGAGACGTGAGTTTACCTGGGCATGTGCATGTGCACGCAGGAGCACAGGCACCACACCGCACACATGTCCACACAAACACACATCAATCAACATGGAGAGGAATCACCAATGCCTCATACGGCCTAGAAAGCCAGCAACTATTCGTTCCCATTTGCAGTCAGATAAGAAAACGGCACGTTACAGCAGGTCAGTCACCAGGTGTGTCAGCAATCATCGTATTCATTGGTTAAACCTACATGACTGTCGCCTTCTAGCACATCTGAAAGGTAGCTGGCAATCTTCTTGACCACACTGTGCAGAGGAAAAACAAACAAATGGGCATGCATAAAACATAGTCATGCATGCACGGACATCACACACACACACACACCTCAGACCTCAGACATGCCCATCGCGGAAGCGATGATAGCGAACAGCTATGTTAGACATAGCAACTTGTGCTGGGATTACACCATTCAACAGCTTGCAAGGCTGATGAATTGACCGCCACTATTTTTAGCCTGGTATCCACCACACAGCTGTTTGAAGTGACTTTTTCTGGCCAGTGAATCCCTATTTTTCATTTTTCCATTTTTTTTCTACACACACCACACCACATACTCCGGCATACACTGGCTGTTGGTAACCACCCAGGAGAATGAAAGGAAAGTCAGGAAGAGTCCGAGAAAGAGAAGAAAGACGTGTGCGACCATAATCGTCGGGAATTGAACCCGCAACCTCTCGATTGGAAATCGACTGCACATATCACTGCACCATATGGGACACACACACACACACACACACACACACACACACACACACACACACACACACACACACACACACACACACACACACATGTATTTCCCAGATTGTAAGTCGCACTCGATTTTAAGTCGCACCCCCATTTCCAGGTCCACGTCATATCGGCGCTCGCTCGTTGCCAACACCTCTGATCACATGGGTGTCACTAGGGATCTCAGCGCGTGCAGTGCGCAGGGTGTTTGCGCATACACTGCGTCATCGAGTTTTGAGTGCAGCTCGCGGACACAGCAGAAAATGACGACGGTCGATTTTCGACACTAGCAGACGCGGTGGACACTAGCGGAATCGTCATCTTCATCGTCGTTCGAACATACTTTGTGATTCCCGCCGAAGGAAAGCGTGGCCAAGGCGATATCGCCCTGGTCGATTTTCCTATAATTTGCCATGCGGCAAGAACCCACTTCAGAGAGGATTCAGTCAAAAATTCAGACGTTTTCTCCGGTTAGATTGTCCTAACTTCGATTTTCAGTGCGTCAGCCATCGTGAACATCGCCGCCATTATCACTCAGAGAGAAGACATCGCGCTCAGTAGAAGAGGTGTTCACGCTGCGTCCAAGAGTGAAATATTGTCGTCCTCTTTGACCCTCCATAGTTCCTCTGAGAGAGTGTCTGGGAGATAGGTAGCTTGGAGATAGCCGTAGAACGTGCTTTCCTGGACGCAACATTCAGCCATTTCTACTGTCTTCTTCAACTTGATTTATTTCGAAAAAATGTTCTTTTCCACGGTTTCTTCACTGGACGCGTTTGGAATCGAAATCTCACCTGCGCAGACTGGCTGCGCAGTTCACGCGCTGAGATCCCTAGTGTCACCGGGAGACAGGAAAGAGATTCAGAGGGAAACTTGGAAAGATCACTCAATTTTTATTGGCTGTTGAATCCCCCCCCCCCCCCCCCCCCCAAACCAAAACACTAGGTGGATTAGGACAATGACAAGGTGACCTGAACAAGGTGCAGGAAAAAGACTGTCGGCACCAGGGTATCCATGCTGGAATCCAGCTGATCTCCAGTGAAGGCAATACTCGGTACAAGGGTGGGTTGCTAACTCAGAGCGGATCTCATCATACAGGCTTCACTAGCACCACTGATCACAAAGTCACACAGTAATAAATATCTAGCCAGAAGTGGTCTACTGATGGGCAGCCACGTATACTTCAGACAGAAAGTCAATGAGACCTGAAACTTACACAGGTGGCAGGCATGCTGTGCCGTCAAGCAGCTGAGCCCAACGGCAGCAGACTTTGCCACTATCTGCCAGGCCCTGTCAAGTCTCAAGACCTTGTCCAACATAGTTCAGGTTTTTACTGACCCCCTTCCCTCCCCTCCCAATAAGAGAAAGTAGGGACGAAAACGAATGCTGATTCGTCACCTGGGTTCGAGGATTCGTCAGAGTCCCCGCGGAGAGCTCGTTTTCACGAATGGAAGCCTCTTCATTCGTGGCACGCTCCGAATCCGTCAGGTACACATTTTTTGCAAGGTACACATGTTTTGCCAGGTACACATTTTTCCCCTTGATTCCATGATCCATGCACGTGCGCGTGAACACACCCGTACGCCAAGCTACCGGCCGTATTCGTAGTTGCCAAGCACTTGCATTACGACTTTCTGAATCTGTTTTCAACGAAACGATTACGAGTCGAATCAAACTTTCGTTTCGCATTCGATTCGAAGCAAATGTGAAAGGTCCCTAGTATGCTGCTCACCCCTCAATAAACGTATCTGTCTTGGTTAGGTCATCGGACAGCCCTACGAGCGTGTCAAGAGTTCCAATCTGCACACACACACAAAACAAAGGCAAAAGCATGAGCTTTACACAAATTTACTGCTCAAACAGAGACTGGGACAATGGTTGCAGATGTATAGATTCGTCCCTTTTAAACACAGCTAGAGTCACAACCCTTTATCCCACCTATTCTTGTTGTGCAGATTCATCTCCTAAACTGGACACAGCTAGACAGAGTCCCACAGTGACATGTCCAGCAAGCAAAGCCAATTTCTCCACATACAAAGTGCATGCGGTTCATACAAGTCCGGATAAGCAAGGCAAAACTAATAGTACAAGTCATGTACATGTACAGGAGCGGCACAATACAGCTGGGGGTGTGGGGAATGGCACCGTGAGAGAACTTTTGAAATGTCGGCATCATTGAGAGTAGGGTCTAAACGGTCACAACTTTTGCATGACCGGGTATCCTCTAAAGTAACGATCGGATACCCGCTTATAACCGGTTATTGGACTCCAGCAGCACATGAACATGAACAATCGCACCACACACCATTTTTTATCAAACACGATTGAGGCCTATACATTGACATCAAAATCAGGCCTCCTTAACTTCAAGCTGAATTGTGGTGATGAAGACGGTTTCGTCTTCAGTGCCGAGCCGAAATTCTACAATTTCCTCCCCACTGGATGTACGACATGCAGCACTACACCCTTCTCCAAATCAAAAGCTCTCGCCAGCGAAAAGAAATTTAGTCTTCATTGTAGACATGTGCCAACTGGTGAGAGTTTCCTGCTATCCTGCACACGCCGTTAGGATTAGTGCTGTACACCATACACTGCCACAGTATACATGTGCATGGAAAACCGTTTGATTCTGCCGCCCATGGCGTTCATGTGTGTGTAGCGAAGCACACATTTACACCACAAGCAAAGCCGGTTCAGTCATCTGTACAATGTTGAAATAGTGGTAGCAAGTTCGACGTTACACACTTTCTCTATCTGATCGACGAAATTGCACTTGATGAAAAGAGTTGGTGCTAAACACTGCGTGGAACACTGAGATGTTCACTGGAGCACTATGCGGACTTGCTCGTTCGCTTGGATTTCATGGCATGCGAGTGCACTTGTCTTTGCTGAAACTTTCTGCATGCAACCATTCAAGCCTGTTTTCGCATCAGACTCCATGTGTCGAGTCCCATACTCTGGGGGTAGACTCTTGCACAATGGACATGCCAAGTGGCACACTGTACAAAACTACGCATTCGTTGATACAAGTCCATCACGTGCACGAAAGCAGCACTTGCCCAACTGATAAAGCATTGGCTGAGCTGGACAGCAATAAGTTGGTTTTAATCCCAAGCATCTAATCAGAATTCCGTTCACTGCAGGCACAATACTGCCTTCTAGAGCCAGGCACAGACTGGTAACTTTTCAAGGATTTAAGCAGCATTTTGAGATGAATGCAGACCTGGGGGTGTGCACCATTGTTCAATTATTGACGTCCTAGCTCTGCCCAGTTACGATTTTATTATTATATCCACAAGACAAACACTGCTATGACGAAAGTTCACGGAGCCCGATCCATTTGCGAGCAGTATTACATTTTCCTCTGTGATCAAAATCGAGAGGGATAACTGAGAGGTTGTGTGCTATGTCAGCATATCATAAACGTCATTAATTTCGCGAGATAATAGGACTTCAGCAGTAAATTAGCTTCAGCTCAAATCTAGCAGAAAGGAGGCGACCGATCTTTTGTAAAGAGCTTCGCCACACTGTTGACGATCGATTTGTGCCAGTTGCTGCACCATTTCCGTGGCGTTCGGCAGTGGTTGTCAAGGAATTCCACGTACAAAACTCAATTCTCAGCAGCCCTGATTTGAACATGATGCATTACAATTCTGGGCATTCAAAATTGCTCATTTATAGCATTTACAACTGCTACCAATTATGGATTGAAAGCTGCTGCTTCTTCTTTTGATCACAACTCCCACTCACCTTGAGCTCTGGAAGGTGAATTTTGTAATTCTTCGACAGGTCAGACTCACGAGTGGTCCTCTCTTGCAGGAGGGACCATGCTCTGTCAGGTGTTGGCTCACCAGGAGCAGAAATTAGCCAAAACTCGCTCATAATTTCACTGTTTCCAAGTCACACCAGCTACCTGAGTCTACCACCAATCTTTCATGTACCAGAAGACAATGTCAGGGAATGTTCTCCCTCCAAACAGCACAGAGTCAGTGGGTGACTGGCTCACCTAGCAAAATCACAACAACCAGCTAGCTACACTCACTGCCGCTGGTACTGCGCTCAGGCAGAGTTGAAACGTCGCAAAACTCAAGCGCTGTGACGACCTGCTGACTTGGTGATGCCATCATCAGTGATCAACCAAGCGTCACGGAATCTACGGTGGGCGCCATCTTTACAGCGTCATCGCATGCTCCCTGTACAAATCAGTCAGAAATGGCGAATATCTTCGAGCAATACCAGCAAGCCGAGTCCGGCTCGGGAGCGCCGGCATCCTCCTCCTATGGCTCAGGGCCATACCGAGGCAATGCAGAACAACTTCAAGAACAGGTCTGACCGTGCTGGACGAAGCTGGAGCGTAGAGAGAGTGCAGGAATCAAGATTTGGACATGTTTATGTGTGCAGGTGGCTTCCACAGGCTACGTGGAGACGCGACGGCGAGATGAAACACCTATTTTCGATCGCCAAATTATCAACTTCAAGTAGGTGAAATAAATCAAAAGCCAAGTGTGGACCTGGCCCCAACCTGTTCGCTTGTACCAGGCCCTGGCTGCTGTATTCCCAAACAAATTGTCCAGAAACAACAATTTCATTTTTCAAATTAATTGACGTGACGCCATGGGGGATTCGCTGCATGCTCCACCTACCGTACACATACAATTCAAATATCCGTGCATCTCCACAAGCGAATTACTTGTGCAATACATGTACGTGGCTTTCCAATCCTGTTGGAGGTACTAGAGTAATAGGGTATCCAATCCATGTCAATAATCTTTCCCAGCAAGCTCTTCATTCAGTGACAATATTCTGTTGTGCTTGTACCTGAGATACAGATGTGTGTGTGTGTGTGTGTGTGTGTGTGTGTGTGTGTGTGTGTGTGTGTGTATGTGTGTGCTTCCTCGTTATTGACATACTTTGTTTGGTACACACGTTGGACATACACACACAGCATGTGTCGACATCCACAGGAGCCCATATGCTTGTAGGCATGTGCATTTTGTGTACACAGATGCGCACACACACACACACACACACACACACACACACACACACACACACACACACACACACACACACGCGCGCGCGCGCGTGCGCATGCACGTGTACATATTCTCTCTCTCTCTCTCTCTCTCTCTCTCTCTCTCTCTCTCTCTCTCTCTCTCTCTCTCTCTCTCTCTCCCTCCCTCCCTCCCTCCCTCCCTCCCTCCCTCCCTCCCTCCCTCCCTCCCTCCTCTCTCTCTCTCTCTCTCTCTCTCTCTCTCTCTCTCTCTCTCTCTCTCTCTCTCTCTCTCTCTCTCTCTCTCTCTCTCTCTCTCTCCCTCCCTCCCTCCCTCCCTCCCTCTCTCTCTCTCTCTCTCTCTCTCTCTCTCTCTCTCTCTCTCTCTCTCTGTTGAGTTGTACTATGGGAAGTGCACATGTATGAACTAATTTCTGCAGCAAATGCACTCAGGTCAGCGGTATAGATAGTAAAAACTACTATTTACGTTCACAACTCCTGCCGCTGCTGCCGTTGTCGTTGTCGTCGGCGTCCTTGCAATTGCTGTCTTGTAATGCTATTGTTTAGTCCACCGGCATCAGTGCTGACCATTGACATCAGCGCCAACGCAGCCACGCTTGTGCTCGCTCTAGCTGACAATCATGTCTACTTCATTCAGCTCACCAACCCACAGGAGCCAGTCCGTAAGTTGCGCGATCCAACTAAACTTACCATGCGTATTTACTTACTTTAGGGGCGTCCGTAAATTATCAATATTTTTTTAGAGACAATATTTGTTCATATCCCCCCAAAATGAACATACATACATTTATGCAGTGGACCGGTATTTTTTATATTACGGAGGATTAGCAAGACGAAATTCGCGTTCGCGTTCGCAAACAATTTTCAGTTCGCGAACTGCATTGCGAACTTTCGCATTTTTCGTTCGGAAAAGTAGTCGGAACACGAATCGCGGATTCGTATCAGGGCAGTCATAAATTTACCACGCTGTACTGTCTGTAGACAAAGTACGTCGTGTCAACATCATGCATGTGCGAATTCTGTTTGCTAATCCTTCTCATAACGCGAATTCCGTCACTGAGTTCGACTTTCCTTGGAGAGCGAACGCGAACGCGAATTTCGTCTTGCTAATCCTCCGTATTGAACGGTTTGTGTGTACAGGTAGGTACGTAATACGTACAGTGGAGATTGGATATAACGACAAATCGAGTTTAGCGACATCATTATGTTGCCCAAGTCGTTTAGCAAATCCTTTCTGTACATTATAGATCGGGTATAACGACCTCGAAAATAACGACAAATCGAATTTACTGACACTTTTTTTGGTGCCCGAAGACCTGAAAATGCATCGATTATATCGACTTTCCTCTTGTATCAGGCGGATTGGCATGCATGGGGCATGTCTATGTCACATGCCCGGACCTCTGGGTCACTCCACGCATGCTGGTAGCCGCAGTGCAGCGTGCGGTGTAGTTGCTATGCATGACTTTTGGCTTGAACTATGCATGCAAGACACATGCACATGCGCATCTAAAATCTATATGCATTATATTATGCACATGCATATCTGCAATACATTTCTGTCATTTTGATATACATATTGCATACTAAATGTGAAGATCGGGTTTAGTGACAGATCGAATATAGCGACATTTTGTTTTCTCCCGAAGGAGTGTCGTTATATCCAATCTCCACTGTATCTTGAAGGGGATGATGACGGCACAATACTTTTCAAGAGTATACAGATCTCTGCCTTGACTGCTGGGCTAGGCTATACAACTTTGAAGTGAATGCATTATCGTGTAGTTAAAAAATATCAATGTGAGCAGGCAGAGGCCTCAGGCGGATAACAGGAATGAACAAGGCAGAGTTCGATTACTGGGGATATACGTAATACAATGTACATGCATAATATACATGTGTATTTATGTTCATGCACATGAAGCCGTACATGCACACACCCCCATACACATGCACAGGTCGTAAATTAATCAAGCATGACACATACAAAGCGAATACAGCTGTACAGGGAAAAAAAGGGAGCCAAAGATACATGTAGTGGAGTTTCGTTGAAGCTGCGGCACGAACTGGTTCAGTTGTGCAGTGCTGGCAGGACTCATTGCTGCACTTGTGGTGTGTGAACGCCAGCAGGTAGTTGCGCCGGTCAATGTGGTCCATCAGGAAGCAGTACTCTCACTTCAGATTCACCATATCCTGGTCAGATGTGAGGGACTGCACACCACAATTTGCGAAAGCAGCAAGACAGTCTTGTTGGTTCGCATCACTCCTATTCTTCACGCTGCTACATGGCATCGGAACTGCACGCACTGTGTGGCCATTGTACACCTTGTCCTTCCGGTGGCTGGCTACTGTGGCAATTGCCTTGTCATGGACAATGGCCTCCTTCTGCATGACATCCTCTTGGCTGAGTCCAGACTGCTGGGACGGTGGTGTGTCCTCACCGGGAACAGTTGCTGGGAGGACGAGTCCCGTCAAATCGTTGGAACATGCGCTCCAGGCATGCTCTATCGGGTTAAACCGACTGTGATACGGTGCATAACTCACAGCCGCTAGAGCGCCCAGATATAGCTTCTTCCACATCATGCCCAATCTCATCAATGTGACTGTCGATCTCACGCTCCAGTCGGGACCACCGTAGACAATGAGCACACCTGTGTTCTTGCCACACCTTTGCTGGGCACAGATCAATGGCTCCAGGTCCGGGCAGTGAGTGCTGATGGACAATGAGAAGAACTTAGAAGACCGTAGTGAGATACTCAACGGACCAGTACGTGGCCAGGTGCGGTGAAGTCTGCCCAGCTTGTCATGCACACACTGCTGCTGCTCAGGATCTGATGGAGATGCCTGGGTACTATCAAGACCAGCCTTGGGATCACGACTGTTGCTTCTCTCGCGCTGACTGTTGCTAACTTGCTCTGAACATGATGGCGGCAGACTGCTCGACCGAGGGGAGTGTCCTCGGCGAGGTGTGGTCTTGCACGCCAGCTGCATGTACCTGGACGGTATGACTTTGTTGTTCTTCAGAGGAAAGTCGTGGTCAGGATAATGCGGCTCATCACCGACTTCAAAGAATCGCCGAATCTGGTGGTAGCGTGAGACAGCAATAGCTCCAATGTTGATATTATTCATGTCGTCACAGCTGAAGACACTGCTTCGTTCCCAAATTCACTGGCAAACTCCATGCACAGGTTTACCTGGGCAGCACAATGCTGAACGTGAGCATGGCTGTGAGACGCTACATCATTGCGCTTGCTCGCAACACTCATGCCTGGACCACACCATGGTATTTGAACGAGTTGATAGTACCCTGATTAGGTGGAAGCATCAGTTGGTGGACAGTCGTTCGACTTATTCCGGCATGTTGGAGGCCCGGAACTGCCTCAAGAAAATGATGTCGTAAACTGCCCAGTGACACGCCAACCGAGTTGGGCACTTCAGTTCTACGTCGTTCTTGAGCGCTCCACCCATGCTGCTGAAGATAGCTCAAGGCCGCCTGTGCTAAGGAAGGGAACAGGATATGGAGAGGCTTTCTACCAGGCTTCCGTGCAGGGCCATCAACAACAGGTAGCGTTGGCACTTTAACTTCACTTTGAGTAACATGATCAGCAGTGACTGTGTCCTTCGTCTTGTGGGCAGTGAGGAGTTCAACCAGGACGGACGAGGTGGGCAGAACGAAGTCCCTTGCATCCACAACAACCGTGTCAGTATACTGACCATTCTTTCTTGTCTTCTTGATAGTGAGAAGAGGGAAGGATGTTAGTAGCTGCTCCTCTGCAGATCTGAGGTTCTTTGTCAGCGAGCCTCAACTGAAGCTGAATTCTTCCTCGACTTCCTTCATCAAGTGCACTTCGAAGACACTATCTCAAAACTTGGCGCAAACTGAACATGTGAGCGAGAAACTGAAGACGTGTCTAAACATCACACAACATGCGCCAACCACTGTCCATGTTCACTGCCGGCTTCCTCTGTCACACGAACGGGGCTCAGTTGTCTGCCTTTGGGCGAGAATCGAGGCACGGAAAACGGTAAGGACGACATGGGAAGAACGTGGTGCTCCACAAGCTGCGCTGGCACCTGCGCACATGTCTCCAAAGAACTTCTTGATCTGACGAACAATTTTTTCAACCTTGAACTTATCTGCTGGACTCGAACTTTGCACTCGCGACCGAAGATTTGAACCATGTTTTTCTTTGACATTTTCACCATGCCAGGGAGTAGTAAAAAAAAACTTTTTATTACTCCCTGATTTTCACTATCTTTTGTGAAAGCTCTAAGGTCGTTCTTTTTCTTTGCCGAACGTGGCCCATTTCTTTCCTTTGCTTGCATGCTACATGTATAGGTGTGTCAGTCACGCGCCGTACTGAGGAGAAGATCCACAAGGTCTTCCTGGACAACACCGGACAGCATCTCATCGTTGCCATGGAGTCTGGCGAGAATTTCTACATCCACTGTCCGACCAGAAAGCCAAAGTCGCTAGCCAAGGCCAAGGTGAGTGCGTACACACACACACACACACATACACACACACACATATACACATATACACACATACATACATACATACATACATACATACACACACACACACACATACACACACACGCACACACATACGCACATACACACACACACATACACACACACACACACACACACATACGCGCGCACACACACACATACATACATACATACATACATACATACACACACACACACACACACACACACACACACACACACACACATAATTATACACACACAGACGGGATTGCATTTTCCTGTTTTACTGTACACTGAAGTCTCTATCTCTCCGTGCATACTAGCTTTCAATGACTGTGTATGGTGTATGTTGTGGGACAATGCCCATGAAATTAACTATAGAACTGACTATGAAAGTAAACTTTGTCTTTTGAACAGTTGTCCGTCCAGACCAGCTCTCCATCCTCATCCTATGGATATGCATGCAGTGACTCTCCATCGCATCATGGTTTCCATGTGCGTTTTCTGCCGTTTGCTGTGTGCCGCACCGTTGTGTGTGTGTGCGTGTGTGGGTGCGTGGTGTGTGTGTGTGTGTGCTTGGGTGTGCTTGTGTGTGTGCTTGGGTGTGCTTGTTGCTACAGGGCATTGTAATCGAGTCAGTGGCATGGAATCGTAGCAAGGTCACTGAGACCTCTACTGGCGAGATTCTGATTGGCTCCAGCAAAGGTGGGTTCCTGCTCTGCTGCCCTAAGCCAAGACACTGTTGACAGGCACTGGTCTGGTCATTTTTGCATTAGTTTATATCCAGCTAATTCTCACCCTCCTCCGTTCTTCTGTGGCCCTGCGATCTACAGGTATTATTTATGAAACAGACATCGCCGCCCACGAGGGCAAGTTCTTCGACACATCGGCGGAAAAGTATTGGAAACAGGTGCGTGCCATGTTCATTGTCCCAGCTGCTGAGCTCAGGGACTGAGTGTGTGTCGGTCCGACTGGTCCAGCTTCGATTGAACATGTTTGGTTATGACGAGGTATAGACTCGTGCTAGCTCTTAGTTGTCACGATTATGCTCATCTCAGTACTTGTGTGGTACATGGTGTGTGTGTGTGTGTATGTGTGTGGGATTCACTGGCCAGAAAAAGCCACTTCATAGCCGTGTGGTGTAGACCAGGCTGAATAGTGGCGGTCAATTCTTCAGCCTTGCAAGCTGTTGAATGGTGCAATCCCAGCACAAGCTGCTATGGCTTCTACTGTAGCATCGCTATCATCGCCTCCGGCGATGGGCGTCCAATGGTCCAATGGTGTGCGTGCGTGCGTGGGTGCGTGCGTGCGTGCGCGCCTGTTAGTGATCATCAACATATAGATTGTGTTGTGCATGGTGCTTATTGGCCTTGCGCTTGCAGCTTTACCAACTGGGACCGGAGCCGGTGACAGGTTTGCTGGTGGAGAAGTTTCCACGAGCACCATCTATGTCCGGTGAGAAGAAGTATTTTATCATGGCCACCACGCCCAGGTAAGATGTGCTGTGTGTGTGTGTGTGTGTGTGTGTGTGTGCGTGGGTGTGTGACTGTGACTGTGTCAGCCTAGATTACACGTGCACTGAATGAGTCTGAAATAGGCGTGTGGTCTTGGTGTGAGCACGGTGATGAATCTGTGTGCCTGTCTTTTGCTTGTGTGCACAGCCGACTGTATCAGTTCATTGGGCATGTTACAACAACGGAACCACCATACTTCCAGTGGTTGTTTAGCAACTACGACACCAATGCATGTAAGTACAAATCCCTGGTTTAACCTTTGCATTGCTGACACCTTACCAGAGAAAAAGAGTTGGGCTCGCATCCAGTTGTTTGTGATGCTATCTTGCTTTCCACACTGCTTAGAGAAGGAATGCATCTTCTTGTGTTTCTTCTCTCCTGGGTTGGGTGGTTTTTTTTAATTGCTGAGCAGCTCTCAAAGACTGTTCGTTTCTGGCTTGCCACTTTCTTTCTAGTAGAATGAATAGATTTAAGCACGTTTCTACGCACTGCTCTCTCTCTCTCTCTCTCTCTCTCTCTCTCTCTCTCTCTCTCTCTCTCTCTCAAATGTGCAGTGAAGTTTGTTGAGCTGCCTGGCTCACTAAACTACAGCAGCTTGCAGGTGTACCCCAGCGATGCCGTGCCGCATACGTTTGCTTGGCTGACCGGTAAGGTTTTGCTTCCTTTCTCCTTGTCTCTCTCTCTCTCTCTCTCTCTCTCTATCTATCTCTCTCTCTCTCTATCTATCTATCTCTCTCTCTCTCTCACACACACACTCACACTCACGCACACACACACACACACACACACACACACACACACACACACACACACACACACACACACATCTTGCCACTCTGTGCTATCATAATTGTTGTTGTGTCTGCGCTACGTAACTTCTGCCATCTCATTTTACATTCATATGCAGGTACACGGTGCAAAGCATGTTGTATCAAGAGTACATAACCCCCCAGAGTGTGCAACGCCTGATCCAGCTCTGCATAGGGTCTTGGTCGAGCGGAATCGGATCTTTGCGTCATAATACCGTACACATCTGAGGGGAACTTGGGGAGTCGCGGGTACTCTTGGATCAAAAACAATGGTGCCCTGCCTCGAGACCGGCCCTGCGCTGGTGTGGAGTGTACGCATGACATCAGAAGATCCGATTCCGCTCGACCAAGACCCTATGCAGAGCTTGATCAGCGTTGCACACTCTGGGGGGTTATGTACTCTTGGTTGTATGCATAAGCTACAGTCCATATGTATGCATCACGTGCACTAGTCTTAGCTAGGAGTGTTAGCTTTGTCACCAATCAGACACACGGCTATGCATTTACATGCTCCGCGTGGTGCATGTCAGCAACACCAAGTGCTGTATTGACGTACTCGTGGTGTGTTTCTTACAGAGCCCGGGGTGTACTATGGAAGTTTGGACTTCAGAGATCAAGGCCCGCAGGACAGTGTCACAAGCAACTGCCGATTGCTACGGTAAGCCAAGCTGCCACTTACACCATGACGTCACTTTAGGGATTGTCTTTGGCAGTCTTTCCGTAGGAATAGCCTGCTGAGGTGTATTGTCTTAAGCTCGCTTCATTGCATCTCCTTCTTTGTGTTAGCATGTCAATGCTCTGCCCCGCTCGCTATTGAATCCTGTCTCGCTCTAGTCAAGGGTGGCTGCTTGTTTCTGCGCTGTCACAGTGTTGCTGCAGCACACCCATACCATGCACGTTCATGTGAAATCATGTGAGCTCATGTGAAATCATATGAAATCTTATATGCTCTCTGTACTACTACTCCTCAAGGCCTGATGTCAAAGCCTGGTGTCAAGTAATTAGTTGCTGGCCCAGTAGTATCTGTGTCTGTGTGTGGTGTTTGAATGCAAACGTTGGTGTTTGCCTTGTGTGTTTGTGTCCGTGTGTGCATTCAGATCTCCCACACAGACCAGCAAGACCAGTCCTCAGTTTCCGGTTGCCATAGCGTTGACAGAGTTCCACGCTCTCCTCCTCTTCAAGGACCGGTATGTGTAGAGCACTACTGATCAGTCGCTCAACACCACTGATCACACAGCACGGGGCTGTCATGTGTGTTCCCAAAGAACAAGCAAAACAAAATGGACAAAACAAATTGAATACAACCATGAACACGATAAGCAACAAACGCACAGGAGGGAAGCAGTACTCATCAGTACACTGCTGACTGGTATCCCATGTGAAAAGTACTGATCAGTACACCGCTGACTGGTATCCCATGTGAAAAGTACTGATCAGTACACCGCTGACTGGTATCCCATGTGAAAAGTACCGTACTGTTGCTGTATGCATGGATGTGCTCCCTCACGTAATTATCAGATGAGAGAAGCTGATTTCGGCATTTGAATGGGTCGTGTAAGCCGTCTGCGGCTCCAGTCCTGCACTACTTTCACACGACCCGTGGCATTAGTCTAACCGTATTCTGACCTACTTCCTCCGCGTCATTAAAATTGTCGCTTCGCACATCGCAATATTTGTGACTTGGCTCGTCTTAGTCAGACTGTCGGAATCACTGTTTTCTGTGTTCGAACACTGGTGTGACCCTTCCTGCGCAATGTCTACTTGTCACTGAAGCTGTGGTGGTCTCGGGCGTTGTCGGAGCTCTCTTCCGCACGACGCAAATTCATCGCGCTCCGCACTATTCCGCCCCAGAGCACATTTCGTTTTCTGGAGTTCGTGCCGTCCCACATCGTTCGCATGGGCATTTGTCAAGACTGCAAGCTCGGGTATAATAATCCTGGTATCTCTCCTGAATACGAACTGCTGAAGTTGACGATGGCAAGAACAAGGTGGTCTGAAATTCCTAAAATGCGCTACTTGTGGCGCATGTTGCTGCGAAGGTAGCAGGTCCGAAAACACCAACAAAATCAGCGAAGCGCTTGCCAAGGAAAGAAGTTGCGGAACTGCTTACCCTATCCCGCTGGAAGGTCGTTACAGTGTACTTGAAAAATGCTAGCTTGCCTTCATCGCCTGCCACCTGGAGGCATGGATCGCTTAAAAACGAAGTTTCTTGACCTGAATTTGAACGCGCGTCTTGTTCAGCGTATTGTTGGGTGCTGAAGGGTCTGCCTGAAACTCTGGTGAAGACGTTGACCTTAGCTGCAAGTGCAGCGAAGCGGGGGGTCACAAACTAAAGCTTGGCCCGTCGACAATGCTCTGCCTCGATTTCTAGATGATTTCTTTGCCCTTCGAGCGGACAAAAATAATTTCGAAAAATCGCTCTGGGAAGCAACAATTTTAATGACGCGGAGGAAGTAAATGGTGGTGAATTTTTGCAATCTCATGGCGGATTCAAACTGTCCTCCCTTCTCTTTTTGTGAGTTTGCTTGCGACATGCCAGTATCCATGAGTGTCTGTTGGTGTTCTTGTTTTTCTTCTTCTTTTGACTGGCTTGCAGGTTTGAGGCAATCTGTGTGTTGAATGACCAGGTTGTGTATGAAAAACCAATCAATCCGAGGGTAAGTTTGCCTTGGATGGTTCGATAGTGCGAAGAATAAAACTAATATACTGTACAAGCGCAAACAACTACCAAAGAAAGGTAGCTCAGCCGGTCGAAATTTCGCCCGTGGACCATTAAACGTATTGAAAAGCTAAATTCATCGATGTGTAGTCTGAAAATGAAAACTCCTTCGACGAGAAAAGGTGGAATTATGTTCCCGACGAATATTTCTGCTTGTACGGTACATGTTTAAGTACTGCAAGAATGTTGTAAGTACAGTCCTGCTCAATGAAATCCAGTCTAGTCACTCAAGTACGCCATGCCGGGCGTTGCACAGCCCTAGACCTGCGAACACTGGGCTGCGAAAAGGTGCATGGCGCCAACTTGACTCTCGCGACTGGATTTCATTGAACTGCACTGTACGTCTTTCTCTTTGCAATGGACAACTACTCCCCACCATCGTGGTACATGTATTGGGTTTCAACAGTACTTGTTGAAGGAAGGGTGGACTACTCTCCAATCATATCGTTCAGAGTATCTGTCCCCGGGGAAAATCGCGATTCCGCGGCCGCGTTTTTTTCCGCGATTTTTTGCGATTTTTTAAAAGACCGCATTTTCCGCGATTTTCCCGCGATTTTTGAACTTTTTTGTTGTACACACAGTGCACTGTTCGGTCAGCAACGTCTCATCGTGGCGGCTTTGTACTCAAATATGACGAGTGCTTACACCAGAGACTTGTAACTGATTGATTTCACTACATACTCACTGAAAATTGCCTCATATCAACTGCAAACTTGCCGCATGTCAATAATATTCACCGCATCTTTACCGCATATTTACTGCAAATTCACTGCAAATTATGCCATATGCCGCATTTTTTCCCGCGATTTTTTGCGCGATTTTCCCCAGGGACAGGAGTATACAGTACTCTCTTGGAATTGAACAGACACGACTAGGGCTGAAACGGAACTCTTTCTTATCGCAAATGGACGAACTGAAACGAAAATTCTCTTGTGACACCAAATCTATCTACCCCTGGTGTGCTATCTGTGCATTTTCTTTGCCTGCTCTACAGTTTCTGTTTCTTTTATGCACATTTCGGGTAAATCTGGGGTTATGCATCGATTTCGAACTCAAGAAATACCACGAGCAAGCATTCTGCACTGTGGCTTAGATGAGCGTTTGAAAGTTCAAGCCTTACCGTCACCTCTGCAAGCAGGACATTCACTAACCGGGATGCTTCAAAGATGGCTTGAAGACTCGGTGAACTGTAAGAACACAAACTGTTTTGTTTATTTTTCTGTGCTTTTTAAATATTTTCTTTGCAGCAAACGGGAGGTATGAGAGGCATGGTTCATGCGAGCCGCGGCGGTCCCTTGGCGTATGCAGAGATGCGCCTGTATCGTTACAAGGTCTCCCGCGAGTCACGGTGAGCATGCCCCCCCCCCCCCCCCCCCCCCCGCCTTTTCACATTCCAGTACTGGTGAAGCCTGCTCAAGCTTACTGGTAGCAGCCAACTGGCCCACACACACACAGCCACTTTTCTGTGGCACTGAATGTACTGAAAATGCAAGGGTCGCACATTGATACTGAATGTACTGAAAATGCAAGGGTCGCACGTTATCACCTGCGTTCAAAGAGCACGATAGCCCGGTGCCACGGGCGGTCGCTGAAACCAGCCACCACCTGTGTCTGTATGCTCTCACCTGACCAGAAACGTAGCGATTAATACTGAGACAGTGCTCAATACACTGGGCACAGAGCATCTCATGGAAGACAAAAAAAACTCACTGTGCATACGTGCCTGATCACCCATTATGTCTAGTAACACTGTTTTGGGAGGGATTTCTTCTGCACTTCTGTGTGTTGTTGTACGTGTACTAATTGAACACGCTGTTCTGTACTGTCTGTACTTGTGCAGTTGTCTCCCTTTCTTTCCTTCTGCTGTCTGCTGGCGTTTATCACGGCACTGTGAGCATCTCATTTTTTTCTAATTTGTTATTCCCGCTGTTGCAGTGATATTTGGAAGATCTATCTGGAGCAAGGCGAATACGAGAAGGCCAAAGACTATGCTAAGGTACAGTGTTGTGTGTGTGTGTGTTTTGTTTGGAATTAACTTTTGTTAATTGTGTCGGGCAAGAAGAGCTGGTGGAAGTTTAGTTCGAACCCTACTTCGTACAAGTGAAGGATATGAACAGGACCATTGTAAGTAGTGCTGAGTCGGGTAGCGTTTTCTTCGGGTATCGGGTTCGGGTAGGTTTCCATGGGTAGCACGGGTACCCGATCGGGTAATGTTTCCATGGTAATACCACACTGCACCCCTTCCCTTACACACTGGGTGGACATGCGGGGTATTACATGAACTTGTACACATGCACTGCACATGATGTCGTCTGCGACTTCGGGTTTTCGGGTACTATCCTGTACCCGACTACCCGAGGTCCTCACGGGTAGCACGGGTACCCGACTACCCGTGCACGCCCCTAATTGTAAGGTTGTACACTCTGTTGTGATATGAATTCTTTCTTCAAGGGACTACTCACTCCAGTGTTTTTGCTGGGGTATTTCTCAAACCTTGAGAATGATGGTAACTAGGCATGAGTCAGGCTAGCCTGACTCTACTTCACCCCTCACTAAATCTAAGAGTGAAAGTAAGTTCCTTATGAAAGGTCAACATTTTTCAATTGTAACAAAATTGTGTACTTCTAGGGTGATTATTTTGTTAGAGTTTATTTTGATAGCAGAAACAAGACTATTGTTGCTTTCTCCTGTGACTGTGCATGCAGAATGACCCCGTGCAAATGGACTACGTTCTCACCAGGCAGGCCGAGCACTTGTTCGATGAGAAGAAGTGAGTGCTGGGCACTCGTAAAAATCGGTGTATTTTATTTTCACGGCCTCTCTGTCATACCTAACATATCGACATTCACACACAAACACTGACACACATCATCCTAGGGAGCTATTTCTCTAACATTTCTGTTCACCTAACCTGGTCCTTTGCCCTCATGCCTGAAATGTTGAATGCCTAAAATTTCTGAAATTCGATTAGCTATCAGATCTGTAGAGCACAGCCGTTGATCGGCAGTGCAGCCTTGCCGTTGGGTCGGTGGTGTCATGGGCACATCGGCTTCCCTTTGGGCATACAGTAGTGAGGTTTAGTCCCACGTATCGGATACGGGAACATGGGTTATACACGTAAAGTTCCTGCAATGGACCCACGTTTGCAATGTTGTGTCGCTGTAGTCACACGGAACAAACAAAGGCATGAAGCGAAAGGCCCAAACCTGGTCAAAGACGAAGCTTAGAAGCTCATCGAATATTTTGATTTCGTGCTTCGGAACCTTCTTCAGCTGAGCACCCTCACAGCTCGCACAATGCGCTCCATTCTGATTTTCACCCATGTTCTGGCGGAACGTGGGTGAGCCTCCATACACGGAATCAGAAAACGTCTGTACGTGGGTCACTGAGGATCACGTGGTACACACGCGTAAAGTACCCACGGATTACGTGGGACTAAACCTCCCTAGTATTCTAGTTCTTGCTCTTATGCTCGTGGTTGATTGGCCGACTGGCTGGCTGGCTGGACAGTTGGTTGGGCTGGCTGGTTGGTTGGCCAGTTGGTTTGTTGACTGGGCTGGGCTGGCTGGCTGGTTTTTGGTTAGTTGATCGGTCATCACCTAATAATGGCTTGTATATCGAGGATTTTTACCGTACACTGTGACAGTTCTGAACTTCTCTGCCTTGGCTGTGTATTTGTTGTATTGTGTGTGTTGCTGACTGTCTGCAGGTACGACCAGTCTGCAGCTCTGTTCGCCATGACTCAGCGTATGTTTGAAGAAGTCGCACTGAAGTTCCTACGCGTCCAGGAGCGAGAGCCGCTCAAGACGTTCTTGCTCAAGAAGTTCAACTCGCTCAAGAGAGAGGTAACATCTGTGGCAGAGTTGTAGTGCAATATGCATATGATATATGCTTGCAAAGGAAACCTATACACCTAACTGAAAATGTACTAGAAATTCAGAACTCAGATGGTGAGCCAAGGCAAATTCATGAAAAATTCATGCACTAATACTGCGTTTAACTGTATGTGTGCTCTGCCCTCCTTGCAGGACAAGACTCAGCAGACTATGTTGGTGACATGGCTGATTGAGATCTACCTGACTCAGTTGGGAGAGTTGAAGGACAAGAACGCGCCGGCGGAGGACATTCTGCGCACGCAGCGCCATTTCCGCGACTTCCTCAGGCAACCACGGGTCAAGGTGAGCATGGGATTTGTGAGGAAAGGCTCTGCCGCTCCGGGCAACCGCTGGGCGATGGCTCTGAAGGAACCCGTGTTCTGTCTTCAAAGCCGCATAGTGTAGTAGGATGTGGGTACTTGCGGAGACAAAGTGTCTCTTTCACTTTCCTGTGCAATACCAGTCTATTTCATTTCAGAGGGGTCATTTTTACTTGATGCGACGATAACTGCAGATGATTCCTGTTACGTTTCCTGAATTACTCTAGAAGCATGGGTAAACGTATATTGGTGTGGAAGCTCGGGTATCCTGTCGTTTTGTTTTAATAATATGTTCTTGTTCTACTGTCCTGTGTGTGTGCGTGCGTGCGTGCGTGTGTGCTTGAAGGCATGCTTGGACAGCAGTCGGAACGTTGCTTACGAGCTAATCGCCAGCCATGGCAATACTGAGGACTTGGTCTTCTTTGCCATGCTAATGCAAGGTGGGTTGGCGCACCGCAGTACTACTATATTCCTGGGCACAAGACAATTGTTTCATGGTTCGCATGAGACTCCATTAGACTGGGTTTTCCATGCAATACTTTCGTTAAATCCGGGGGTGTATGGGGGGGGGTATGTTGCATTGTGAATGTTCTTGCTGGCTGCCGGCTATCCTCTGTGAGGTCGCACGAGACATTATCAGCAAGCTAGTTATCCATGATGGAATAGTGGCAGTAGGTTTTGCTGCACCGCTTGTCTTTCCCAGCACTCTCGGTCAGGTAAAGGCAGCGTTTGTGACCACTAGTACACAGAACTTTCTCTCTTTTTTGGTGCACGGACAATCACTCTGTCCACTTATCCCTCTCAATGTTCTGTTGTAGTGGTGCTGGTGTTGTTGCTTCTATTGTTCATGATGGTTGTGCGTCTGCTGTTTTTACACTGTTGCTCTGAGCAGACTTTGAGCGTGTAATCAGTCACTACATTCAGCAGCAGGCCTATCCAGCTGCCCTGGAGGTCCTGACCAAGCAGGTGAGTGCACCACGCTCAATTACCTAGTAGTTATCGTACAGCGTAGCACAGCGCAACACATGTGCCTATTGCCAGAAACTGACTTATTGCTGTCCACCCTAGTTTACGCACACTGAAGCAGAGCCACCTGCCGTTCTAAACTTCTTCTTCTTGCTCATGTCCTAAGTGTCCATGCAAATGTAGTGGAGAATGATCACATACTCATGTACATAAACACACACACTGTATGATAGCTTACCAGTGGCGTGATGATGATCATGTTATGTCACCGTATTGGATGTGCAGATGCAAGCTCTTTGAGCTCATACTTGTGGATCTGTTGTCGATTGTTCACTGTTGTTTTTGTGAATAGAGCGATGTCAAACTTGTGATCAAGTTCAGCCCAATTCTGATCAAGCATTGTCCGACCGCGCTGGTGGAAGCCTGGATCTCACTGGATAAGAAGATCGACCCACGCTTTCTCATCCCTGCCCTTACCCACTATGAACCACAGTCACCCAACCCACAGGTAGGAGGTCGGTGTGTGCGTGTGTTTGAGATGTAATGCCCGTCTGGTATGGCCATTTGCTCGTGTGCAGCGCGTTATCGTGTCCAGTTTTGTCACTGTAATCACTGTGATGGTTTATACATGGCTGAGATGCTCACTCGCAGTGACTGTCTCCTTTCTCGGTGTGCCATTCAAGCCTGTAGCTTGTAAGAAGCATGCTTAGCCTTGGCGTTCCATCCCTTATTTTCCGTGTGTGTGTATGTGTGTGTGTGTGTATGTGTATGTGTGTGTGTGTGTGTGTGTGTGTGTGTGTGTGGGTGTGGGTGTGGGTGTGGGTGTGTGGGTGTATGTGTGTGTGTGTGTGTGTGTGTGTGTGTGTGTGTATGTGTGTGTGTGTGTGTGTGTGTGTGTGTGTGTGTGTGTGTGTGTGTGTGTGTGTGTGTGTGTGTTCACGTACATTGTTGTGTGTTCTGATGCAGGCCAATGAAGCAATCCGCTACCTGGAATACTGTGTGCACAAGATTGGCAACAAGGACATGGCCATTCACAACTACCTGCTCTCTCTGTACGCTAAGCTGGAGGATGACACTGCACTGTTGCATTTCCTGAACCTCAACCAGGGACAGGTGAGCAATGTAGTATTGACTGACTTGATTGGATTTCATTGAGCCGCACTGTGCAAGGCTGTGCTCACGCGGGTATGTGATGTTATGCACTGTATTTCATGACCTAGTTCTTACTGTTGTCGTTGCTGTACAGCTGCACTCTGAGCCGTGCTACGACATCAAGTATGCACTACGCCAGTGTGCTGAGCATGGCCGTGCGCAGGCCTGTGTACATCTCTACAGCACAATGGGACTGTATGAGGAGGCTGTCGACCTGGCACTCAACGTAAGTACAGTCGTCTCTCTCTCTCTTTCTCTCTCTCTCTCTCTTAATGAGTACATGTATCGTACTGCTGTAATGTGCCACATGCACACTCCCGGCCTCCTAGCCAAGTCGCTGTCGTATTCAGTACTAGTACCTGCATTGTACTGCTGTAATGGGCCACATGAATAATCCTGGCCTCAAGCACTCTGTGCCCGTACACGGTCCAGTGTTTGGTTGGGTCAGCACTGCATAGCGTGCAGCACGAACTGGCTAGCGAGACCGGATTTCATTGAGCAGTACTGTGATGCTAGGTGCACACACACACACACACACACGCACGCACGCACACACACACACACACACACACACACACACACACACACACACACACCACCGGTGTACTGTTTAATAGGGCTTGAAAGTGATGACGTCAAAAACGGCCAGGGAGTAGTAAGTTGATATCAGATTTCTATTTTGGATCCACTAAGGTGTGACTTTGCTATTGCCTCAGTATGTGGGTGCATAGCAACCCACTCATGTCGTATGCAGGGGTGACTTTTACTTCGCCACCAGTTGTAACCCCGCCCCCAGTAGCCAAATCAGTCAGTTTCACTGGTTACATCACCTTGCTGTGAGTAAGACGGCTTAAAATGTGCTTGGATCCATACAAAAACTGGATCCTAGTGGATCCAATTTTTGAATTTTTGAAATTGTTGCTATGCTGTGACGTAGCACTTTCAAGCCCTATATCAGCAGGAGCCCAATATCAGGTTGTTGCTAATGTACTAAGCAACTCAGATATCAATTGCCGAAAATTCCTTACTTTTATTATACCATTGTGAGGGGTGCTCTTTTAGATCTGTGCAGCCAATCTAACCTGAGCGTGCTAGTCTGAATACATTGTGGAGGGAGCTTGTGTTCGGAGTACTTCTGCGTGCGTGCTGACAATGAAACTGTGGAGAATCCGTAAGACTCTAAACGTGGCACATTGCTGGTTGTTTGTGCGTGTGTTTGTGCATGTGTGTGTGCGTATGTATACTATGGTGCATCGCTACTGTACAGGTGAATGTTGATCTTGCCCGACTGATTGCGAACAAGCCCGACGAGTCTGACGAGGCGTTGCGTAAGAAGCTGTGGCTGAAGATCGCAAGACATGTAGTGGAGCAAGAGAAGAACATTAAAAAGTAAGACGCACATCTAGTATGGTAGGATTCCCCTGCGCTGGAAAGCAGCACTAAAGGTGCTCACGGCCATGCTTTCAATCATTATCCTTCTTTCTGTGGTGTCAACGTTGGTTGGTTGTTTTCGTAACCTGAGTGTTGGTTGTATATTACGTAGGAGTACTCAACTTCCAAAGCTCTTACCAATCCCATTCACTGATTCAGGCGGTGTGTCACTGATTCAGGTAATTCAGGAAAGAAGAAAACAATAACTGATTGAGAGCACGGCGTGTGATGTACGGCGTGTTGTGGGCTGACATACATGTATTATTTTGCACTGCTGCTGAATGTATGTTGTGCCTTTGAAAGTGCTACAGTTCAATGCAATATACGTAGTAATGTCTTGCTTCTTCCTTCTTCTATAAGTACTGGCTCTATCCCTGAGCTTGGTGTGTTCTTTTCTCCAGCAGTTCTTGTCGAATCTTTGCCTATCTGAGCAACATTGTGTACGTGCTGAGCAACATTGTGTATGTGTTATGCAATGTGTGTGCGTGCGTGCGTCCGTGTGTGTCTTGCTTGACTCTTTTGCAGGGCCATCCTGTTCTTGAGCGAGTGTGACTTGCTGAAGATTGAAGATATTCTGCCATTCTTCCCTGATTTTGTCACGATAGATGACTTCAAGGTACAGTGAATCAATGACCTTGTAAATGTTGGCAAGTGTTTGTCGTGTGATACATAATCATTACACGCAGTTGCCGTGCTTGCATGCATGTGGTGTTGTTACGACTGGATCCAGTACTTCAGTGGATTGATGACACAAGTATTACTGGAGTGCAGGTGACCTTGCATTGCAGGGTCTGCTGTAGCGAACATATACAGTGCTACTCAATGAAATCCAGTCGCGTCACTCAAGTGTGCGCCGTGCACCATTCCGCAGCCCAGTGTTCGCAGGTCTAGGGCTGCGCAATGCGCGGCGCGTGCATGAGTGACTTGACTGGATTTCATTGAGCAGCACTGTAGTTTCTCATCGACACTGTTGCTGTTCTCGACACAAAGCAGAGTTGCCGTTGAGTGTTGTCTGGTGATTGGTCCTGTTGCCATGAAACTCAGAGTTTCAGCAGAGCAAAGCTTCCCGCCATTGTGAACTTATGTTTGTTGTCACTCTCTATGGTGTTGTTGCATGCAGGAGGCAATCTGCAATGCACTACAGGAGTATAATGAGCACATTGAATCACTCAAGGGCAACATGCACGCTGCAACGCATAGCGCTCAGGGCATTCGTGCTGACATTCAGGAGATGCGGAACAAGTAAGGAGAACAGCATGTGTGGTCCTTTTTTCTCTTTCTCCCTCACTCACTCTCTCTCACTCTCTCGCTCTCTCCCTCTCTCTCTCTCTCTCGGGGTGTGCCTGTGTTTGCACAGATCACTGATGACATGTCCTTTTCACTCACTGTCCTCTCTTCTATTATTTTTGTTGAATGGCTCATTAGGTTATTTCAGCTGCTAATCTGTTCACTTGGTCATGTTCTTCTTTCTCCTATAGGTATGGCGTTGTGTCGGCATCGGAGAACTGCTGTATCTGTTCGTACCCGCTGCTTACACGCTCGTTCTACCTATTTCCATGCCAGCACGTGTACCATTCAGACTGCCTAATTCAAGAGGTAAATGTTATGACCTACACGGGTGTGTTCTCTACTCAATCTGCGGACAGAACTGTTTCGTCCGTTGTGGACTCATCAGCGCAGCACAGAGGAAATGAGGCCGAACCTGATAGCAATGAAAAATAAATTTTGCAAAGCCAGATTTAGTGTTCTCCATGTAAACGGTTTCATGGCACAACTCAGTGTTTGTGGTGCAAAATCAAGCAAACAGAAAATAGGCTATGGTGGAAATGGGGGAGTGAACTGCAATTGCAGATTTTCACGCGTTTATTAGCACCGCAAAGGGTATTTGAAAGCCGATCAGTGTTCGAAGCACTCAAGCTGCTCATCTCCGGCCTGTCACATTATGTGGTTGGATATCACTTGTCATCACTGTGCGTGTATGTTCTTACAAGATGGCTTTGAGCAACATGTACCTGGTATTGAGACATCACATGTGTGTTGCTGTAAGCTTTGTGTGCTCTTTCTCCATTCTCTTCCTTGCTTGCTTTTTTTGTATCAGGTCCTACAGCATTTAAGTGCCAAGCAAAAGTAAGTACCGGTAGATGTTAGATTAACCATTCTCTCACATCCTACTCTCTAGGCCTTGTTCCCATTGTGCACAACCGTTACTGGACCTGAGCGAAGGGCCCTAGTGTTTAGATAAACCACATGCCAATAGGATAGGTCCATTGTTTTCAGATGCATCTGGGGTGGGGGCTGTAAACTGCACAATGTTTGCGAAGTATTCATGTTTTTTGCAACACGGACATACTAGTAACTCAAACATAAACCAGCGTGAAATCAAACTTCTAAAAAAAGGATGCATGTGTGTGTTTGGCCACAGTGCTCCGCAAGCACGTGCCATCATAAACTCGCTTGTTCTGAGAAACCGTGAAAATTCAGTGACGCAAACACTGGGCGGTGTGCAGTAAAGCATTCTTTGTGATTTTATATTTCCACCCAGACAGCCATGTGCCATGCATGCCCGCTGTTTCTTTCCAGTATTCATTGTTTGTGCCTGTCCTCTCTTTGTGTCCCATTTTTTGTTTTGTTTTCAGGAAACGGGTTCTGGAGCTTCAAGGTCGCGTGGCGCAGGAATCCCAGGCGGCTGCGGCAGCCGACGAAACCGGCGCCGTCTTCTCCAAAGTGGAGCAGCTGAAGTCCGAGCTGGATGACATTGTGGCGGCGGACTGTGTGTTCTGCGGCGAGGTCATGATCAAGTAAGGCAATGCACAGGCACAGCTGTCCCATACATGTAACGTTAGTCTTGGATGTGTCAGACAGCCACTGCTGATTCCAAGCACATCACTGCATGTCTTGTAGTCTTGTGCGTACGAGACCATGCTCTTATTTTCAAATACTGTAGTACCTTGTATAGGCGAATCTTGCTCAATCTTTGATCAATCCATTTTTTAATCATTCTAAGGGACAAAGTAGCAAGGAGAAACCGTTTGGCTGTCGATTAGAAGAGTGGTCGGCCGCGGGCATGTTGGAGGGAGTGACTGTAGACAAGCTTGCAATTCTCCTTTCTGCATTGTGTGTTGTACTGCTCTAATAAACCAACCCCTTCATTCTCCTTTTCCTTGCTGCAGGAGTATTGACAAGCCATTCATTGATCCAAAGGAGTATGACGACGTACTTCGCAGTTGGCTGTGAGTCTGTATCTTGCTGTGTCGAACAGCAAATTTCCCCACAGCATTTATGTAAGCCCCCAGAATTTCTGATCCACTTACGTTACCGCGGTTCGTATGAAGTTGTCACACCTCAATATAGCTCAGTCAGAATTGCTTGGATATCTGCTACTGCCTTTTGTAAATACAACATTTGAGTCCTCCCTACTCTCATCCCTGGCTGCCCACATTCAATGTGTACATGTAATGACCTGCTCTGCGATTTGCTCTGTACATTGCTCTGCTGCTGTGGCCCTTTGTCTTGCCACGTAAACAAACCAACACTTTATCTCACGAAAATCATGAAACCGTTCGCACGGTGACATTCACTGCTTGCGCCGTATAACACAGCAGGCAGCTGTCACGAGCCCTGAGAAAATCTTACGCTATCCGCTTGTATAGTCTACAATTTGCAAAATATCTTTATTTTTACTCCTAAGACCGCTGGCTTGGATTTCTGCTTTTGACCTAGTACTTGCATATCTCTTTTTTTTTAATCTTCAAGAAGCAATGTGTGTTGTGATGTTACGTCATGGCCATGAAGCTCCTTACTCGCTTGTTTGTACTCTCATGTGTATGGCCTTCGCTGTAGTGTAGAGAGTTTCTATTTTCTGTCCTCTCGAACCGTGCCGTGTCAAGAATTTATGCTTGTGTGTGTGTGTGTGTGACCTTGATTTCTGTTCGATCGTGTCAAGACTACATCTGTTTATTTCAATTCTGCTCCTTTATCTGCACACGTCGAATTGATTCATTGATCAGTATTGACGTAATGATTACATGCGCAATTTGCAATCCTTTTCAACCTCGCATCCACTCTGTCCGTAGACCACCCTGGCCTTGGTACACAGGGCTTGCTGGTCTGCATCTACTCCTCTTGTAGCTGCTCATGTGACATGAACATTACATAGGATTACCACACTCTCTAGCTAGCTCTGTCTGTGAAGCTACACGCAATCCGCAGTTCCGCACCGCACGTCTTCAAAAAAGTGTTGTAGTGGTGGGGAATCTGCATTGTACACTCCGTGCGCATGAATGAATGCCTTTTGTACGTGCATGCACTGCCGGCATGCCCTGTGCACACGGTGACTCTGATGAGGAAAGCAAAACTGAAAATGGTGTCAGTGTTACGGATTTTGTAGCATGATTTCAAATTTACATACCCCTCACAACCTACACGAGCTATTTCAGCACAACTTTGGCCCGATGAAACCAACAAATTAGAATAAAATTGCCAAAACACACCCGAGTCCTCTGTATATTCGATATTTTGCGGATTTTGTAGCATGATTTCAAATTTCAATTAGAATAAAATTGCCAAAACACACCCGATCCCGGCCGAGTCCTCTGTATATTCGATATTTTGCTCGGAATTATTTGCCAGCAATTTCTTTTCGTGGGAAATTTCGATATTTTTGCTGGAAGCATAGCCGGCAAATTATTTGGGCTACACACGTAGGCATTTACCGGTATTTCCGGCAAGTGCTATCAAACCACGTGACTAGGCACGTGCCTTCGCTTTGCACGCTGCGTTAGTGTACGAGTCCTGCATGCATCATTCGGCCGGGCCGGGATCGGCAACAAAAAAGTACGATTCCCGACTTTATAACTCGTACCGTAGTGCGTAGATATATATCTACGGCACGTCCGTTGTGTCCGACCGACCCGGACCCGGCCGTGCTGATTTGCTATGCTACTACCAAGAGTACATAACCCCCCAGAGTGTGCAACGCCGATCCAGCTCTGTGTAGGGTCTTGGTCGAGCGGAATCGGATCTTCTGATGTCATGCGTACACTTCACACCAGCGCAAGGCCGGTCTCGAGGCAGGGCACCATTGTTTTTGATCCAAGAGTACCCGCGACTCCCCGGGTTCCCCTCAGATGTGTACGGTATTATGACGCAAAGATCCGATTCCGCTCGACCAAGACCCTATGCAGAGCTGGATCAGGCGTTGCACACTCTGGGGGGGTTATGTACTCTTGCTACTACTCTATAGACTGTGAGCCAGGCACCAAAAATCCTGTTAGAATTTTTTTTCGTTCCGACCTTGAGCGTACCGCAATTTTTTTCCCCAGTTCGTTTCATCTACTCGACTAGATACGAATTCAGCTTGTTGTCACTTCCAAATCAGGCACGAACATGCCCAAATAGAAGGGAGAAACTACTTTGGCCAAATCAATAGCCGCCATCGACAAGAACCAAGGTCACAAGAGCTGGAGCGGACTTCTGTTGCACCACTGACCTCGCAAAAATGTACGGTGGTGCAAACCCAGCCGCATCATGACGATGTTTTTTCGTGGTTTCTATAGTATTGTGTGCAGTGCTAGTGCAGCGCAGTGGCAGTGCGAACATCATCATGTCAATCATATCAGTGTGCTAGCATGCTTGCTGCTGATCAGTCAAGCTAAACTAAAGGTTTTTGTAATCTGTTGGAGCAGAAATACATGTAGAACGCACAATGTACCTTATCTCCGGAGAGCTAATAACTGTTTCGATCTTTTATACTGAAGTGCTTCAGACTATGATTAATTGTATCTTTCCGCTTGTGTTCTGTACATACAATGGGTAATGTAACTAATGTTTCAAAATAATTATTATTATAGTTCAAATAAACTACAGATCTGTATCTACCGGTATACCCCTGCGGTCCTCTAACGTTACTGGTTACGGTCATTGCTCTACCCTTTGCACTTATAAGTTAGGAAGCAATACAGCAGTACTTACGAAGTAACGGTACATTGATCAGTTATATGAGTGCAAATATACAAATCCTGTATCCAGCAACTTCTTTAACATTATTCTGCCATATTATAGAGATGTAGAGGGTGAAATGAGCATTGCACCGGATTAAACCAGATTCTCCTGGCTGTTATTGATGGTCTTTTCCAACCGTTGTCTGGAGAATTCGCTGCTGCTGGGCTTTGTATATTGAATGCCACCTGTTTGTTCTGTACATTATCATTCCTGAAATGCATTTCGTGGTTGTCGGCACCATTTCACGTGCACTTACCTACCAGTGCATCGTCACTTCGAGTAATATTTAAAATGTGCACGTACATTATACAATGCACTTATGCGTAATTCTATAATTTTTGGCCTCGTATAGTTATTTTAACCCAGCTGCAATGACGCTTGATATACATTTCTTCGTCCAGTGCCGTTGCCTGCTGAAAAAAGTAAGAAACACCTTCAAAATAGCATGTTGCTATGTCAGTTGCTATGTAGTTGCTATGGAAACGGGGTATGTTAAGATAATTGCTTATTTTGACTTCCCTGCAAGCTTCCCAAACTGACAACAATCAAAAATGATCTTCTATTACTATATATAGTATTAGGTCTCTCCACATGCTAAAAGAACAAAATCGCGGTACACCCAAAGTGGGAACGAAAATCATGAATTCATGCACTTGGCTCACAGTCTACTACGAGAGTATGCGGCCGCACGATCGCACGATCGATGCGCAAGTCGGCCGACAAGCAGAAGGAAGTTCGAAGTGAGATTTGCAAGTGCGACCTGGGTGATTTGCAGGTTTTCCGGATCGAACGCTGATTATGTTGGGTTAACCCAATTGTTTCTATGACTAGATGTGATTCGGGTAGGTTTGTAGCGGAGGTTTTGCTTGTGTGCTCGTGTAGTTTGCGCGGGAGTCTTTTTTGCGTGAAACGGCACACGTCGTTCACCGCCTACCGATTACTACGCCAGTGTGTGAGCAAGATCGCACTGCATGCATGGCGCACGGATCCAGCTGCGCCAGTGAGTATGCACATGTGAGCGTGGAAGTACTGTTTCCTCTGAAATACGAAAAAATATTGGTGTGTTCGGTGGAGACTGGAGGGCTTCGAGCTGGTTATGTTTCCTGGTACGTCTACTCACCTGATCAAAAGTTTATCTTATGTGTGCAGTGAGGTGTTGGAGCAGCTTGACCTCTTAGATCTCGCGCCTTGCTGATTAATTTGTCACCGTCCAACATTATTATGATCTGTTGATTTGCAAAACGTAAAATAATGGAAACTGAAGAGCACAGCGTGAGCGAATCGCAGGTCAACGGAAAGCCTGCTGAGTCCGAAGGCGCAGCTGATGCCCAGAGCCAGGAAGCCCAGACCAGTGATATGCCGAATGCACCCAGCACGCCGCCCATCAGCGTATTCCAATCAGCAGTGCCAAGCGAAACAGCCATCACCGCCGTGCCGTTGGTGCACGTTCAAAATCGACTGCAAGTCTCACCTGTCCTGGTGCCCTCGGCCTCGTCGGCTTTCCAGACTGCAGCAGTACCAGGCAGTGGGCAGCAGGACCAATGTAGCAGTAGCGTAGTCAACGCCAGTCCCAGCACTGCAGATGCTGCAGCAACGGAGGCTGCTGCTATCTCCACCAGCAGTAGCAGCACAAATGGCAACAACACGCACAATAATGGTTGTGAATCGCCCATGATCCAGCATCAGCAGCAGCAACAACAAGCGCAGCAGCAGCAGCAGCAGCATGGCACACTGACTCAGATATTACCGTCCGTGTCCACTGGCGGCTCTGATCGCCTGCCGTCACCCGCAGCACTGCAGCAGGCGCAAGCAGCAGTGGCCGGCGGTGGCGGCGTTGCTGGCCTGCCGCCGGGACCGTTCTACTTCATGCTGCAGAACGCCCCCGGCACCGTGCCAACCATCGCACCGCGGCCGTCGTCGTCCGAGGCACTCCCCTCGCCGTCAGTGGTGACCACGGCCGTGCGGCCGGACGGCTCGCCCGTAGCCATGGTTGCCGCGTCGCCGACCGGCTCTGGCACGCAGATGATGGACGTGGAGTCGCCGGGCGGTACGCTGACGCCGATGAAGCGAGGCCGCTCGTGCAGCCCGCGCGAGAGCAAGCGGCGCGCCGTGCACAACGAAGTGGAGCGGCGGCGGCGAGACAAGATCAACTTCTGGATGGACCGGCTGAAGGAGATCGTGCCGAATCCTCCCATGGCCGGCGGCACCAACACCAGCAAGGGCCACATGCTCGGCAAGTCCGTGACCTACATCACCGAGCTCAAGGACGAGCTCGCTGCGCTGAAGAAGCGCTACGAGTCCGAGCATAGCCAGCTGCTGCAGTGCGCATCTCAGCACACCCTGCTGCGTCAGCAGCTCCTGGAAAGCGGCCTCAAACCGACGTTCAACCTGTTCAGGATCAGCACGCCGAACAGCGCTGGTGGCAATGGTGCAGCAGTCTCCTCAGCCGCCGCCACCGCACCCGTTGCCGCCAGTTCTGTGAGTGTCACGAGCAGTGTTGTTGATGGCAATAAGCTGCCAGAGGTCATACCGATGGTTGCCGCCAGCGCTTCGAACAATGTCATGCAGGTTCGCATCACGGATGTGGCACAAGACACCCCCATGCAGCAGCAGCAAACTGTACGTGTCCTGTCTCCCCAGCCGGTGGTAGAACAGCCGATGCGCAGCGACGAGGCAGGCGCGGGCGCAGTGCACCCGCCACCTCTCATTCAGCCGTCGTTATCGCAACTGGCATCACCACCGCCGCTTACGCCCGTAGTCACAAAGTCTGCTGTAGTGGCGGCAGCGACCGCTGGCAATGCGGTGCCCATGTCCGCTGCCAACTCATCTGCAACACCGCTGATTGCTGCATCGGTTGCCTTGAGCTCCGTACTAAGTAACCACGTGTCTGCTGCACCCGAGTCATAACAGTCGCCGCCGGCTATGTGTGTGTGTGCCGCAATCCGCTGTGTTGCTGTCCTGCTAGTTCTTCGGTCGACTGTCTTGTGTGCCCGCTGTTGGATGTTGAGAGTAATTGCTGATGTCCCCTGTTGGATGTTGAGAGTAATTGCTGGGCCAGGCTCGCGTGGCTTTGTCTTTTGTAATGTACGTGTAGATGGTAGCAGGGTGCTAGATTGTAGAAAGCCACTGCCAGCAAGATAAGAAACAGAGCACAGTGTTTACCTGGTGGTGGGTGCTGCTTGACAGAGTTCCGCTCGGCGCACACTGGTTCCAGGCGTATCCTTAGCCTGCTAGCCGAACCTCTCCGCATTCGTGGGTGCGTTTGTGCGTATGTGTTTCCTCCTGCTATTATGTGACGCAGCACGTCTCCTGCTCCGTGTGGATATAGCTGATGTTCCGCGCCGTTGTCTAGCTTTGTGTGCTGCGTGCTCCTTGAGACAATCACCTGTGAGCGGTGATCGACTATAGACCTCTAGTATATGATAATATATGATGCGCCCACTGGCTCGTCGATGGGCAGCGTATTCCAGGCCTTTCCCTGTTTTGATTTGAAATCTATGAAAGCAGAAGCAGCTACTGGACACGTGTACAAGAGGCTGCAGTAGCTCTGTTCTTTCTTCGACTTTGAAGTGACAAGTGGCCCGCTGTTGTTGTGGCGGTGGTAGGTTTGGTGTCTACAGGCCCCGCCGCATGTGCTAAAATGAAGTATTGCCGAGTTGTTTTGTTTGAACATTCCCTTTTCGGCCAGTGCCTCTTCGTTCTTTTTTTGTTCTGGTGTGATGTATGCGTGTTCTTTGCTCTTTCCTTGTCGAAGCAGCACTTGTTCTGTTTCGTTTCTCTCTTGGAGGCTTCCTTGCCTTCCATCTTGCTGCCCTGTTTGCCGCAACCTTTCGTTGGCCTCTTTTTGACGCGGTGAGATGACTGCAGTCAACGTTCGATGCGTTGTTTTCACGCTGTGGGTGTTGTGTAGTGCGCGCACGCGTGTCTCTCCAGGTAGTCTGTACACTCACTACCGGCTTGTCTGCGTTTGGTTTCTCGCCTCTTTTTTTTATAAGATATTTCCTCGTGTTTGCCGCGCCGCGTTGTGCGCTTGTCATTGCTTGTCCTTGATAGTTCCTTGTGCCAGCTGTGTCCCCAGGCTTGAACTCCTACTGTGTTACCATAGTTATGTGATTTGCTTCTGGTGCTATGCAATCACTAGGACTTGAATGAGGGCGCTGTGCTTTCTTTACGGAATGATATTAACTGTCTGACATGCGTATTTAGTAGATTTCTATCGATTTTGTTCTATTTCGATCGTCGTCGTGGTCCTGCAACATCACGTCACACGTCTGTATTGCGTGGTGTGTGCTTTGCGGTGGCGGTGGTGGGTCGTTCCAGACAGGAGCCTGTCTCTATGCGTGTCCTGATCGGCTTTCTGCGGTTATCGTATTTTTCTTCTCCACATTGTTTTGGTATGTAGTTAACTAGTTACCAAGGGTCATGACGTCAGTCATTAGAGAGGTTCCGGAGTTTAATTTCCGTGCCAAAATCCGCAGAGCTGAGGCGCTACGGAATTATGTAATTGTATGTCGTTTGGAGTACTGAAATATTCCGGAGTACGGAAATTATGTATTTGCCGTCATTGCCTAGGTTACGATCGCAAACACGTCATATTCTCCGCGCTATATTATTTATTAGTTTGAAAATTTAATTGTACCGAAATCAAAACTTCCCATGGAAATCGATGTTTCTCGTACCGAATCTGTACACAAAAAATCTTTCTGCAGTCGATGATGCAAAATCTCCATACGAAACATGGTTCGTATGTGAAAGCCAGTCCACCCGGATTCCTCGTGCCGAAAAATTGTGTTCAGCCTGCCTCGAAAAAATCCGTAGCGTCGATGCGGATTTTGGCACGGAAAATCGTACCCCAAAACCTCTCTATTGCCCAATATAGGGTGCGTAACTCTGGTCCGTGAGCTAAACTGTAGCCGTGCCCTGCACAACTTGCTCCACGACCCTGCTTCCGCCCGGGATAAGTTGTGTGCCTAAATAATTGTATCATAAGGTGTTATGGCAGTATCAGTAGGTTCTCTGCAGAAGTTTCCAAGAGTGCCAGTATTATCACTTGACTTTATAGGGCCGTTTTAGAGAGAACATGTCTGTTTTTTTTTTTTGTCGGATCCTATACATCAGAACTAAAATATGGATCCTATACATGTATAATTATAGGATTTGAGTGTTCTGCATTATCCAGAGTGTTGTAATGGATGCATATGATGATAGAATGCTTAGTATGCTGAATAAGTACATACAGTGGAGATTGGATATAACGACCTTGGGTATAACGACAAATCGAGTTTAGCGACACAATTCTGTTGCCCAAGTCGTTTAGCAAGTCTTTTCTGTACATTATAGATCGGGTATAACGACCTCGAAAATAACAACAGATCGAATTTACTGACACTTTTTTGGTGCCCAAAGACCTGAAAAACAGGGAAAATACATCGGATATAACGACTTTCCTCTCGTATCAGGCAGACTGGCATGTCTGGAACATGGTATATGGCTGTGCCACGTGCCCGGACCTCCGGGTCACTGCTTTACATAATCATTGCATGTTGTAGCGGTGCGGAATGACTTTACCTTGAACAATGCATGCAAGACACATGTACATAGTAGATACACATCCGTTATCCACGTCATGTGCATGTATGTATATCTACAATACGTTTCTGTCATTTTGATATACATGTACATATTGCATACTAAATGTGAAGACCGGGTTTAGTGACAGATCGAATATAGCGACATTTTGCTTTCTCCCGAAGGAGTGTCGTTATATCCAATCTCCACTGTACATGTACATGTAGATACCATATGCTGTCTGATGAAGTGTTCTGACACGAAACTCGGAGTAACAGCGGAATGAGACTTGTTTGATTCATTGCTGTGTAATATTTGTAGATACCATGCATAGATGTCTGTGATTGATTGGGGAGGACTGCCACAGGTTAGCATATCTAGTGCTGTTAAGCCGAAAATTGGCCTATTGGCTTGAAATTTGGATTATTCCTATGGAAGTGTGTGGAAAACAGTTCCAAACATCTCATGAACCCCATTTTTTCAATGTGTATAGGTTGTTTAGCGAAATCCTTTAGCCGAAAACCAAAGGCCTATAAAAATATAAAAATGTAATGACTTCATGCAGGTAATGCGGTACATGTACATGTAGCTGGTAGAAAGGTGCACACTGCCTGACTGGATCATCATGTACGCAACTACTACATGTGCGTGTAGTATCCGAAGTTACAAAGAAAAATGTCCTTTGTGGTAGGAAACCTTACCTAACAAATCAACATCGAGTCATTAGTAGTTTACTACAGTAGAGTCGCGCGTCCAAGAACGTCGTTTCCAAGGGGTTAGCCTGGGGCGCTCTTATTTTTCAGCAATCAGGCTTCGTTCTTAGAAACAATTCGTACTGGATCATACTCAATCACCGTACTGGATCATGTACTAGTATAATCTTTAGGCTGTGGCGTTCTTAGCATTTCAGGCTGAACGTTCTTCAGCACGCGACTCTACTGTACTCGATCCCTGATGCCAACAGCTGATTTCCCAGTTTGCGGGCAGCGTGCCCCGCCAGACTCCATGTGCAGAGCTGCATACTCTGAGGGTCCGTGACAGGCTCTTTCTACAAGTAAGGGATGAGGGTCTCGTTGCAGAGACATTTCTAATTACAAGAAACTCAGCCGAAACTGCAAAAACTGATCGTATTCATTTGCCAAACACAGTGGATTTATTTTTGTAGGTGCCATTCCGGGGCCCTCTCCAAAACATTTCAAACTGTAGACTCAGTACTGTAGAGCCCAAAGTCGAAGTAAACAAGTTGTATGCTCAAAACCGTAGTGGCCGTAGCTTGTCGGACGACCCTGCCTGACCGGGAAAATTGATGCAGCCCGGTCTACGGATGCAGCATGCATTCGTTCTCAACACTTCCATGTCTCAAGCGATCCGTTTTCCCCAAGAAAACTACTATGCCATCTTTGGCGATACAAGTCATGTATATCTCAGCGACCATGTAACTGTTGTCAGCCAGGGGCTATCCCCCCCCCCCCTCCCCACCTTTTACCCCAAGCAAACTACTTTGCCATCTTTGCCTTTGGCTAATCTGTCTCGACCATGTACATTACATGTAACTGTTGTCTGCCAGGGCCTACAATAATAGCCCAAGCCCGGAAGGAGGGGGGGGGGGGTAAGGGGGGTTAGGGCCCGGTCACACATGCACTCGAAAGTAGCGTATACGCTGAAGCGAGGTCGCAGGAGCGAAAAATGGCATGGCAACGGCGAAAAGCGGAACTTCCGCTTCAGCGGAAACTCCAATCCGCTTCCTCCAAAATTTTCAAAGCGAGACTGTCGCTTCTGCGGATTCGCTTCAGCGGAAAACACCACGGTCTGCTGTATATGGACTTGCTACGAGAAATTTGTATGCGTATGATGTCCATGCAACAAAAATGCGTGCAAGATAGTCATTGACCTCGTCTATTCTCCGTACCGTATGCACCACAGTCTCATGTTCCGCCAAAGTAGGAGTTGTGCCCTGTTTGTATGTGTGACCGGACCACACACACGTGGTTTCGCTGGAGCGACACCAGGCTCGCTGCCGCCGAACCTCGTCGCCGAAGCGAATCCCAGTGCATGTGTGACCGGGCCCTAAGGGGGAGGGGGGTAAGGGGGTAAGGGGGAGGGGGTAAGGGGCCAGGATCGGATTTCTAGCTAGGGATAGGTATTTTACGATAGAAACTGTAGTTATGCGACCGAAGGGGTCATGGTGGTGAGTCAGCGGAACTGCTTATGGGCACTGCGGAGCGTCAGTCATAGTGTAGTGGGCCGCTAGTGAGTCGCTAGTGCATCGCTGTGCTCCGACTTTACAAGAAGGAGTCGTTGCAAAAGTTTTTGTCGTCCCTGAAACGAACATCATTCGTTGGAGGGGGGGGGGGGTACGAGCCAAAATCACAAATTGACCGGCCCTGTACACATGTACAATGTACATGCATGCGATTTTTATCGTCCAGCATAGCAAGCTGCGTTCATATCAGGGGGGGGGGGGGGTCCGAGTACGAAATGAACGATGTTCGGTTCAGGGACGTCAAACAACTGTTGCGACGACCTCTAAGCATAGCAACTGATGATGTGATCGCACAACCTCTACATGTACATGACTGTACATATCTGTCTTGCATTGGAATGGTCAGCGTCCTCAATCTTACCTGCTTCATGTACGTAAGATGTAGTACTAGTAAGTAGTTGGCTCTGCGGGTAATGATGGAGATTGTAGAGGCCTTCTTTCCGGAGTGCACTGCCTCTGTGCTCGTATAATCAGATGCTCAGTCTAACAAGTACTACATGTAGCAGCATGGACAAACAGCTGAAACGCCATGGTCACCAATATTATCCTGCTGGTGAAAATAAGAAGAATACAGTCAGGTGCCGAGGTACTAGGTGGTCTGCCATGCCATCTGCCCTTCCGGTCATACCTTGTGGCGGTGGAGGCAGCGACTCGATGTGTTCACGACTCTTCTCCGTCAATGCCAAGTGCCAGTGAAGAACACGATCGAATCGGTGCTTTACTCCACACAGTGACATAGTGGCCATGTGTCTCCCCATGGCATGGGCCCAGCCCGCAGCTAATAATTATTATTTTTTACTTCACCGCTGAAACTGTTCTGAACGACGTCGATCGAGCGCCTGTCCGGAAGCCTGTTTTGAGTGGACTGTGCGCTCGTCAGATCCGAGACGGAAGATTCGCGGCTTGCAGCAGCGGCACGCCAGTTCTGCTCTTGCAGAGCTTGGCTGGATGAATTCCAGGTTCTGGTCCAATCTGGACTTCAAGTAGTTAGTTAGTTACCAAACCATGCAAACCCTTTGTTGCTTCCACTGGACTAGTCTACATAGAACTTCAAGTGCAAGGGGAGTAGCGTTTTGATCAGAAAACCTTGAAACCGACACTCGTAAAAAGACGGCATAATTTATTTCCGGAACACTCTTATCTACACGTTTGTAGCCGGGTTCAAAGTAGTGCCAACTAGACCAAAATGGCTTGTGCACCGACATGTCGACGCTCTGTCCGTTCCATACTGGACTCAGCTCGCCTTCTCGGTGGACTCCGGCATGCTCCCTCCACATCCGCAGCAGCGGGCATGGAGCTGAAAAGCAAAGCTGTGGAACGCCCGCAACCGGCCTTTGATTACGACACGTTCTTCCGTAAGGAGACGGAGTTCCGGTTGGCCCAAGGTATGTACGACTTCTTCCTGCCACTCCACCAACGTGTCAATGCTTCACTCCCAAATCAGGCGGGCGCAGCGCCCGACTTGTATGAGCAGACGGCCGATATCATTCCTAAACTCGATGAACTGTTGGACAGCGTCACGGCAGAACCTGGCGACATGTCACGACGCCTGGAACAGGTTACGGAGGACCTGCGCAATGTGACGGTGTTCGCCACCACCGACTACCTGGGGCTGAGCGCGCACCCGTTGCTCATCGAGACGATGCGACGATTCACGGAGAAACACGGCGTAAGTTGCACGGGATCTCGCTACATCACCGGAAACACACTTTATCTTCAGATGCTGGAGCGCGAGTGCGCACGCATGCATCGCCAGGAGAGCAGTATCCTGTTTCTGAGCTGCTTCGATGCAAACAACTGCATTCTGTCTTGCCTGGGCTCGTGGCTGCCTGGGTGTATAATCTACTCGGACGAGGGCAACCATGCATCAATCATAGAGGGAATACAGCGGTCTGGCGGCCAGAAGCGAATCTACCGCCATTGCGACACACAGCATCTTGAAGAGCTGCTGGCCGCCGACCGTGAAGAGGAGGACGCGGATGCACCGCGGCCAAAGGTGATTGTGTTCGAGTCGGTGTACTCGATGCTCGGCGACATCAGCCCAGTGCCGGAGATTGTGCGTCTAGCGCGGCAATACGGTGCTCTAACGTTCATTGACGAGGCTCACTCTCTGGGCCTGTTTGGCGAGAATGGCCGTGGCATACTGGAACTGCAGGAATGCGAGGGTGAGGTGGACATCGTGGCCAGTACACTGGGCAAGGGCGCCGGCTTCCAGGGTGGCTATGTGGCGTCCAGCCTTGGCTTCACGGAGGCCGTGCGCCATCGAGCACGCGGCTTTGTCTTCACGAGCGCTCTGACCCCGGGCATGGCAGCCACGGGCCTGGTGGCGCTGCGCATCCTGCAGACGGCGGAGGGACGCGAGCTGCGCGAGAAGCTCTTCCACAACGTGGCCACGGTGCGGAAACTCCTGGAGGAGGAGGGCATCCCGCTCATCCGCAACGACTCGCACATTGTGCCCGTGTGCGTTCACCATCCGGAGACGGTGCACATTCTCAGCCGTAGTCTGCTCCACGAGTTTGGCGTGTACGTACCCGCCGTCCGGCATCCCGCGGTGGCGCGCGGAAAGGAGCTGCTGCGCGTAGTACCCATGCCCGGTCACACGGCGGCGCAGATTAATCATCTTGTCGAAGCACTGGCTATGCTCTGGAAGCGACACGACCTCCCGCTCACGCATACTCTTCATAGAGATATAATTGAATAGTCGCTCGACTCGGTAGTGCTTGACATACAGTCTGTGTACACAGCATTTAATCCTCTCGCGAGCAGCAAACGCTGGAAATTTGACGTTCGTATGTGGATAATGAGGCAACATACCCAGACATCTATTGTAGTTATATCTACATGATTGTACATGTATCTCTCCAGCTGAGAGTGATAAGATCCAGCTTTCGATAAGGTTGGCAAACAGCACGGGAGTTGACTTGTTCCCCGACCCCGTGCTTGTGCCTTTAGCCGCCTCAGTTCTGTGCGGCTTAGCTTTGTGCGTACAGCGCCAATAACATTGCCATGCCAGCACCGACTAACGACCTGTTGTCATGTCAACACAGACTCACGGCCCGTTGCCATGTCAACTCCGACTTGCAGCCCGTGTGCATTATGCAGGTCATGAGGTTGTCACCCGTTCTGTGCCGGGTGCTGGCTGTTTTGCGCATACTCAGATCTGCATGGGCCTTCATAGGCTGTTTTTGCTTGAAACAAGATCTGCATGGTCCTTCACTAGTGTGTGAAGGTGTATCCTTGACAAGGTGTCAATTACAGCTCTCTTCAAGCACAATTACTGGCATGGATGCATGCCCTTTGCTGATGCATGCCGATAAGTCAATTTACGTGTGGCTGGTTTGAGCGTATTCTCAGATTGCGGGCTACTTTTAGAAATAGTTCAAAAATATTTGCCTGCCGGATAACATTTCCACATACCCATTGCAGCCAAACAGATCCACCTATTCGAACAAACTGATGTGTGTGTGTGTGTGTGTGTGTGTGTGTGTGTGTGTGTGTGTGTGTGTGTGTGTGTGTGTGTGTGTGTGCTGTTCCAATTGATCATTCGATTTCATCATCCATTCTCTTTCAACTGTTTTCATTTCAGTATTTCAATGCTTGTGTTTGTTAAAAGAGCTGTGAACCTTTTATGAGGTACCCAAATATATCTGATGCCATCTTCTTAGGTAACAGCTCCGATCTACACCTATATGTACATGATGATTGTAGTATTTGTACTGTCATGTACATGTGGGTCACTTGTCACCAGGGAGTCGACTCCCTGCTTGACACTGTCCAGGGAGCGGACAGACAGCATTATATAAATTAGAATGGGAGAAGATCAGGCAGGTATGGAGCCATCTGCAGACTCAGTCGTTGCATAACTAATCAAGTAACTAGTTACTTGTGCTCTGTATATACACTGTAGCAATTATTTACACTGATTTGTTTGTCTGCCGGTGAACAGCTGTCACCAAGGCCGGCTGAGCTCGATCCCCGAGTGAGGCCTTCGTGGACACGATGCACCTGTTCTCGTGACAGTATTCTACCACCACACTAGGTCAGTGATCGATCTAGTAGTAGTTTGTTTGTCTGGTGATTCCAGTGATGATTCTCAAGGTCAAACGATAAAAATGCTCAAGAACAAGGTTGAGAAGGGATGCCCGGAAGTAAATGTACAATATCATGTAGTTATACCGACAGAATAGGGAGAATCCTGCAGAGAGGTAAAGGAAAAAGAAGGTTGAACTTGAAGGAGGCAACAGCAGAACACCGTGGAGAGACAACAGGAAAGCACGGAGAAGAACGGAGAGAGGAAAGTTACGGCAACAACAACGACATTTTGGTAGCAGCTTTGGTAGCCTATTATTGTTGATAATTATTCCAATAGCACTGAGCTCAAGTCGATGCTGCATGCAAACCAACCCTGCACTAATACCGACAAAGACAGCGTTGTGCCTTTTTGTCGCACTCGCTGACTGTATAATTATGATCTGGTTACGTTGGTGGACAGTCACAACTCGTAACATTTTTCCTTCTCCTTTTTTACTATAATTTTCAAAACCTCTGTCTATTTACTGTTTTGGTGGCTCTCATCGCCCAACCAATCTTCATTCCTAGTGACAACATAAGAGAGCTGAAGCAGATTACGGTATTGTCAGACATGGATTGGAAGACTGTGGGCTATTTGGTGCTTAGGAAGTTAGTTAGGTGGTACATGTATACAGCATTCAACAGGGTTTGGTGAAGGAGTTGGCATTGTGGTCAGATTCGTGGACTAGGAATAGACCAAGGAATGGACCGGCGTCAGTGTATTCAACAACTTTCAATCCTGATGATGCAGCGTTTTGCCATTTTCTTACTTCGCGGTAGATGCGTCACTTGAAATTCAAGAGCATAATAGTTCACGAAACATAATAATTGCCCACTTTGGGTTGACCCAATACATGACTTGTCATGTTCATTGTGCATGCACACGTACGACTCTTCATGCTGGAACAATGCATCACACCTTCCATGTACAGTGTATATGTGCATGATGATTGTGCATGTCACATTTTTGTGGAATGACATTATTTATTCTTGTTTTCCAACAGGCGGGGACGCCTTTTTGCAGGGAACCCTAGGAACATTTTGATAGATGCGCGAAATTCAACTGGTGACCTAGGCGTACATACATGTACATGTATGTGAATGCCATTGAGAACAACCATTGATATGAAGTGAATTTTGTAGGTACAGTTTACAGTTTTCTAAAAGAACTTTGAAGCTCCATTGTAGCCGTGTCATATTTTCAGTACACCCAACTCGCAACACACAAACAGTCCTTGGCTACACCACGTACAGAAAATTGTCCAAGTTTTCTCCCAGGAGGGCATCATCAGGGATATACACTGTACACTGTACAATGCAGGAGAAGAATGATACAAAGTAACAGGATTACAAAGTAACAGGATTTGTTGGCTGATACAAGACAGTATATAGTACTGTCTACATGTACATGTACATGATTGTATATTAGCCAACTTTTGTATCATTCTTCTAGCTCAGTCCTATGTACATGTACATGTATATCCCTGATGATGCCCTCCTAGATCCTGGGTGAACATTTGGACAGTTTACTATACATGCACATGTATGTAGTGTAGCCAAGGACCGTCCGCTCGTGTGTTGCGAGTTGCCGGGGTGTACTGAAAATAGTTTACAGGTTGGTGGGACTATAAACACTTTTCTAGGGTTCTCTTGACATGAAAAGGAGACTGGGGATGAAGAGCAAGAGCGAATGAAACTGAAAGAAATAATTTCTACCCACATCTGACCACTCTCGGTACCCTTGCCATCAGCAGAGGCATGATACAGCCAAAGTCCCTGGAACCTGATGGCACTGTTCTATTCCAACACACCGTCGTTGTTGTTGCTGTCCCAGGGCCCTGCTCTCTCACCGGCCTGGTTAGAATTCCTTTCATAATTTTATTCATTGGCAAAGCCAGGGTTTCCCTACCATACAAATAACAATGTACATTTTGTATACTCTGTTCAACGGCTTCTCTTTGCTGGCTGTATGTGGACGGTTCTATAGCCGCGGATGTGCGAACTTTACGCTTACAATTATGTAGTTTTACTTTATGCTGTTCGTCCCTGCATACATGTAGAAAAATTGGCAGAATTCGGTACTTTTTCTGGTAAGTTTCATGCATGTTTGGCACGTGGATAAAGAAATGGAGCAGAATTCGAGGAATTGCCCGCCATAAGGTTTGTATGGTTCTGCCAATTTCACTGCTTTTCGAGCAGAATCTGCCACCTTTTCGAGCATTATCCGCCAATGCCTACATGTACCTGCATGCAAGTTTTTGGAATTACATGTAATTTATTTGGACGCAAACCAGTTACCTTCACGTACCCCGGCACTGTCTATCATGGTCTACATCAGTACATGATCTACATGTACACCATGTAGATGTACACAGCAGGGTTATAATAAATTCAAACATATCACGTGCTTGTTGCCATCCGACGGCCAATCAGCATCGACTTGTACCAGGGCAGAAATTGTGTGTATTGCCTGGACTACGGCATGGCAATGCCCTGCTAGCATGCTACGGAGTACGGTGACATCCCCTGCATGCATGCTAATTCAGTAATTGCTATGCAAATGCCAGGCTATGGTGCCATCTATCAGCGTAGCTCGGCAAGGGTCTGTGGCACTGGCAGTTTTTCGTTGTCAGCTCAGTTCGCATGTACATTCGACTCTGAACTGACGTAACTCAAGTCGTTACTTGCTCTGGTAAGCGAAATAAAAGAGCATGCACCTATCTATCTGCTCTGAACTTAGCAAGCCAAAATAAGTAAAGTGGCATTCACACTTGCCACGTGATCGTTGCCACGGTTTGACCCAATCAGAGCGGTCACAGGCTGGGCATGAACCTCTGATCATGCCCTGCCAGCAACGTCTACTAGTACTACTACGGTACTACCATGCACCGCGCTGTACACCCCATCACGTGATCATTCATGCCCTCCTACCATGTGTGAATATACTCATTCACACATGGTAGGGCATGAATTAATGAATTCACACATGGGTATATTCACACATGGGTATATTCACACATGGCTAGTATGGGTATATTCGACATACTAGTACATGCCGTGCCATTCAGGCCTTTGAGTTTGACCAATCAGCACGTCCTGAGAGTGTGTGGAGGTGAAACTGAGCACGACGGGATGAAGGTATAAAAGGAAGGTACTCATAGGGGTGGTGGTCGGGGACGTGGAGGACTCAGCTTCTGAGCTTCTAGGGGTGGTGGTCGGGGACGTGGAGGACTCAGCTTCTGAGCTTCTAGGGGTGGTGGTCGGGGACGTGGAGGACTCAGCTTCTGAGCTTCTAGGGGTGGTGGTCGGGGACGTGGAGGACTCAGCTTCTGAGCTTCTAGGGGTGGTGGTCGGGGACGTGGAGGACTCAGCTTCTGAGCTTCTAGGGGTGGTGGTCGGGGACGTGGAGGACTCAGCTTCTGAGCTTCTAGGGGTGGTGGTCGGGGACGTGGATTTCCCAGCTTGTGAGCTTCAGCTCCCTACTCTCTCTCGTCAACGGTCGAGGGCTGCTCGAGGGCCTGAATCAACAAAGCCGAAGGTATAAAGAAGGTATAAAAGGAAGGTACTCATAGGGGTGGTGGTCGGGGACGTGGAGGACTCAGCTTCTGAGCTTCTAGGGGTGGTGGTCGGGGACGTGGAGGACTCAGCTTCTGAGCTTCTAGGGGTGGTGGTCGGGGACGTGGAGGACTCAGCTTCTGAGCTTCTAGGGGTGGTGGTCGGGGACGTGGAGGACTCAGCTTCTGAGCTTCTAGGGGTGGTGGTCGGGGACGTGGATTTCCCAGCTTGTGAGCTTCAGCTCCCTACTCTCTCTCGTCAACGGTCGAGGGCTGCTCGAGGGCCTGAATCAACAAAGCCAGCTCCCTACTCTCTCTCGTCAACGGTCGAGGGCTGCTCGAGGGCCTGAATCAACAAAGCCGAAGGTATAAAGAAGGTATAAAAGGAAGGTACTCATAGGGGTGGTGGTCGGGGACGTGGAGGACTCAGCTTCTGAGCTTCTAGGGGTGGTGGTCGGGGACGTGGAGGACTCAGCTTCTGAGCTTCTAGGGGTGGTGGTCGGGGACGTGGAGGACTCAGCTTCTGAGCTTCTAGGGGTGGTGGTCGGGGACGTGGAGGACTCAGCTTCTGAGCTTCTAGGGGTGGTGGTCGGGGACGTGGATTTCCCAGCTTGTGAGCTTCAGCTCCCTACTCTCTCTCGTCAACGGTCGAGGGCTGCTCGAGGGCCTGAATCAACAAAGCCGGAGAGAGTACGGACCTGAAACTTCAACTTCCTTGAGATGACCTGAATCAACAAAAGATGAAACTTCACCTTCCTTGACATGACCTGAATCAACAAAAGATGAAACTTCACCTTGGTCGACATGAAACTTCAGAACTGAGAGCCGAGAGCGCACGGAGCTGGAACTTCAGGACCTGAAACTTTGTGAGCTGAAACTAACGTTACTTCAGAACGAAACTTCAGAACGAAATTTCAGCCGTACCGTGCGCGCGGTCGAGGGCTTGCCCGAGAGCGCACGGAGCCTACTTCAGAACGAAACTTCAGCCGTGCGCTCGACGGCTTGCCCGAGAGCGCACGGACGTGGAACTTCAGCTTGTAAGTTTCTGCCATTGTTGTGCAACGAATGCCATAATAAAGGACTTGAGAACTTGGGAAGGCAGGCACTCGGTGTTTCTAGTTGATGTATTTCAAGTTCGATTTATGTAGATTAGTGCAGTACAGTGGCTTTGTTTGCGCTGCTAGCATGCTGCGGGTGCGCTTGCACGTGCACGTTCTGCTGAGGAGAGCGTTGTGGCTTTCGCTTGTGCTGTCCTGCGTGGGTGGCAGTGTGAAATACAATCAGACATGGATGTCAGGGCAGGTATCGTTGATTCCGGCCCTCGAGCGGCCCGCGGCCTTCGGCCTTGGGCCGCTCTCGGGCCTGAATCAACGATACTGCCCTGACATCCATGTCTGATTCTATACTTCACAACGAAACTTCAGCTTGTTAGTTTCAGCTCCGTACGCTCTCGGGCAAGCCCTCGAGCGTACGGCAAGCCCTCGAGCGTACGGAGCTGAAACTAACAAGCTGAAGTTTCGTTGTGAAGTAACCGTTAGTTTCATCTCGAGCAAGGTGAAAAGTTTCAGCTCCGTACGCTCTCGGGCAAGCCCTCGAGCGTACGGAGCTGAAACTAACAAGCTGAAGTTTCGTTGTGAAGTAACCGTTAGTTTCATCTCGAGCAAGGTGAAAAGTTTCAGCTCCGCACGCTCTCGGGCAAGCCCTCGAGCGTACGGAGCTGAAACTAACAAGCTGAAGTTTCGTTGTGAAGTAACCGTTAGTTTCATCTCGAGCAAGGTGAAAAGTTTCAGCTCCGCACGCTCTCGGGCAAGCCCTCGAGCGTACGGAGCTGAAACTAACAAGCTGAAGTTTCGTTGTGAAGTAACCGTTAGTTTCATCTCGAGCAAGGTGAAAAGTTTCAGCTCCGCACGCTCTCGGGCAAGCCCTCGAGCGTACGGAGCTGAAACTAACAAGCTGAAGTTTCGTTGTGAAGTAACCGTTAGTTTCATCTCGAGCAAGGTGAAAAGTTTCAGCTCCGTACGCTCTCGGGCAAGCCCTCGAGCGTACGGAGCTGAAACTAACAAGCTGAAGTTTACGCTCAGCTTGTTAGTTTCAGCTCCGTACGCTCGAGGGCTTGCCCGAGAGCGTGCGGAGCTGAAACTTTTCACCTTGCTCGAGATGAAACTAACGGTTACTTCACAACGAAACTTCAGCTTGTTAGTTTCAGCTCCGTACGCTCTCGGGCAAGCCCTCGAGCGTACGGCAAGCCCTCGAGCGTACGGAGCTGAAACTAACAAGCTGAAGTTTCGTTGTGAAGTAACCGTTAGTTTCATCTCGAGCAAGGTGAAAAGTTTCAGCTCCGCACGCTCTCGGGCAAGCCCTCGAGCGTACGGAGCTGAAACTAACAAGCTGAAGTTTCGTTGTGAAGTAACCGTTAGTTTCATCTCGAGCAAGGTGAAAAGTTTCAGCTCCGCACGCTCTCGGGCAAGCCCTCGAGCGTACGGAGCTGAAACTAACAAGCTGAAGTTTCGTTGTGAAGTAACCGTTAGTTTCATCTCGAGCAAGGTGAAAAGTTTCAGCTCCGCACGCTCTCGGGCAAGCCCTCGAGCGTACGGAGCTGAAACTAACAAGCTGAAGTTTCGTTGTGAAGTAACCGTTAGTTTCATCTCGAGCAAGGTGAAAAGTTTCAGCTCCGCACGCTCTCGGGCAAGCCCTCGAGCGTACGGAGCTGAAACTAACAAGCTGAATCCTCCACGTCCCCGACCACCACCCCTAGAGGAGCCTCGCTTTTATACCTTCATGCCCCCGTGCTCATTTTCAGCTCCGGACGTTATCAGGACGTGCTGATCGGTGATTGGTGTTTCTTCATGCCCCCGTGCTCATTTTAAGCTCCGGACGTTATCAGGACGTGCTGATCGGTGATTGGTGTTTGCTTGTTGATGTATGCGGTATGTTTGAAACACAATCAAGCATGGTAGGAAGGTCTTGATGGAAAATGCGTACCCTCGCGCGTAGCCCTCGGGCAAGCCCTCGGGCATACGCACTCGGGCACTCCATGCCCTTGTGTGTACGCTCTCGGGCAAGCCCTCGAGCGTACACACGCGGGCATGAATTTTCCACCAAGCCCTTCCTTCCATGCTTGATTCTATACATCAACTTATAATCACACCTCAGTGAGTGTCCCATATTTTCATAAACATTCATCGTTCCGTCACTTCTCAAGCTTGGGTACCGACCGTCGATGCATCATGGCTTCCATGCTACATGCAGTGGACGCGCCTCGCACAGCCCCTGGCCTGTACCATGTGTACTGGGCCCTGTACCGAGTACGATTCCGCTCCTTCTTCGCTATCACACCCTGATGGCCTGAAACAACCCGCCCGGAGACCTCCTCGAACACGAACACCAAACCTCCAAACCTTCATTGTGTACAGTATTAGTATTACAATGTAGTTGGTCATGTGCAAATGTAGATGGGTACACCGGTACCATTCACTCAAGTAGCATACACCTTCCGAGGTCAATCAAAACCAGGGAGTTGTATACGACTCCTTGATCAAAACTGAAAGGATGTACCGATACATGTAGCAGCTACACCACGTCAGGGTCACACCTCCCGGGATCCCTGGAAGCAAAGCTGATCGCTTTCTGTCAGTGTCTCCGTCAGCCACACGTACACGTCTAGACAGTGTCCTGTCAAGTGTCATGTTGACTGTTAATGTTGTAGACGTTCAGTGTTCACGGTCGCTGGGATGTGCCTAGCACCTCCTGGTTCAGTGCATGCTGGGAGTAGTACAATCCCTGGTTCAGTTATGCGTTGCTTATGGCGATAGTACTGGATCTTATCATCTAGTGCAGTGACTCAGTGAGCCAACCTGTAGTGTAGCCCAAACCGTATAAATAATACAGTATAGCGAAAATACCACAAACCATTCTTGTGGTGTTGAGCACTCTAGGTAATCTGGGAACTCCGTGTATAGCAAAAATACATCCATGAAGCTACTGCTAGCTATCGTCTTGAACTTCGTCTTCAGCTTCAAATCCCAACAACAGCATTGGACTAAATGGTGTACTTGCTCAGGACAAACCAATGCTAGCAATTACAAGTAGCATCGGTTTGTCCCGAGGATGCACATATCAGTCATCACGCTTTGTATCCTGCTAGACCTACATGTACATGTATCGTATCGCTACTGTACTGTAGTCTACTACAAAACTAATACAAGACAAGTGAGACTTTAGGGGCCGTCCGTAATTATCGAACGTTTTTCACCAAACGAATTATTTTAGTTTAGACCCAACCCCTCCCTCCCTCCCCCTCATGCTCAGAACGTAAACAAAGTTTGACATATGCATGCATAATACAACAAAAGTTGCAAGTGTGTAACTGCTCCTATGGGCATGCACATGTATCAATGTTTTCTGAAACGAAATAATAATTGGTCAACCCCCGGCCCCTCCCACCCCATAACGAAATTATTTTGTTTTGTGAAAAAAGTTCGATTTTTATGGACGACCCCTTACAAGTAAGACTTTACAAGTAAGACTTTACAAGTAAGACTTTACAAGTAAGACTAAGTCTTAGTATTACCATGATTACAGTACTACTACTAGTGCCGGTATCGTTTTTGGTTCTGACTCTGCGCTGAACTCGTGGGTGATGCCGTGTGCCAGTGAAAGCTCGTGTACGCGTAGTGTCATCGTGTCGTGTTGTGTCGGCGACTCGCGGCGTGAATGTGTGTCCACTGCGAAACCGTGAGCATCACACCTATACCACCATCACTGCCTACCACCATCACTGCATCAGTACAGCGCTAGCGGCAGTCGACGTAGATCTACGTCAGTAGTGTAGATTTACATGGTCATGTATCCTACCCTACTTTGTAGGCCCTGGCTTGGGCACTGCCGGTACCTGTACTGTAGGCCCTACCCGCAACCCTACATCATGACTGTATGTACTGAGGATTCACTCCTGTAAGTTAGTGTAACACCTAAAATGCGGGGGCAAAGGTTTTATTTCATGCAAAAAGCGAGTCTTCAGCATCCCATGTAATGCCCACGATACTAGTGCAGTAGTGGTATGAAGACCTGAAGTGCTTCCAAAACACAGAACGACACAGCACGGCGTGTGACTGTGACCCCATATAGGCCATAAATTATAATGCGAGTCTACATTGTAGTGTCAACTGAGAACTCACTGGATCACGGTGCATGCTAGCGGAAAAGATGAAAAGAAGGCGTACAAAATAGTAGTATTAGGTGGCAGAACCATTCTCGTTCCTTGTCGTGGAACACCGTACCGGCTAGCGTGTCTTCACCAGAGGTCCATTTAGGAAATTTTGTTTCTATGTTGTGTAGTGTGGCGAGCGTGACAGTGGTGGCTTGTTCTCATCGTAACGGGCGTCAAGACACGAACAACTAGCCGGTTGATCGCCTCCTGTTTCGCTCAAGCAGTGGACACGACTGCATCTCAATCGTGTAGGGCAGAATCAGTGTGCTGTGTTTGTGCAACTGTACCGGTGTGGTGTTTTGTGTTGCAATTCTGCTTTGCGCTACGCCCAGGCATGGGCCAAGAGCAGCCCTATCTGCCAGCAGTGATCTAACAAACCTATAGCATCGCTTTGCTGCAGTTAGGCCAGCGGCGGTGTGCAGTGCTTCTGCTGCTACAGCGGCGCTGGTGTCGTTGAAGCGCGACACGGCCGACACAAACAACCGTACATTCAGGCACACTACACAGCAGAAAAAGGCCCGGCAGCGCTAGCGTCGGTCGGCACCATCGCAAACACAATAGGTCCCTCATCATCAGCAGCAGCGGCACCGCTCAGCTGGTCCCGGCACACATAGGCCGAACGCAGCAGTACGGTCGCGCATGGCCTCTGCCTCGCCAGGACGGAGGGATAAGGAAGGATGTCTGCCAGTGCGCGTCGCCGTGGTAGGGTTATCTGGCGCGGGAAATGCCGAGTGCGGTGTAGGAAAGTCATGCCTCTGCAATCGTTTCGTGCGATCTGCCGAGGATGAGTACGAGGAGAAGCACTTCTCGGCCATTGCATCTACCGATTTCTACGGTTCAGTCATCAACGGACAGCATTTCTTGTACTGGGGTAAGGCTAGAAAGTACCCCCATAGTCGACCGTCGCCAGAGCTGTCCGCACCACACAAGAAGAGCTACGAATTCCACGTGGTGGAGCACACGGAGTTCGTTGACGACTCCACATTCAAAACGCTAAGTGGTTCATCAGAGTCAGGAATTGCAGCCTACCTGCGGCGCGTTGGGAAGCTGAAATTGACCTCATCTGGCAAATTATCCTATATCAATCGTGACCAGCTAGCCGATATTGCAATCGGATCATCATCAAGCTACGAAGTGGAGACTTTCCCGTCACCGTTTGAGGTCGACGCTTTCCTAGTGGCTGTTGATGTGAGTCGAATATTGCCAACTCAGGCCAAGTGGCTGGAGAAACTCCTGCAAGCGCTGGGTAAGCTGAAGCGGCCGTTCGTGATTGCTGCATGCAAGTTCGACAAGGTGCTGCCAGCGTGCATGGAAGAGCTGGGCGGTCTGGTGAAGCGCCACGCCAAGGGCACACCCATAGTGGAGACGTCGGCCAGGCAGGCGGTGAATGTGGACGCGGCCTTTATGGCGCTGGCATCCATGATGCGACGCAGTGGCCGCCACATTGGAATTGGAAAGTCGCCGGACGGCTACGAGGAGGCGCTCCACGAGGTGGAGGAGGAGCGCGGCAAACTCATGACGCGATTTCGCAGCCTCCTGGAGCAGGAGGTGCACGACTTTTGCGTGACGTGGCCGCAAGTCGAGGTACTGCTAACTGGCCGTGAGGAACTGCAGCAGTTGATCTACACCGCTGGTCGCGACGCCGTGCGTCACATCGTCATAGCACACGTCAAGCTACTGCGAGAATCGCGGCGCAACGAGCAGCTGCGGACCTACAAGACGGCGCTGAAGTGGGCCTTTGCCACACTACTGCCCGGCGTGCACATGAACTCGCAGTTTGAAAACGCCATGGAAACCGTACGGTCCCACTCGGCCGTCAGCGATTACCTGGTAGAAGTCGGCGACGAGCCGTGGGACGGCAAGGAACTTCTGAGTAACCCGCCGGAGCACCACCGTGTACCCATGGACGTTCTGCGGACGCCGGAAGCGCGGCAGGTGTTCGAGGAGCACATCCAGAGCGTGGAGATAGCGCGGCAGAATGCCATGCAGGCAAACATGCTCATGGACATGATGGAGGAGAGCAAGGCTGAACTGCTGCCAGGTGAGATATGCTGGCAGTGCACAGTGCACAAACGTGTGTTGTTGTGATCCGGTTGTGATGACCTCCCCCCCAGACGGCGCCCGTGTGTGTGTGTTTCTGTGTGTGTATGTGTGTATGTGTTTTTTTCTGTGTGTGTGTGTGTGTGTGAGAGAGAGAGAGAGAGAGAGAGAGAGAGTGTGTGTGTGTGTGTATGTGTGTGTGTGTGTGTGTGTGTGTGTGTGTGTGTGTGTGTGTGTGTGTGTGTGCGTGCGTGCGCGCACACGTGTGAACAGAGGGGAGGGGGAGAGAAAGGAAGGAGAGAGAGAGAGAGAGAACAGCAGGAGCGGCAGCAATGGGTGCGCTGTGCCAGCATTACACATTGCACAAAGGCACACTTCAGGAAGTCAGTGTAACGCCAGGAGACACTTGCTACTGTGACCAATCCAACAGGCCAAGAGTACATAGAACGAGCTGCTGCACACATGAGAGGAAGTGGTAGTTCACGGCTTCCTTCCTGGGGTATTCTATGCGGGCGCATACAGTGTACACACAGACTGATTACTTACCGCATCCGTATAGGACAGCCGCTGGCTGGCCAGTGGGCATGGTGTGGAGGACGCTACCAGCACAGCATACCAAGGTGATCAGCTGACGAGCGCATTCCTGTAGTCGTGACGACGACACCCGCTGCAGTGTAGTACACTCCTTGTTTGGGCAGGTCGTTCTTTGTTTAGCCGGGGGCAGGCTAGTAACTCCTGCCCCGTGGCAATAACACCGCCCCGCCCCCTGTGTGTGCTCTGTGTATGTACCTGTAGTGCCGCGTTTGATTGGCATGTCTTGTCGTGGCGGAATCCTGCACAGGCATGCCCGCCGTGATGTGGAAGACACGGCTGTCTAACAGACTAATTCTCGCTGTACCTAAAAGTTTGGCAGTTTGGGCAGAGAATTGTTTTGAAGCAGGCGTCTAAATTTAGGTCACGCCTAAAAAGGCATTTTCGTACGTGCTGAACTTAAAGGTAGACGTCGGCCGCCTGATTCTAGGTTGCACCCGAAGCCGTCTGGTGGCATGCATCTAAATTTGGGTCAAACCTAGACGATTTGTTTTTAATTCTTGTTGTTACATGGTCACACGTCACGTACGTTTGCGCTGGGAACATGGCTGGGCGTTGAGTACTGAATGACTGCAATGGTAACCTGTTCTTCTGTTTTGTATACGTGTTCGTGCACATACAATAATTCTAAGTGTACACACATAATTATAACGTTATGTGTGTGTGTGTGCGTGTGTGTGTACGTGTGTGTGTACGTGTGTGTGTGTGTGTGTGTGTGTGTGTTTGTTAACGTGTATGGTTGTACTATTTGGTGTCCATGTTGTACAACATTGCAGTGTTCCCCTTTGTACCTAGTGTTCCTATCATTATGTATCCATTGTGTGGCCATTGTGGATCCATTGTACGTGCATAGTCATTGTGTAATACAAGTGTGTACCTGTATGCTGACACCAGTACATGGGTCGTAACATCATGTGGGTTTATGGCTGTGTATCGGGGGGGGGGGGGGGGGGGGGCAGAAAATAGGTCAGCTGAAAGACTTGATAATGCAATGAATATAACTAGATGCGCACTCATATCACAACCATGGGTTTTTGAAAGACTTGAGTTCGCCATTGTCGGCCGGAGAATTCTTCGGTTATGTTGATTCCCCAGCGTAGCGGTGTGCACCTTAACTGCACAGGTTTGTAGCAACATGACTTCCAGCAACAGATACAACCTATTCTACCAGTATACCCATAGGTAGATGGAGATGGTGATGTTCTTGTGGACAGTGTTCTTGTGGTCAGACAAATTCTCTTCATTGTTTTTTTCCCCTTTTCATTCACTCACTGAGCTGATTAGTATGGTATGTGTATGCGTTGAGTTCAGTTCTTCAGATGTAGTTGTACTTGTATAATGGATTGTGTCTGATATGTGGTGTTTGATTGAGGCTGTCTGACATGCATGTCCTTGTGGCCTGACCTATTACAATTATCTATTGACAGGGTTTCCACATGGCAGGCCGGGGCACGTGAATAATGAGTTCTTGACTGCTCCCACTTGAAGCACACCGGCCACTGCCACTGCTCTTGCAAACACAGTGTGCATCATGACGTAAATGCTCTGGGAACACGTGTATGTCTGTGTACTCATGTGTATGTTCTGTAGCTCACAGATGTGTAGTTGTGCTAGTTGACAAGTAGCCTAGCTAGCAGTGCAAGGTGCTACACTGACCGTACCCTTTGTTCTTATCTGGGTCAGCAAGTGGCTGCTTGAGTGGTCCTTTCTCTGCCCCAACACCATGTGTGGGTACGCGCATGTGTGTGTGGGTACCCTCATGTGCGTGTGTGGGGGTGGGTGGGTGGGTGCTAATGTTGTGCTGGGGCTGTACTGTCAAGCGAAAACTTCATTTTGTCACTGCACCACAGCAGGATGGTCTTTAGGATGTGCATACACTGTGATCTTTATCAGTTCTTTGTCCTGATCGCCGGAGGAGTTCTTCAGGAGTGTGTCCACTGCAAGCAGCTCAGTGACCTCTAGATCTTGTGGAAAGTGGTTTGGAAATGTGATAGGAGCTATTGCTAGTGAAACTTGCTTGGCCTGTTCCTCCACCTGCATCCTGTGCTGAGCTGTACATCCCTGCAATGTGCCATGCACTGCATTATTCCGCAGGGTCATCCTGGTCCAGTGCTTGGTCTCTCCTACGCTCCACTGGCAAGTCGTCCGAGAACCTAAGCATCAAGGACAGCGTCAAGCAGCAGGTAAATACCTGAGGAAAAGCACTATCCATGCACTGCAGTATCCATGCACTGCACTATCCATGCACTGCACTATCCATGCACTGCACTATCCATGCACTGCACTATCCATGCACTGCACTATCCATGCACTGCACTATCCATGCACTGCACTATCCATGCACTGCACTATCCATGCACTGCACTATCCATGCACTGCACTATCCATGCACTGCACTATCCATGCACTGCACTATCCATGCACTGCACTATCCATGCACTGCACTATCCATGCACTGCACTATCCATGCACTGCACTATCCATGCACTGCACTATCCATGCACTGCACTATCCATGCACTGCACTATCCATGCACTGCACTATCCATGCACTGCACTATCCATGCACTGCACTATCCATGCACTGCACTATCCATGCACTGCACTATCCATGCACTGCATTATCCATGCACTGCACTATCCATGCACTGCACTATCCATGCACTGCACTATCCATGCACTGCACTATCCATGCACTGCACTATCCATGCACTGCACTATCCATGCACTGCACTATCCATGCACTGCACTATCCATGCACTGCACTATCCATGCACTGCACTATCCATGCACTGCACTATCCATGCACTGCACTATCCATGCACTGCACTATCCATGCACTGCACTATCCATGCACTGCATTATCCATGCACTGCACTATCCATGCACTGCACTATCCATGCACTGCACTATCCATGCACTGCACTATCCATGCACTGCACTATCCATGCACTGCATTATCCATGCACTGCACTATCCATGCACTGCACTATCCATGCACTGCACAATCCATGCACTGCACAATCCATGCACTGCACTATCCATGCACTGCACAATCCATGCACTGCACTATCCATGCACTGCACTATCCATGCACTGCACTATCCATGCACTGCACTATCCATGCACTGCACTATCCATGCACTGCACTATCCATGCACTGCACTATCCATGCACTGCACTATCCATGCACTGCACTATCCATGCACTGCACTATCCATGCACTGCACTATCCATGCACTGCACTATCCATGCACTGCACTATCCATGCACTGCACTATCCATGCACTGCACTATCCATGCACTGCACTATCCATGCACTGTACTATCCATGCACTGCACTATCCATGCACTGCACTATCCATGCACTGCACTATCCATGCACTGCACTATCCATGCACTGCACTATCCATGCACTGCATTATCCATGCACTGCACTATCCATGCACTGCACAATCCATGCACTGCACTATCCATGCACTGCACAATCCATGCACTGCACTATGATATCCATGCACTGCACTATCCATGCACTGCACTATCCATGCACTGCACTATCCATGCACTGCACTATCCATGCACTGCACTATCCATGCACTGCACTATCCATGTACTGCATTATCCATGCACTGCACTATCCATGCACTGCACTATCCATGCACTGCACAATCCATGCACTGCACTATCCATGCACTGCATAATCCATGCACTGCACTATCCATGCACTGCACTATCCATGCACTGCACTATCCATGCACTGCACTATCCATGCACTGCACTATCCATGCACTGCACTATCCATGCACTGCACTATCCATGCACTGCACTATCCATGCACTGCACTATCCATGCACTGCACTATCCATGCACTGCACTATCCATGCACTGCACTATCCATGCACTGCACTATCCATGCACTGCACTATCCATGCACTGCACTATCCATGCACTGCACTGTACATGACTGTAAATCTTTTATTGGGACAAACTGCATGCTAGTGTTGTAGCTATACTGTTCACACCTGCTCCCAGCCCCGTGCCATCTCCACACTCAAACAATTGGACGACGATAACTACATTTAGAAGACTGTTTATTGGCACGACGACGACGAAACACAACTAAACATGATGAGCTCAAGACGAAGACTGCTTTTCACGCCACAGCGACACGCGCATGCACCAACGCGACGTACATACGACGTACACACGACGTACGCACGACGTACACACGACGTACACACGACGTACACACGACGTACACACAAAACAACGTGCTACAACACTAACAGTGATTTATCTTATATTATAGCTTTAATGATTAGTTTAATCTTTATGTTACTTTCCTCACATGCCTCACGGCACTTGTATGTACATGACTGTACTATTCTTGCTGGGGGCACCTGCAAGAAGGTGCATGGCGATGAGCTAACGTCCGTAGTCTTTTCACCAGTGCTACTGTACTTCCTTCAACAGAACTTTAGCAGGGCTGTAGCAGCCAATCGCCATGGTCAGTTTTCGGACCGACCACTGGTCAATCAAGCAATTTAAATTTTTTTTTGCTTCCCACCTTCCAACCCGGCAAATATTTTCTATCTTGGTCATAAGAAAAAGGAAAAACAAGTTTAGAGCGTTTTCAATGGTATGCCAGTGTCCTGTATTGGCTGGGCCCTCTTTTGCTTAGCTGATTGCTTCTGCAGGGGTATTACAGGGGGGGGGGGGGGGGGGTAATACAACGAGGCTTCACTGTACATGTATGTACCTGTCTGTGTCTCTTTTCCCACTTCACCTGCTGTCAGGTCTTCTCCCAGTTTGATGCCGACCTGCGGCAGCAGTGCTGTGATGAGTTCTATGATGCGCTGCTACTCAACATGGATGTGTTGGAGGGGCCAATCGGTAACAGCGGGGCCACGCCATCCGGTGATCAGCTGAAGAAAATCGAGCACGCCTTGAAGGTACGCGGGATGATACCCACGGAGAATAACTTTACCCATAGAACCCTGTCAGTGTGAATTAAGACTTTGCGCTACCTGTCTGCACAACGTCATATACGGCGGTGACAAAATCTGTGATACTCACTAATGTGCTCTGCAAAGTACATGGTATATACTAATCAGCTAACAAGTGCCATTGGTCAACAATACCTTACTATGCACTCTGCCTGCGAACTGCTACTGCTGCTGCTGCTGCTGCCGCCGCTGCTGGCACTTCCGCTGCTGCTGCTGCTGGCACTTCTGCTGCCGCTGCTGCCCCTGGGATTGTTACAGGGTATGCCTGCCTATGATCGGCTGAGGAGGTGCGTCAACGAGCGCTCGCTTGTGCTGATGAACTTGCTGGCGGAGAGACAGCGGCCGTCGCTGCACGAGGACGTACTGCGGCACATTGCACGGTTGCCCACGTAAGCCAATCCAGTCTCACCACTGAGAAATTAGAGTGGTGCCCATTATCAATGGAAACGGTCATAGGCATCACCATCGATTATCTGCTGCAAATTTTCCATTCCAATCCACTTTGAAGTACCAGGATGTGACTTGATATGTTTAGTAGTGGGCAATAGCAACAGCACCTGTGTAGTCAACATTTTTTCCGGACTCACGGCGTTTTCACTGTCCTCGAACATCAATCATAGTTCACACAGAAGCAAATGAAATGATGGACCCTAGTAGGCTTGTAGTCACCTGTCAGCCTGACTGGCTCTTACCCCAGGCTATAACTACTCATGCCGGGTTTACTTGCACTGAAACAAAACAAAAAATAACAACAACAACACTACATGCAGTGGAAGCCTCAAATGTATTGGCCAATGGCCATCATCGGTGGACATATTGTATGCCTACTTCAAGTCACACACTGCCAGGGCATAAGCCGGATACATTAAAATAACATTTTAATCACATTGGGATTTGTTTTTCGTGTCCAGGGCGGAGAAGCTATTGGAGACGAATTGTGAATGGGAGCTGTGTGCTACTGGCAAGGGGATGTCGGTGATCATGGTGGGTCAGGATGAGGACACGGCGTCAGTCGTCGACGGTATCAAGGTAATCATCCTGTAGGGTGATCTTGTACTGGTTGAATATCAACAGCTTTTGCTAATGGTGGAGGGCGGCATGGGAGGAGACAGGCACATTGCTCACAATAACAAGGCCATCGAGTCAGAGCCGCAGTAACACCTTGTGCCCCTACAACCCTCTACCTGCTACACATACCATATAATTCATATGATACCATTGATTATACGCTGAACTTCTAGTGATTCACACATCAACTCTGACCTGCAGGTAGGGTAGAAGCAGCAAACACATGCTGGTAACAGGCACTACCAATCACGGTCCCCATGAGTTTATGTCCTGCATTGCAGCTTTGGAGCAGTTCAGTCATGCCAGATCAAAGGTGCATTCCATTGCTAGTAGCTCTGTGTGTGTGTGTGTGTGTGTGTGTGTGTGTGTGTGTGTGTGTGTGTGTGTGTGTGTGTGTGTGTGTCTGAGACTCTGTACTGATTAGTCCATTTGTGACATGTTCTTGTGATGCGGCTTCCAGGAAGCTGTCAGATGTGGAAAGTTACCCGCCAATCAGCTTCCCAAGAGAATACTCTGCCTGGATGCAGAGAAAGCTCTTGATTCATTACTTCCAAGCTCGAAGGATGTTGGCAAACCCAATGGTAAGGGTCTTCTTTCCATTGAGGTTTACGTATGAAGATGACAACACACATATGTACTTTTAAAGTTGACTGTTAGCCAAATTACACTCTTTCTCGAAGTTTGCACAGTTGCTAGCCATTCAGCAAAAAATGCTTGTTCACATTTTGTCAAGTTACAATCACTTGGTTGGGTGGCATGTCTCGGAATTGCAGGTTTCAACTTTTTAGAGGGGTGTGGAGTCTTGCACTGACTGCTTCTTTTTGTTGTAGGGTTGAACAGAACTGAACTTGTTGCATTCCTATTTCGTACACAAGGTATGTGGTCAGGTTGAAGCGGTCTAGTTTGCATCCTTTTCTGTGTGTGCGTGTGTACATGTGTATGTGTGTGTGTGTGTGTGTGTGTGTGTGCATGTGTGTGTGTGTGTGCCTGCGCGTGCGTGTCGTTTGTGTGGCATGTGTGTTTTAAAAATGTACAATGTGCTTCCCAGGTCTTTTGGCTGTGGTCAAAGGGCTGGAGTCCCTGGACAAAGTCGAGAGTTGCCTGGAGCATCTGCTGTTACCGTCGGACGATGCCACATCTCTGAGCAGCGGATGCAGTGACGGCGAGTACCGCGGATTACCACTGGTCATCGTGCAGATCCGCGAGGCAGACATGTCCAACGAGGACAGGAAGACGATGAAGAAGCGAGTCACAACCTTGGCTGGCAGGTACTGATATGCGTGTTCTAACCAACGAAGGCAGAGCAAGGTTTTTCTTGCAACTCGAGGATAATTAAGCTGTACGATTCCCAGACAACATGATTCCAATGTGTGTCTGATACCAGGAAGACTTTCTCTGCTAGTCATCTGTATAATGTGCCTTACTGATGTGTGTGTGTGTGTGTGTGTTTGTGTGTGTGTTTGTGTGTGTGTGTGTGTGTGTGTGTGTGTGTGTGTGTGTGTGTATGTGTACGTGTGCACGCGTACATGTGCATGCTTGTTTGCATGCGGTGCAATGTGTACGTGCAAAGGCTTCACTGCCCAGTGGTGAAGGTAGTCTGTCCAGCTTCAGACACAGCGTTCATAAGCTACGCCGCTAGTGCCATTGTTCTGCTGCGCTCCGTAGTCGATCGCCACTACACAGCTCTGGTTGATGATGAAAATGTCCAGCAAGACATTCGGTAAGGGTTGCCAGTGCAGCTTGTAACATAATATCAATGGTGGATTTTGGAGTATGAGGGGTGGGGGGAGGTGGGTTGGCGGATCTTTGCCTAAACAGGATTGGAAAGGGTGCCTCGACACCTGAACTGTCTGTCGCAGACTGTTTATGTCAAGATGTAACATGGTGTTTCATTGGGGATACCATTCTCTCAATGAGAGGGGGGGGGGGGGGGAGTGCTCTGGCCAATCTGTACCTGACAGGGGGGGGGTATATCTTTTTCATGCCTGATCCAGCCCTTTTTAACTGACCAATGTGGATGCATGTGTGTGTACATTTGTGTATGTGTGTTTGTGCATGTGTGTGTGTGTGTGTGTGTGTGTGTGTGTGTGTGTCTGTGTCTGTCTGTCTGTCTGTCTGTCCGTTCTTTGATTATATCTACAGGATTGCTCTATGTACACTGGCTGATGATAAGATGCACGTCGCGCAGCTGCTCTCTCCATTTCTCTCCGCACAGTTCTGCTGGAAGGCACCAGCCAGCTCAGCTCGAAAGGATTCCTTTCGCTGTCTTCTGTGCCTTGAGAATCGCGCCCGGGTGCTGGAGATCAGTCTGTACTCGACAATGAGTGAGTGACAATGGATTTGATATGTTCACTGTGTAACCCCGGCAGCGTTACTCTCCGGGCACTTGAGGCTGTACCCTTAACTTCTGCCAAAGTTCTCCTTCACTTCTACCCCTTATGCGGGGGGGGGGGGGGGGGGGGGATTTCTTCTCCCGGTGCTGTATCGAAGCTCGAATCCGGAGCCAATCACTCTGCATTTGTATGGCAATGCAGATGCTGTGTTCGCACCATAGTAATCGCCGCTAATCGGTCATCAGTGCTGCCAAAAGGTGAACGGTTGTGAACTCTGGTGCGGAAGTGTGCAAGTGCACTGTGCGATGGATCAGTGGTTTTACATAGCTGTGTGTTGCAATGGTGGCCAGTGTTGTGCCGTGTTGTTCTGCTCTTGTGTGGCAGATCCCAACATCGTTCTGCAGACTGCACATCATGGCTACATAGTGTGTCACTCGCCGGTGCGGCCGGCCTCTGCACACCTGGCATTGTAAGTACACTGTGTACTGTATTGCGTGTACACTGCACACGTAATGCCAGTCCCAAAGGGACTTTCCCTTGCTCAAGACAGCACTTCAAATCACCTTTATGTAAAATTGATTTATGCAAATCGGCCCTCAACCTCCTGCTCGTTGCCTTTTTTCGGCGGTAAACCGGAGGGATAGCCACAGCCATTGCTAAGCGGTGTGGTGGGTGGGACTGTTATATCTCCGCTCTCCGCTCCCCATACAAACTGTACAGTTGTGGTCATGGGATTGAGCCAGTCATGTGCCGAGACTGTGAATCATTTGAGTCATTTTGAGTCATGCAAGTCATGTGAGTCGTTTGAGTCCTGCGAGTCAGTCTGCACCAGACTGGTGCTGCACAACCCTAGCACTACAAACACTCGGCTGTGCACTGGTGCAGGGTTTAGACTGCTGTGAGGATGTATGGATGACCTAGTAGTCTCTTCCACTAGGCTTGACTCACTCAAGGCGTGTTTGAAGTACCCTGATATTGGCACATGTAGCCTACATTTTGCTCAGAGATTTTCTTTGTTATTTATTTTATTTATTTATTTATTTTTTTACGAGCATTCCTATCCCTATAGGGTTTGAGTTCACAAGCATTCCTGTTTGCGACTGCAGTGGTCTGGATGACTTTAAAAAAAATGTTTGACTGCATGCTGTGTAATGCTGTGTAATGCTGTGTGATGCTGTGTAATGCTGTGTGATGCTGTGTAATGCTGTGTAATGCTGTGTGATGCTGTGTGATGCTGTGCAACAGGCGTATGCTGGCAAATCTTCCCACTGTCGTGCCACGCGTTGTGCTGGTGGGAACGCACGGCTCCGATCTGCCCGACAAAGCTGAGCTGGAGCTGCTGGACCACACGGATCGCGTAGCAATGAGCGTCGGCGCGCTCACCATCCTCGGCACTCCGGATTATTCGAAAAATGGTGAGGTGCCGTAGAGTGCAACGTTTGAGTACATATGCTTGGAGTCTTCTTATCTTGTCTATCAGCATGGTAAAGATTACGCTGTATATTTGTCGGGATTTACAACTTAGAACGTTCCAAGTTGGAAGGCTGTTGGAGTGCGTACCCAAGATGTGCTAGAGCTGTTAGCCAGCTAGTTGTAGAACGTCAGTACCGTCGTTCAGTGTTGTGCAATGTTATCGCATGAGCTGATTGTTTGACTGGTGGTGTTAGTGGACATTATAGCGTAACTTGTAGTTTCTTGGTCCTTTTTCTTTACTATAAATTTATCCTTGGCTCTTTCTTGTTTCTCTGCAACAATGAATTTCACACTAGATTTTTTCCAGTCGAGACACCGGCAGGGTGCTATATGTCTCACACCGAAATTTGAAAAAGATCCGACTTGGACAATGGAGAGCCAAAATACTGAAATGTCCCCATCTACTCCCATACAAAGGAACGCTGCTCCGATCAACTTCGGACCTTCACCATTGGAATCAGTGCATTTTTCGCTACAGTTTGTGCATTTATTTTTATTTTTGGGTGAACTTCCCCTTTAAGCAATTTGATTTGCAACAGCGAAGAGACTGACTGCCCGGTTCTATTTCTGTGTGTGCAGACGCCCCGTTTCGATACTTCCTGCAGTGCGTGTGGGAGAAGCGAGAGGACGTTCCCGAGCCAGCAGCGCCTCTGCCCAAGGGCCGCAACTCGGCGTTCATTCTTGTCGAAATGCAGAATGGTGACAACAAGATTCACACGCCTGACTTGAATGACATCAGACATCGCCGCTCCAGACCCGAAGCTTACAGTCTGGTGGGAGCACCGGACTTGAGAGCGAAGTCCCAGGAAAACCTGCTGGAAGCTGTACACAGTTCTTCAGGCGATAGGTTGCCACTTCGGAGGTCGGTGACACCGGAGACGCTACGCAGGGGCGCATCACCCTCACTGGCCGCGGCTCGTAAGAACACCTCGCAGATCTTCACCATGTCTGGCCGTTCGCACATCTATGATAATGTCCAGCTTGCGACCGGTGCATCTCGCGACCAGGGTGCCACGGGTGGCATGGTGAAGTCCACGAGCGAAGACAGCCGCTTGCGCATTCCAACGCGTACATTTGCCAGCGCTCTGCCATCGTCCTGCACAACCGCCTCCAACACGACACCAGAGGACAACAGCCGGCAGCCGATTGCTCGTCGAATTCTGCGCTCAGTATCGCCGCGTCGTCTCTCCGTACCCATTGCCTCGCTAAGTAGTCCCAAACAGGCCAGCGAATCGCAGCAAGATCAGTCGGACTCGCTGCCGTCACCGACCGAGTCATCAAAGTACTTTCGGCATCCGCCTCGGCGCTGGACGGGTGATAGCAAGAGACCTCCTGTGGTGATGCCCAAGCCAAAACGCCGTATTGAGTCATTGGACAACTCATCTATTGATGTTCCCCATGTTCCAGCTCCAGTCCAATCTTCTACCAAAGCCAGCAACGCTCATGGACTGGCGTTCGCTAATAATCACTTCAAGAGAGACGAGTTACCACCTGCTCCGCCGTTGACACGCTCGACGTCGGGTGGTCCGGCTACTAGTAGTAAATGGTACTCGCCTGCTCCGCTGCTTGATGAAAGAAAAACGGCCGAGAGTGCGGGGCAACCAACTACGCCCTCCAAATCCTCAGGCCAAACGTATGATGAAGTCAAGACTCTACTGCCATCGGAAGCAACTCCGTCATCATCATCGTCAACATCTTCAGGCAGCGAAGTGTCGCAGATTAGTGCAAAGTCCCCGGCGAGTCTCATCAGCACTGGCCACCCTACAAATGCGCAGAGTGCTGGCCTGAATTCTTCAAAATCTCCCGAGTATTCAGAAGCAGCAGCTCCTGGGATCGCTTCCAACGTCACTCGATCTTCCAATCGGGAATCTGTGCCACCGCCAACATTTCGTAAGCCCAAATTACTCTCTTCCCCCACAGTGTATGAGATTGTTGATAGTGATGAAGAGGTGAGTGAAAAGCCACTTCCACCTCCACCGCCTCTACCCAAGCCCGCACTGAACGCCGCCTCGCTAAACGCCTCACTGAACCCACCGCAGACACCGCCGCGCGTACAATCACGCGGTGCAACGCCGTTACCGAGCGGCGGTGGCGGGGGTCCGGCATCATCACCGCCACCGCCGCCGCCACCGAAGACAGCGTTACAACAGGCCTGCATGTCAGCGCTGAGCAGTGCTGCTATCCTGTCGACAAGCGACGATGCCCTGGCTGTGACCAACCCACTGAGTACGGAACTGATCAGTACTGACGAGCTACTCAGTCAGCTGAGACCGGACAGTGACACTAGCACATCGAGCAGCGATGAGGCACCACCGCTGCCACCTCGCCGCTACCTCGTGTCAGACTCTGGAGACGAATCGGACGACTTTGACAAGATCGGCAGCTTGGAGCGTGGCTTCCATGGTGCTGGTGAGTGTGGTAGCATTGCGTTGGTTCTGTTTGCGTGGTTCATGTCCTTCTGCTGGTGCTCAAAATTTCCTTGAGTCATTTTGAATACACAGGTCAGTTCTTGCAATACATCCTTGGCTAAATAAGGGGTCGTCCATAATTATCGAACTTTTTTCACAAAACGAAATAATTTCGTTATGGGGTGGGAGGGGGTTGACCAATTTCTTTTCAGAAAACATTGATACATATGCATGCCCATAGGAGCAGTTACACACTTGCAACTTTTGTTGTATTATGCATGCATATGTCAAACTTTTTTTACGTTCTGAGGGGGAGGGAGGGAGGGGTTGGGTCTAAACTAAAATAATTCGTTTGGTGAAAAACGTTCGATAATTACGGACGGCCCCTAACCTTTAAAACATTTCTTCATAATTATCTTTTTGAGAGTCTCAGTCTAGCAGTACTAACCACATAGCATTGGTTAGACGAGAAGAAAGAAATGCCAGTGTATCTGGTGAAGTAAAATGGAAACAAACAAGCACCCCCTCCCCGACCATCCCAATATCTTGTAGAACCTGTGGCCTTCGATTCACAGCCATATCCTACATAAGCATCACATGAGCATCACATAAGCATCACATGAGTGTAATGCACCACAGATTATCAAGGACGATGCTCAGGTGCATAAGCAGCCCCGCAGCCTAGTAGCCAGTAGGGTAATATGGTGCAGGCTACTAAGGCAGCACGCTCTGAGTTCCTCCGCACTGTCTTGGCACAGGCCGTAGAGATGCTGCAAGTTTCACTCGCTAGTGGTAGAAATGGGACTGAAAACCATTCCTCAGTTAGTTGCAGGATATTTGTGAGATCCTCACCCTCCATTGAAACCTGTCCGTGCGAATCCACACTCCCCCTCCCTTCTTCACGTAACAAAATACGCCCATGTATCCAAGGGACGTACCGCACTCATCACCGAAGGTCGTACACACTTTGAAGGGCAATTGGAAATCTCACACAGTAACAGCTGCTAACACAGTAACATACCAAGGTGACAGTTTTAAAAGCAGTGGAATCTGTGGGTTCAGTGAAATATACAACATGAGAATGTGTCACTAGTGAGAAGCTGTCTCGCCTATCACTTGGTTCCAGTATGATGATGATGCGATGAGTGTAACAACTGACTACCAGCATGCTGTGCTCTCACTCACACGTGTCACTGCACTGCTGACCCGCATCCCAACACTGACAATAAGGGTGTTGTTGTAGGTGATAACACTTGCACCGAGGATGTGATCTAGATTAACACATGTAGAACACATACATAGCGGCAGAGCAGTCAATACAGATCCTTGCGGGATCTTTGTGCCAGTTTGGAATAATTATTATCAGCTGACGGGTGCTCCCAGGGCTATGAAAGCCAAGGGAGAGAGGTTCATTCTGCTTTTGAAGAATACAAGAACTATATAGAACAGACTGCTGATGGCAGTGGTGGAGTCACGCATATTCTGGCAATCTTGTCCTGCCCCGCACTGGAGAATGCTTGTCGCTGGTAAATACAGATGGACGACGTGTTTGAAATCAACTGCGGTGATGCTGTGTGGCTGGCAATGGCATGAGCATGTGCTGCTTGTGTTCTCAGCAACTTTGCATACACGTAGACGTAATATTTCTTGTTGCTCACATGTTTTGGTTTTATTTCCTAAGAGATAAAAAATCACTTGTACTAGGCCATCCGTTCTTACTCGCCCGTACACTGATTGTCATTATAACTAAGGTAGGTTGTTTTTGTACTGATCTTCATTGCTCAAATCTGGCATCTTTTTCCCTGCTGTGTGTATGTGTGTTTTCGTGTGTGTGTGTGTGTGTGTGCGCGTGTGTGTGTGTGTGTGTGTGTGTGTGCGTGTGCGTGTGCGTGTGTGTGTGTGTGTGCGTGTGTGTGTGTGTGTGTGTGTGTGTGTGCATGCGCGTGCTCTGGTACAGGCAACGGGAATGAATGGAACAGCATATTGGTAAGCATACAGCGGACAACATAGGCGGGTGTAATCATTTTGTGTAGTACTTTGCCGGCAGTCTGTGCTGGGTGGTGTATAATAGAGTAGAGCAGTGTGTCCCTTGGGGGTTTCTCGTACACCAATACGTGCTTTTTGATAGTTCAGCAGAGTTTGTGCCCTGAAGATTCTAATGGAGCGCATAGTGATCCTCACATCATATGGAAGATTTTCCGTGTTTTTAAGCATCCCAATTTGATGCAGGGGTTTGTGCACAAGAAATAGTTGGGAGATGCGGAATTTAACGTTCCGAGTGTGTAGGTAGCGTGACTACTGAGTTATGTAGCAGTGTATGACGGTGACCTGCATGCATGGCTGTGGGTGCCACGTACCACAGCTACAGGTATGGCGGCATCAAGCTTGTGTATGCTGTGTTGTGCTGACTGTGTTTTGATGTGCAGCGACTCAGCCGCTCTCGCATGTCCATGCACTCGGAGGTAAGTTAGTCAGTGCTGGAAATAACTTAGTTTTCTGCTGTCCGTTACCCCCCCCCCCCCCCCCAGCCTGGTTGGTCTGTCTCAGGGATGTTGCCGTGTTTGGCCGGGGAGTTCATAGCTCATACCCTGTCAGGGTGCCTACCTAGGGAGTGTGGTCATTGTGCTGCGTGTTGATTAGCACATCCCTACTCACAGTTAGGATTTACAGTAAAACCTGTCAAGGAGACCACTCGGATAAGGTGACCGACCACCTGTCCTAGAAGACCACTGACACCAGGACCAAGGGATACTATTTCCAGTCAAATGACCCTTGATAAGGAGACCACCTGGTAACAGAGACCACGTTTTGAAGGTCCCTTGAGCGGTCATCTTAGACAGGTTTCACCGTACTGGTACTGGTTTCACAGCTTAGTAAACCTCTCCGATATTCAACCCCGTAGCTTAGTGTATGCGTGTCTGGCATGTACAGGACTAGAATGATTGTGTGTGACACTGTAAAACAGCCACCATGCCTTTGACGCATGCATTAGTTTCTTGCACGAGTAGGATCAGGATGGCTGTGTGTGACACTGTACAATCACTGTACAACCATGCCTGGGAATCATGTCGATGTGCGACACTGTACAACCATGCCTTGGAACCATACTGTACAACCATGCCTTGGAACCATGCCTTGGAACCATGCCTTGGAATCATGCCTTGGAATCATGCCTTGAAATCATGCCTTGGAATCATGCCTTGAAATCATGCCTTGGAACCATGCCTTGAAATCATACCTTGGAATCATACCTTGGAATCATGCCTTGGAACCATACTGTACAACCATGCCTTGGAATCATGCCTTGAAATCATACCTTGGGGGAATCATGCTCTAGAACAGACATGGAAGAGAACTGTTACCAGGGGGGGCTTGAAAAAAGCAAAAAAAGTAAATTATCGTGTCCGTTCCCGAGGGAACTCCCGGCGGCCGCTAACACCGGGTAAACACTAGCGGCAAATGAAGCGCCTAACGGTGGGGGTGACGGGATAAGTCTCACAACCACTGGCACAAGTGTCGGAAACCCCATTTGCCTCATCCGTGTACCCCTTGTGCCTGGCCTCAAGTTCTTAGTTGACTGTGGGTAGCAGCACGGCTGGAAAACCATGCTCCCAAGCAGGACCTGAACCAGGCACCTCTCGTTTATCAGGGGGCTTTGCAGCCTATAGTTATTTGTATATTGCACGGGTGAGGTGGTGTTGCCTGCACTGACCTCATGCTGTTTAATGTGACTGCAACGCTATTTTCGTCCTTGTCTCTGTAGCTTCTATCGAAGCACGCGAGCAAGGAGCAACGGAAGCAACGGGAGAAGCAGCGGAAGCGGGAAGAAAAGGAGATGCGCGAGCAGGAACGGCGCGAGAAGCATGAACTGCGGCAGCAGAAGAAGAAGCAGGAGAAAGTGGAGCGTGCAAAGAAGAAGGCTGCGCACAAGCAGGCAAAGGCTAAAGGTTTGTTAATTAAAATGAGACCCGGACTCGATAATCCTATTCCTTCACGTTTACGAGGGGTTCACGTCATGCTGTATAGATTTCTAGTATCATTGCTGCATAGCATGCATCACCCTCGTGCAGTTTTCTACCCACTAAAACCTTTTCCAGAGAACCTGAATTTGACCGAAATGGATTTGTCTTTGTGTGTGTGTGTGTGTGTGTGTGTGTGTGTGTGTGTGGTGTGTGTGCCTTGCTTGCTTGTTGACAGCAGGAAATGAATTTCTAAAGCAGTATATGGTTGATGGCGTCGGACCGGGATCATCCTATTTTGGAATCTATCTACATGATTTACCCGTTCGCCAAGACGGCTCGAAGATCCCGCTCTTTGTCGAGCTGTGCGTGGACCATATTGAGCAGCATGGTAAGTGGTATTGTACGTGCCAGTGTTCTTTGATAGTCGTCTGCGTTTTGGCCCTTTCACCTCCATCAAGCTAGTGGCTTTCTGCTGAATTATCTTTTTGTCTATTTTCAGATGACACATGCCAAACAGAGAAGTGACAAATTGCAATCATCCATGATGCATTGTGGACGCAGAAAATCTGTGTGGTTGACTTTGATGTCAGATGTAAAATTGTGAAAAAGAAAGAAAGAAAAAGAAACCATGGTTGTGATTATGATGGTAATACTGGTGTTTCTGCTGCTGCTGTCAATGCTACTGCCATCGGGTCTGCAGTGGAGAAGGGTGTGAGTGTCGTTGCGCTGGTAGACTGGCCAATACCAATATCAGGCATACTGGCCTGCCGGACCCGGTCCGGTTGGTCAGGATATTACTGGACCAACTTGTTTGCCACCAACACGTGTTTTGCTGCTGTAAAGGGTATGACTGTGTACCCGCCATATCATACACAAACTGTAGAAACAGCCATCCGTGTTTTTGTCGGACCAATCAATAATTTCTTCCAGCGGTCGTGGTATAAATGTTCGTACTTGTCATCATTGCCCTGCCTATCCGCACTGCTGGCCTGGGGCAGCTACACGCTGATTTATCTGCACTTTCTTTAATAGCGCTATCATCCTGAGTTTGTCCGTTGTGTGTGTGTGTGTGTGTGTGTGTGTGTGTGTGTGTGTGTGTGTGTGCGTGCGTGCGTGCATGTGTGTGTGTGTGGGGGGGGGGTGCGTGCGTGCGTGTTGGTGGGTGGGTGTTACTGTGTGTGTGTGTGTGTGTGTGTGTGTGTGTGTGTGTGTGTGTGTGTGTGTGTGTGTGTGTGTGTGTGTGTGTGTGTGTGTGTGTGTGTGTGTGTGTGTGTGTGTGTGTGTGTGTGTGTGTGTTACTGTGCGTAGGCATCGAGTCGGGCGGTATCTACAGGGTGTCTGGCAAGAAACCATCGGTGGACAAGTTGCAGGAGGACTTCGCAAAAGGTGTGGTTCTTTCTCAGCATTGTTGTGGTGTCTATAGTCTGCTGATGGCATAGTGCTGGCTTCTGGTGTAGGACTTTGAGTACTAATACTCTTGTGCTTGTGAGGAGCTGGACGAAGTGAGACTCAGTGTAAGGCACCTTTGCCTTGCCGAACAAATACAGATACCCAATCCCTGATGGGTCTCCTGGCACTGGTGATACACTAGGAATTGAGCATGCAACCTCATGTTTGGAGAGATGGCCACCTGAAATGCCAGTTTCATGAGCCCTGTCACTAGGGTGAAGGTTCAGAGAGTAGCAATGTGTTCATACCATTTTGTTTGTGGAAGACAGTACTGTTGAATTCGGGTTTAGTGCCAATCTCAAGGTGCAAGAGTAGTCCTGAAAAAAGCGGCTGAGATATTGCATACCGGATCACCAGACAGCCTAGTTCTCTAGCTCTCTCTCAATCTCTCTCTCTCTCTCTCTCTCTCTCTCTCTCTCTCTTTTGATCTTCCTTTCTCACCTAGATCCTTGATCCTAGAGGGTGATGGTATTCCTGTGGATGTGGATAACTCAGTTTAACTGAGTCTCACGCCAACCGTCATTTTTTTCTGAGAGCATGCCTATGTATGAGTGAATAGTGAGCAGGCCCACCAGTGATAGCTGAGCACAGTTGTATGGATTATTGAGTTAGCCGTACAACATAGAAACAGCCTGCCTTTGGCTTTGTACAGCATCTGCCTGCTTCCCGCCCCCAATTGACATGACAGTTGTGTTGCTGTGTGATCTCTATTTGGGCTTTCAGATCCGCTGAACACTACGATTGATATCGAGGAGATGAACGTGAACGTTGTGGCCAGTGCCATGAAGTCATTCTTCCGTCGCCTCCCGGAGCCTCTCATTCCAACTCCAATCCTGGCCCCGTTAGCCAAGTCGTTGTGTGAGTGTTGCACAGCTTGTGCTTGACATGTGTTCTTCTATGATCTCAATCCTGACCATGCGGCCGTATGTACAGTCGTGGCCAACGAAATCTGAACCGCTAGTCAAAAACAGCGCCATGTTTCCATTTCGATTGTATCATGCATGTTTCAAAAACCCATCCGAGGGCTGCAGGAGGCGCATGAGCCGAGACACTCGGTTGATTTCTTTGACGACGACCATTGAGCTATATTCGTTATCTAGCACAGTAGCCGGTGGAGTTTGGAGAAGGTCTTGGGTACCACACCCCCATGTACAGCAATCTAGTATGAGAGCCCCAAGAAGATCTGTCTGTCCGTTCACCTGTCCCTCTGCCCCTCTTTCTGCCCACCTGTCTGTCAATCCGTCCGTCTATCTGTCCACAAAGTCGCAGTGGTGCCAGACAATATTAAATGCAATCCATGCACCTTGCCTGGTGTTGTGAAAACGTTCATTCTCCCTGGGACCAAGGGTGTTGAGACGGATAGGCTTAGCGCGCGTAGAGTGAATTTGTATTTCTTCATAATGTGTTCCACAGCCACAGCAAATGAGCTAGAAGATCAGCTTCAGGATATGAAGGTTTTGATAAATGCTGGTGTGCCTTCTACGCACTTCACTCTCCTCAAGTACCTCTGCCGCCATCTGAACAGGTATACTGTCACCTCTGTTGTCCATGGTGCTGTGCTCTGCCCTGGGCGTGTGTGTGTGTGTGTGTGTGTGTGTGCGCGCGCGCGCGCGTGTGTGTGTGCGTGTGTGTGTGTGTGTGCGTGCATGTGTGTCTGTCTGTCTGTCTCTACTGCTTGGAAAGCCCTGTCTTAGGCCATCGAGCACTCTTTGGGAAATGCCACTACCTAACTTACTTGTTGTGAATACAGTACGAGTATAGTACATATTGTGCGGCACACACACACACACACACACACACACACACACACACACGCGCACGCACACACACAGACACAGAAACATACACACACACACACACACACGAGATAGCGCAATGATTATGTTGTCCGTAGGACCGAGTGCACTCCTATCCTTTTGACCTTTGACCATTTGACGCCCATCGCTGGAGGTGATGAGAGCGATGCTACAGCAGAAGCCATAGCAACTTTTGCTGGGATTGCACCATTCAACAGCTAGCAGGGCCGAAGGGCTGACCGCCACTATTCAGCCTGGTCTACACCACCCAGCTATCCCACACAGCTACTCGTATCCAGAGTAGACTGCACTGGTATAGCTTGCTACACTTTCAATGGTGACCTCTAGGCAATCAATTCAATCAATGAGCATCTCAATTGCGTGTTGTGCTTGTATCTATTTTGTTTTGGTGATATTCAGGGTGGCAGAGAAGCATGAAATAAATCTGATGCTGGCTAGCAATCTGAGCATAGTCTTCTGGCCAACCCTGATGAGACCGGAGAGCCTAAACATCAATGATTTCACCGTGGCACAGGAGATGCCACTGACACTTCAGAGAGTAATGACGCTGCTAATTGATAAGTATCACATGATATTCGATGACAATGCCGCTCGGGCGTTCCCCTCATCGCCTGCTAAAGCACTTGAAGCAGCGGCTTCACCTGTTCCAAATCCAGCGCAGGCTGCCGACAAAGCCAACGCTGTGGCATTGCACGATGAGACCAGTGAAGGAGAGTCCTCCATCGCTCCGTACACATCCGTCAGCATACATCTGACTCCCATTGCAAGCAAGACATAGCTCTGGGCCAGACCAGGGTACGCAGTCAGTATTCTGAGTGATTGTAGACATATCTGTAACGTTACCAACATCCAAGTGAACATTCCAGGGTTATTGACGTGTTCAGGGAGTCTCATTTGGGCATTTGGGCGCTGACCTCGTCTGGACTGCAACTCCCGTGAGGTCGAAAGCATGTTGCTCGATACTTAGTGTCACGTGTTTGTATGATCATGTCAGCTCCTAAAAGAGGTGTCAATGTTTCCTTTCGTGCTTGGGTAGTCATTGTCCCTACACGTAGATCAATTCCGTTACTGCTTAGGACATCTGACAATGGCTGCGCTACGGCTACGGACAACCAACTGTACACGACAAAAAAAAACCCGAATAACATGGACTATAAACCGCAGGCCTTTTTCCTCCCCTCGCTCTCTCTCTCTCTCTCTCTCTCTCTCTCTCTTTCATACCAAGACATATTTACGTTAATCTCTCATAATCTAATCAACATCTATCTTGCTCCCCCCCCCCCCCCGTTGTGTTGAGTGTGCTTCAAGTACTTAAGTTGAGACCTTATCTGTGTTGTCACAGTGATATAACTATGTTATCTTATCAGTGTTTTGTTGATATAACTATGTTATGTGATGTAAGTTATTTAACGCGCCTTTCTGCATCTGCATTCAGACCAGTGCTGGAAAGGCGGGCACTTGATGGAGTTTTATTCTTTTCGGTTACGTTAATCCGTGCGTGGATATGCTTGTATGCACATCCATCCGCGGCTTGTGTTCGTGTGTGCAAGTGGTGAGTCTTTGTCTGGTGTGTTTCCTGACTTAATGATCAGCTCTCTTCGTATCATGTCCACTGTCGTTGCCATTGGAGATAATCATACACTGTACTGTCCGTGCAGACAATGACTGCAACCCGGCTTCCTGCACAACAGGTGCGCATGATGGAGTGTGTGTATGTGGGGGGATTGTGAAGTTGTGTACGTGCGTGTGTCTGCCTATCGTGGGTTTCACACTCTTTTCATGTAGTTATTTTTGGAAAAAAGTAGCAAGTAGTTTTTGACCATATTACCTTGTATGTTTCCGTAGCATCATTAAATTTTATTTATTCCCGAAGCTTACGTTATGCAAGACATTAAACTTATAAGCTACAGTCCATTTCAAAACTATAGACGCGTACTTAGGCAAAACCGTTATGCCCGCATCTATACCACATAAAATCTGTGATCACTTTGTGCATAAATTTTTCCAAATTGGGCGTCTGTTATCCAATCGTTTAGAAACTATTATGAGTAATTGTGGAGCGGACCTGAGCAATATTCCGAAAACTATTGTCAAAAGTTCCAGCCAAATTTGAAATATTTCAAAACCCTACGCGTCTATAGTTTTGAAATGGACTGTAGTACTATTCTTCACCATCATCATCATCATCATCAATAAGGACTCTGAAATTCATGAACCAGTTTTCGGGCATTCTCTTCAAATGAAATACAAGCAATCAGAACCTGAATAAAACATAGGGATAAGTAGCATCACAAGTTGTAATGGTTACCGCCCCTGTGATGCTACTTATCCCGTTAGGCTATGTTTCATTGGTTCTGGTTGCTTGTATTTCATTTGAAGAAAATCCCCGAAAACTGGTTCATGAATTTCGGAGTCCGTATTGCTGATGGTGATGATAGTGAAGAATAGCTTGAGATTTGTACTTTTTTTCCCTGATAAGCTTCCTGTCTCCAAGAAAGTTAGTTATGTATCTATTTGTGTTTATGAGCTAATGTTTCTTTTACTAGAAACACTAGGGCTAGCCCAGGAGCCCTCGCTATGCTTTGTTTTTACCGAGGTCGTGTGTTATTCGAACTGATAGAAACGTCTTTGCAATACAAAACATGTTCCCAATAATTGTATTGCGAAGACGTTTCTATCAGTTGGAATAACACACATGACAATCTCGGTAAAAAGTTCTAAAACCTAAGCATAGCAAGGGCTCCTGGGCTTTCATTTATTTATTTATCACGTGGCATTAGCCAAAGAAAAGGTGATGTGAGCGATAGCCAGCAATGGCGGTGATGGAGGGCAGAAAAAAATAAAATAATGAACGGGTAACTGAAGTGTAAAAGAAGCGCGGGGAGCTAGGGCAGAGCTGGATATCAACTACGTCGTAGTATGTTGCGTTCTGCAGTTGCCGTATGAATGTCTTGTAAGTGAACTGCCTGAAAAGAGAAAACATGCCAGGCCCCCCAGGACTTTGGAGTGAAAAAACCTGTCAACGCCTTCTAGGCTCAGCCTGGTCCCATAGCTCAGATGCTTAAAGCACTGCTCATCACAAACAACGTCCCGGGTTCATATACCGGTGGGTTTCTCTTTTCAGGCAGTTCACTTCCCCGACTGATCGTTTGAATTCGGAGTTCTCCCAGTCCTTTCAAAAATACAATGGGCCGCCAACAACTTGTCAGTTTGGTGCTGCCTCGTGCACGTCTGACTGTTCAAAATCTAGTTCAGGTGGTGGTCTCTGACGCATAACTTGTGCCCCGCCGTTTTCCTTGTTTCCTTTCAACAATGGACAAACAACACACAAAAACAAACAAACACAAACAACACAACAAGACAAACAAATAACAATATAACCAAGGATTACTTCAGCATGATCCCAGGTTAGCTTCTCTGCGACCAATGTTCCTGGCAGTGTGCAAACACCAGCCAGGAAAAATGTTTCCTCCGATATGACTACAAACCTCCACGCACACCGTTCACCTGCTCAGCTCACATGCCGGAAAGTTAATGGCAGCAGAGAGGCCACTAGGGACCCGCTGAGTTTGGCACGAGGGAAGACTACATTTCCTTGTGCAATACCATGGAGTAAGCATTGTTGGGAGCATTACTAGACAGGTAGGTGCACACGCTACACATGACCAGCATCTTACTTGATGCTGTTCTTCTCCTTTTGTCTGCGATTGCAGAACCACACGCGGACCACATCTCTATCGTAACTCATTGCGTTGGCATACTTGGTGAGTTCATAGGCTGTTGGTTTGGGGTTTCTGCTGAAATACTCCTCGAGCTGAGTCAGATTAGCCCCGGTAATGGACGTACGTTTTCTTCGTTTCTTGGTCACAGCATTACTTGTGGGTGCGGGCTGAGTGTTGTTAATAATGTTCTGAAGCCACTTTTCCATGATGGGATAATTCTTGCGCATGTTGCTGTGGCTCAGCTGCAATGCTTCAAAGCGGCACACTGTGGTCTGAGAGAAACTGCTGCCGTAACGCAAGCCTAACTCTCGCCCCACGTCCTCCTGGGTGAAGCCCAGCTCCACGCGCTTCTTCTTGAATTCTGCAGCGAAGTCGGACATGGTCTTTAAGCCGGGCAGGTCCCCCTCTGCGCTGGCGTCTTCTCTATTCACCATGGGCTCAGTGGCGGAATCTGTGCTGTCTTCTTCACTGATGTTGTTGCGTCCACTCTCCAAACCATCGTTGTGTTTGTCAGATGAGTAGTATTGACCGTCCAAGGTGCAGGCATGCTCAGCCAATGCATCCCCTTTGTATTCAGGATATGCGTGTGCGCCAGTCACAACTACGAGTTCTCCATTGAACACTGCTGCGTCACACTCAGGCTTGACAATCGAGCGCTCCTCGTGCATGTCATGTTGCTGCTCATGCTGCATGGCGCTGTGTCCATGGTATCCAGGGACGTCTTCTCCGCCAGATCCTGCGGCCGCGCGGATCTCTTTTGCTTTGAAAAGGACAGCATGCGCTTCTTTCTGGAGCGTATGACTCGGGTGTTTTCCCAGAACCATTGAGTGATCATGTGCACTGGCCAACACATGATCCGGCACGTGAATAATAACTGTCTCAGCCTTCTGGCCTCTCCGCTTATTTGCTGTGGGAGAGACACTCTCAGTTTGATCATACCACATTTTCAATTTAGGATAAACCTTTCTCATGTGCTTGTACTTCAGCCGCTTGTCCTCGAATCGCTGTAGCGACGATCTGGAAAAGGTCTCGCCAAGAACCTTACCAACCATATGCCCTACTTCATCCTGTGTGTAGCGCAAACGGAGACGTTTCTCCTTGAACTGCTCAGCAAATTCACTAAGACTCTCCTGAGTCAGTGCGTCGTCATCCGCATCCGTACGCCGGCCCGCTGAACGCCCGTCCTTCCTTTCCTCTTGCACGCCGCTCGCAGTGGTCTGCATATTTGCATACGTCCGTCTCCGGCTAGGCAACAAACTGAGACGGACCTTTACTAGTTTAGTCCAGTCGTGTTCTCTACAAAGTTAGAAGACTTCCATAGGCATATACACATCGGTCCCGGTTGACGATTGCTTGCATCAAGGATTCGCGACAGTCAAGTAATTGTTTTTCGCAATCACCAATGACTAATATACTATGTACTGCAGCACAGCTCAGTAATGGTTTTCCTATGTTACGCTCAGTATCCACGCGAGGGTCCCGAAGCCACTATTCGTAGATCGTCGTTCTCGCTCACAGACTCAATAATATGCTTCAATTTTCGGCCAGCCTGGACAATTTTCTCTCATTGCGAAATGGCGAGCCAACAAAACTTGTTGCTGTTCTTCTTGGTGCACGGTTGCAGTCAATCAATAACATTACGTGGAAGGAAAACTGCATGCTGTGCATGCTTGCGTAGATCTACCACATGTACACTACACTACTGACCTGTCTTCAGTCCTGCTCAATGAAATCCAGTCGAGTCACTCAAGTAATGTTTGCGCCTTGCATCATTTCGCGGCCCAGTGTTCGCAGGTCCAGGGCTGCGCAACGCCCGGCGCGTACTTGAGTGACCGGACTGGATTTCATTGAGCAGTACTACATTGTAGTCTGACTGTAGTACTTGTACTTGTACTTGTAGACTCTCCACGCTGGCCTTGCCTATCGTGATGGAGCATTTGCGTGAAGGCGCGCGCGCGTGTATCGATAATAATAGATTAGTACTACAAAGTCCTTGTACTAGTTGTACTGCAAAGTGCAATGTAGTAGACCATGGTACCATGCTGGCTAGACGCATACAGTGCACATGACATAATGTCACCGTACGTCACTACGTGCGCGCGCACTAGACTTCCCATGTTTTGCATTTTGCCTTCGGGGTGAGAGTGAGACAGTGAGTTACTAGCCTCATGCAGTTATGAACTAATTACTTACTTATGAGTTATGGTCTACAAGTACAAGTACAATGGCATTGTTAGATTGACAGCAACCTAAGGCTAAGTACAATGCCAATGCCAATGGTCTACCAAACGACGGCCACGTGACCAAACCGACCATACAAATTACAATGTCATGTAGAGGGGACGGTTTCAAATAGGACACCGGTTGCAAACCGGAACGGACTCAATATTCACTTTCTCTCTTGGTATTTTGATTAGAAAACATATGTCACAGTGAGACTACGATGTGTTATACTCCGAGCCAAAATTTCATGGCTCTGCGATGACCAGAAGCGCCATATCAAGCAGGTGAGTTTTTGACGTGGTGCTTCGCACTGCGACTTGAGTTTTACGACTTTCGAAAAATCAACTTCTTGTCGCAGGTAAACAGCGGCTCGCCTCTCGCCAATAAAGCACCGCATACCAATCAAAACTAATGGAAGCACACACAAGGCTTATTGTTACTCTGTACTGGCCGTCGTGGAGCGATAGCAATTACATGTACCTAATTTCAGACCCAGAGTGAATTTGACGTGCACTCCAAAACGTGTCCGGTTTGGAGCCACCTCTGATTTGTACTTTTTTGAAGCGAAAAATTGGGCAACTTGGAGGCAATGGGTCAACACAAAGGAGTGGCTCAGTTCGATTGACTCTGGCCCCAGAGCAAACTTCAACATGCCAGTTTCCTTCCACGAACATATTTCGAGTGAAAAATCAACGCTGATGATCGGTTTGGGTCTATACAAATTTGGCTGTCAAAACGTCCCGGTATCGAGCCGTCCCCTCTACAGCCAGCCAGTGCAGTGCAACTAAAAATGCAATAAACTTTATACTTGGACAGTTGGAGTACAGTAAGATCGGGCGCCGAAGAACACCTCGCCGAAGAACACCCAGGCTGGAAAACCGGCAAAATTTAAGAACAGTCCAGGCTAGAATTATCAGATTTAAGAACACTTTTAAAATTTTCATACATGTACTTACACGAAGTTGCGAATTTACACGTAGATCTACATTGTACATGTATGGGAGGTGAGTACATGTCATGTACACGTGTAAACAGTAACTGCTACATGTACAGTCATTCCCATTTACGACACCCACTACTAGTTTAGAAGTACTACATTGCACTACATGTACATGTACATGACAAACGTCATGACGTCACTCGACTCGCCGCGTTCGTGTGAATAAGAACGGTCTGGCTAGAATCAAAATTTTAAGAACTTTCCTAGGCTGCGCTCGAGCCCCTGCGTTCTTCGGCGCCCGATCTTACTGTACAGTCTCGACTTGTCGACTTGTACTCGACTTGTCGTGTATTATTACTAGTCCTGTACTGAGATATTCAACGACCAACAATTTTGTACAGTCATGGAGCTCCAACACTTCTCCCAGGCGCAAACCAACAACCCAACAACCTTCCAACTAATTTACTTGGAAGGCCCTGTTTAGGAAAGGTCCAAGAGGGGAAGGAAAGCGCAACGAAGAAGAGCACAAGCTACGTGCCACGGCAACAAAGAATGCCCGCGAGAAGTATTAGTTACTTGATGATGACGACAGCACAGTACTAATAATAGTAGGACAATAATGGTCATACCGGTCTTACTACAGACAACAAACCATTGGATGTGACATTTATTTACTATTTATTTATTACAGCATCTCATAGCACAGTGAGAACACCGGCCAATGCAGAGAGAGAGGGTGTTCCAACCACATGATGGACATGGTGGACTAGTTTATTAAAAGTACGAGCTCGTAAAAGTAGTTCCTTGTACAAGTGCGTACTGGCCTAGTTTAGCCTTTACTGGCTTTACTGGCTGTACTGTCTGTAGCCTCCATTATTTTCAGGAATGACGGACTCAGTGCGAGGCTGCATGGATATGCCCAGGCCATTCCAGTGTACGTAACGTCGTTGTTTGCAGGTTGCATTCCCACTTCGAGAGGCGCTAGCTAGGCGCAAAGTAACACACTTACTACACGTTAGTTTAGCGCCAGGCTGCGAATCGATGATCTCTCAATGTTTTGATTGATTTGATGAGTAAGTTTTACTCCAAGCCGGAGTTGTTTTACAGTCTTATTAGAAGCCCGTAGCCTACATCATTACATGTAGTGAACATGCTGCGCCTGTACGTTGTTCTACAATGTATGTGGGTGCTCAACAGGTTAGTTCCGTGGTCGTCGCTTTTTGCAAGTAATTACTAGTAGTTTGTAGAGCGCGGCGGCGTTCCGTGTGATTGGCGTGCCCAAAAATAACTAGTTTGTGTGTTTCAGTCTCTTCAATGATGCTCGGAAGGCTGCCAGTTATTACGTTAGTTATCATTTTCTGGAGGAGCAAAGCCGGGCAATGACGACGGGACTAAGCCTAAGGGCTTACCGAACGATGTCTGTCCCGGGAAGCAGTTCCGAATTGAACATAGTGCGTGTAAAGCAGCAGTTACTTGAAGTACAAAACAGGACATAATCTCGATTTGGAATGAAAAGACTGTAGTGCTGTAGTCGACTTCGACGATGCCGGGATGGTTGTTGCACGGATTAGCACCGTCAAACTACACGACTGTACAACGGCGTCGGTCGTTCCGACCGTTGAGACTGCCAAAGCTCGATGGCTGCAAGTGCTTTGTTTCTCCAATGACCCAGTCTACGAGATAGCGTATGCCCCGGGGCCCCGATGAAAGATGGCGTTACATGGTACTGTACAATCATGTAGAAGGAAATTCCGATAACCAACAACAACTTGAGCAAGTATGGGTAGTCACCTCCAGGCTCCACTCTCGAAAGTCAAGACGTGACGCAGATCAGTGACACTGGCTAAATGCATGCACCTACATGTGGACGGATCAGGACTCTCGGGCCGAGCGGAAGACCAAGGCAGTATACGAACAAGGTACGAAATTGCAGTATTATGTGATTCTGTATATCAGGTACTGGCATCGCTCTTATTTTGTGCATAAAGGCTTCTCGTTGTGTCAGGACAGCAGGGTGGGAGTAAGTTCACCAATCCCATGTGACAGTAGGAAACAGTACCAAAAAAATCGAAGGGTTCGCGTACGGGGCAGGTCAAGAACAAGGAGTCGTACAACTCCCTGGTCAAGAACCACCTTTCCGCTTCCGTGGGACGCCACCACCCCATGATCAGGCGTCAGATGCGGCTCTAAACAGTACAATGGCATAATGAAAGTTGAGCTCAACTCATCTCAGAGTGCCCTGTCATGATGTCTTTACTAGCATACCATGCACATGCGCTGCTGATCCTGGTGGATCAGAAGTGTTCACAATCTATTCTTTCAGACGCTGTTCAGAGCGTTCCGTCAGTCGCTGCTGCTCCGTATAACGCGTTGAGTCGAGGGTGAAGCACCCGCTATTGTCGTTTCAAAAGTCCAGACCTCCATTTTTTGGAATAATACAAATTTGGTTTGAGCGGTTTGAGAAATTTCTTTGGGAGATTATTCGCAATTCCCCCTATATTTCATAATTATAGAGTTCTAAGAAATTGGAGAGCAAATACCCAAATTCGGAAATTTTATGCACAAAGTGATCACAAATGATATTATGGTATTGATGCTGGCCTAACGTTTTTGAAGCCAGAGGTCTATACTTTTGAACGCACTATAGTAGAGGTGCGGAGGAGCTGGTGTGGTTGGTCAGGCCGTGGCTGGTTCAACTGTTTGCCCACCAACTCATGTTTACTCCTGAGGAGGTGTGCACACCTGCCATATGATACACAAAATACGACGGCCTATGGTATGGCCGGGCCAATCAAAACTGGATCTGACGGTCATGTACTTGTGTAGTAAGTGAAAAAAGCTTGGTTTTTAAACAAACTTGAATTCCAGCAGGCTTCACTTGAAAAACATGCTCACCTTGATCTGATTGTGTGGATGTATAAAGTCCGATATCACCAGCCATTCATATACCTGGCACTTGCCGCAAGCTGATGGTGCTGGTCAGACGGAGAGCTCTTTGCTCTCCGCCAGGTTGTGCTTTGTAGCTTAGCGGAGAAGCTCAGTGTGGACAGACCTATATTTACCATCATATCGCCGGATGTGCCGCTACCACTTGGCACCATTATTCGTCTCTGTGTGGATGTATACGGTTGTGGACATAAGACGAAGTGCTGCGTACTCGAGAACCGGTTGTATTCTTGGAGGGCATGCTGCAATCCATCGAGACCCTTCGTACTTGCTGATCCAAGATGACCGGACCGAGGGGTGGTCCTACTTTCAAGCAAGTACAATTTAAGTCCAGGACGGCAAAGCGTGCACATGCGGGTACTAGCAGTAGTAGCTCTCACCTTGGTAGCATAACTTTGATATAGATACACGTTCCAAGGTCTGAGGCCGGGCTCCACCGATTCAGGAAAATGCATCTGTGAATTGGACCTCAACGTAGGCTTTGGATTGGCTTGTTTTCGAGTGCTAGCCCCGGAGTAAGTCGAGTGCTAGCCCCGGAGTAAGTCGAGTGTTAGCCCCGGAGTAAGTCGAGTGCTAGCCCCGGAGTAAGTCGAGTGCTAGCCCCGGAGTAAGTCGAGTGCTACCCCGGAGTAAGTCGAGTGCTAGCCCCGGAGTAAGTCGAGTGCTAGCCCCGGAGTAAGTCGAGTGTTAGCCCCGGAGTAAGTCGAGTGCTAGCCCCGGAGTAAGTCGAGTGCTAGCCCCGGAGTAAGTCATACATGTGCTAAATGTACATGTGCAGAGCAACGGAACAAAACTCGTTTCATGAAAATGAAAAAAAAAAGAAACACCCATGGAGCCCCACCAGAAGAGCACTGAACCGAATTACCATTTCAGGTAGTTAGCAGTTACACAAGTAAGAGTAGACAATGGACAGTGGTCAGAGCTGTTCTCTCTTGTATTCGGTTCCACGTGAAACTTCAAGGTCGATTTGGCGTGAAGAATTACAACTGTCAGCATACAATATCTCTCTTTTGCGGCTTGGCTGATCAAAGTGTTCGGAGTCGGTGAAATTTGCATTGTATACAATCATGCTACTATGTACCGGCTTAGGACACAGGGAAAGGTTTGATGGCAGTGTCTTCCTATCATGGATTATACGGGTGTATCTTCCTGGTGTAATCAGGAATTGTAGTGGCTGTGGTGAACAATTTCACCTCTGCGCCCTGGGTTCACTCTTGCATCTAAAGGGCTACATGCTTCTACACGAACTCACAATCATCAATGCGGCATTCCCGTAACTACTTTCAAGGTTCTATCTTAGCATCTCTCTCTTTCAGCAAAAGCCAAAAAGCCCCAAAAAAGGATGGCGCATGCGCCTCACAAGCGGAGCTGGGGAAAGCAAATGACGTCGCGTAGAGCCGACGTGAAAAAGGGAAGTAGTAAATCACGAAGCTCGTGTACGCGACAGACTGTCAGTGGCCTGGCACGAGCAAAACTTCTCTAAGCTGGTTGTGTTTCGCAACACAATCGTAAGCCGGCGGTAACGTGGATGTGCGAACTTTGCTTTACCTTACCGATCTCCCAATGATACCACTGGTTTCACGAGATTTCTCAAATTTCTTTTCCAATAACAGTACATGTACACGGTTTCTGGGTATCACGTGATGGCAACATGACTGTATGAGTTACTACAGTGCTGGCAACTGAAATTCGACCCATGAGCCCATGAGCTGGGTCTTTGTGCTCACATCACAAAGACCCAGCACGGGATAGTAAAACTACGAAATAGAGACCGCTAGAATGTGAACGCATCGCTAGGGGGTCGGATTTCAGTTGCCAGCACTGTGCTTTGAAGTACATGTACAGTTGAACTCTGATGAGACGCACTCCAACACAGAACTGGAAAGAGCGTATACTTGTAGTGTCCAAAGTGTTATCGGAACACTTTTCATCACTGGGTAACACGCACACGCGCGCGCACACACACACACACACGCACAAGCACACATGCACACGCACACATGCACACACACACACACACAAGCACACGTACACACAAGCACACACGCACACACACACATACCCCAGACAATGCCCGTGGTAAGCAAGCGTGCATCCTGTTAGAGTGTGGATGGACAGCTCTAGTTGAGCCCCACTGTACAACATTACCAATGATTCAAGAAAGTGTGCTTGAACATTGGCCATGGTAATTTGGGAAAGTAGAGTGCGGAAATGTTTCAAATGGTGAATGTTGTGTCTTCTCATCGTTGTCTTTTCCCTTCATCTAGCCGTCTCGTACAAGCCTCTGGACCTGATGTGCTATTGCCGCTCTCAAGCCATGCCAGGTACGGCAGAGTGTCACCAGACAGTACCCCCAATCGGTGAGTTGTGTGTTGCTTAGTCTCCCCGAGGCCTGTGGAGACCAAAGTACATGCTACTGGAGACAGAAACATTAAGATGGTGAAAACAGTGTTTTTACTCCGAGTTTCACGCACTGAGCGATCATCAGACAACAGTAATGAATAGATCTCTGCTCTGCCTTTCGGTATTGAGCATGCTACTGGAGATACGGTATTGAGCATGCTACTGGAGATACGGTATTGAGCATGCTACTGGAGATATGGTATTGAGCATGCTACTGGAGATATGGTATTGAGCATGCTACTGGAGATATGTTGTTTAATGACAGTCTGGTCAAGCTGCTTAAAGGGGAAGTGCATCGATTTTTCGAGTATAGTCCAGAAGAAAGACAATTTGATATCGGTTCGAATGGCATATCTCTCGTTTCCATACGATAAGCCAAACTTGCCAAATCGCGAATTGTATACTCACGTTGCCATAGCGACCAGCGCAGTGATGACGTACGAAAGGCTTAGCTCCACCACAGAGAAGGTCGATCACTGCAGAATTTGGTCATTTTCAATTGGTTTATTGTATTCACGAAGTGAAAGAGAGGCTGTGTTCAATGCTGTAAGTGCAGTGAACTGTTTGTTAGTAGTCCTCTCGGTTGTGTACTGGGACGTGACACCGACAGGAGAAAGCTGGAGCGCGGAGACACCAGCAGACAAGCGAAAATAGTGACGAACAAAATGCTGAAATCTTGGTTGGGACAAATCAGACGTTCAGCATTTCCCCCAACCAAGGACCATGCCGTTTGCTCTTTCCACTTCCTGAAGATGAATGTGATGCTTCCTGGCGACTCTCCTATCTCTCGTAATATCTTCTGAAGCCAGGTGAGACGACGGGTGGTGGAGATTGACGAATGAAATAATGTCGTAGGTTTGAAAGTTTGCTGAAAATGTCTCAGGAGAGACGGCCAATTCCAAGCATCTTGTCCTGGAGGAAACCATTTCCTAGGCACAGTCAGCCTAGGGAAATGCATGAGAAGGCCGACAAATAGTTCACGGCACTAACAGCATTGAACACAGCACTTCTTTCACATCGTGAATACAATAAGACAATTGAAAATGACCAATTTATGCAGTGATCGACCTTCTCTGTGGAGGAGCTAAGCCTTTCGTACGTCATCACTCCGCTGGTCGCTATGGCAACGTGAGCATACAATTGGCGATTTGGCAAGTTTGGCTTATCGTATGGAAACGAGAGATATGCCATTCGAACCGATATCAAATTGTCTTTCTTCTGGACCCTACTCGAAAAATCGATGCACTTCCCCTTTAATGTTTCTGGTGCCTAAAGACCAACGTACTGGTATGCAAGAACAGAGATCGATACAGTACCTCACTGGGTCCAAGAGTCACGGATGCAAGGTGGGCCATTGTTGGCGGTGGCTATGTGACTGTGTTGGTTGTCATGCAATACTCCAGCCCGGATGGCCATGGAGGCTTTCCACCAAGCGTAGCCATTGTCCAATCCAGCATCAATAATATAGGCTAAACTATGAAGGACCCAGTACTACACAGTTGCCTCTGCTGTGCCATCAGACCAATGCATCCAGGTTTCTGGGCCACCCTCCGGTTTCCTGATCATCATCCGCATTGAGATGAAGCACGATGGCCTCTTCCCTAGAAGGTCAGCAGATCTATGTTTAATCTGAGAAAACTTGCTAGTGGCATGGAGATGTGGAGAGAGATGGAGGATATGTAGGCCACGCACTGAAGGAGTCCGTATTATGCCCTGCACATGGGGTCAGGTTGAATGCTGGGGTTAAGATCATGCCAGGATTTATTATAGTGGAGCTATGCGGGGCCCCGATTGTATATTGATTGTGTTGTTATTTTTCTGTGACATTGCACCAAATATCGGCAAGCCGGTGTTCATTTTTAGCGCAGAGGGAGTTTCAGAGGCCTTCTGTTAGTTAAAGCTTGCTATGTTCTTCCCTTATACCAACGTGTAAATTATGCTGATGTCTTCATTAGCTCAACAGTAACCCTTTTTTCTTTTTTCTTCATTCTCTCTAGCCTTTCTCTCCATATTTCTTCAACAGCAGTCCCCCCCCCCCCCCCCGTCCCTTGTTGTGGTGGAATGGTATATGCGGTTCACGTGAGCGTCTGGCTAAAGCTGCAGGCGATGGCCAATGATGTGTGCGCGTGTGTGTGTATGCGCCGTGTGGGTAATTGTGTGCGTGTTGATTTTCTAAGCACCTGTGTCCTTGTGTGCGACACTTTTGGAAGTGTGCCCACTGGCCAGTAACCCTGACGATAATGTTACACTGCCAGTGAAAATACTGTATATTCAGAGACATTGCATATCTTGCTTATCTGGGGCTGTGCAGGACCGGGCAATGCCCACTACACTGTACTTGGATATTGAGAGTGACACGTAACTCTGAATCGTATTCGTTTTGATGGGGAAGTGCCAGAGATCGGCATACAGCGTCAATATTTCCACTAAAACACATTCAAAGGTGGCCCTGTTGACCTAAGTGACACGTAACTCCGAGGTGCTGATAATAGCGATATGAGAGCACGCAACCAACCCTGGCCGGAAGCTTGTAAAGTTGAGATCTAGAGACTGGGTTTTACCTGACCACATTCACAGTGGTAGTGAAAATAATCACTACCGCAATTTTATGTACCCAATGCTGTAGACAGCGAGCTGTTTCGGCCATATCATATGCCTCATCAGTACAGCTACGAGCTTTAAGTAAGTCGAGTTACCAGCCATGGTGCAAAGGAGGCACCACAGACAACTTTTGCTCTAGCGCCACTCGGAGTGGTCTAACAATGAAAAGAAGAATTGATGTATGCTAATGTATATGTATGGTTGCAGCTCGGTGAGAGTTGCAACTGAAAATTCAGACTGGCTGTGTGTATGCATAAGCAAGGAAGTATGCATGATGCCCTAAGGCTCTGGATGAGATTTGTCATAATCTTACTGTGGCACCTACTTCCTCATACTGAACTCTGATTGACTGTATTTTAGAATTTTTTAAGCTGGCGGAGAGTTCTGAAATGACTGGCCAACCGCCCTCTGCCAATCATAGTTCAGCAAGTGTTTTATTCTTGGCCTGCTAACGTCTGAACTCTTGTTGTTTCCGCATGAGGGAGGAATGTCTGAACTCTTGTTGTTTCCACATGAGGGAGGAATGTCTGACTCTTGTTGTTTCTGCATGAGGGAGGAGAAACAAGCCTGGAGAAGAAAATCTAAAATTCTGGCCATCCCAAACCCCGACCACCATCCCCTCCCGGAATGATTACTTTTATAGCCTATCCTGGCACTGAACTTCACACCTGACTCGACCACCATCCCCTCCCGGAATGATTACTTTTATAGCCTATCCTGGCACTGAACTTCACACCTGACTCGACCACCATCCCCTCCCGGAATGATTACTTTTATAGCCTATCCTGGCACTGAACTTCACACCTGAAATGACTGGCCAACTGCCCTCGGCCAATCACAGAGCAGCAAGTGTTTGCTTCTTGGCCTGCTGATGGCTGAACTCTTGGTGTTTCTGCAGGAGGGAGAAGAAACAAGCCTGGAGAAGAAAATCTAAAAATTCTGGCCATCCCAAATCCCGACCACCATCTGAGGAAAGTTGTCAACAAGTGTGAAATTCAGTAGCAGGATACTACAGGATACTATACTATAAAATTTCCTATGTATATTATTATTTCTTTGCTCGGATTTTCTTTCCAGCTTGCTTCTTCCTTGGTTTTATTGCCGCTGTCTAGCCTTCTCTTTGCTTGCAATGTCCGCCATCCATCTGAGGTGTAGGAGTCAAACATAGGGTAACAATGCCCATGGTCTTGAATGTGCAATTGGTAGTGGGTAGGTGATCACCAAGACCCAACAATAAATAATAATGCCTTTTAACCCTTTGCTGCCCTCGCATAATTGAACCGACACACGTCTATCAATTCGACAGAGCATTGAAAAAGCGACATTTTGATCAAATTGAGTTCGCTAGATTCCTAGGGATACTGCTTCCAGAAATATACATGACTGTATAGGTTTACTTTTGACAATCTGCTTCGTGTTGGAGCTATGAGTAATTTTCTTCCTGCTGGTCTGACTATGCCGAGAACGTATACATTTTAATGGGCAGCAAAGGGTTAAAGAGATGAAAATTGTGTTTCAAATTTGAAAACAACTTCCGGGACCGATACGATATTTGGCTGCATCCGGAGCCCGACTACGTAGAACGGCTGATCCTCAACTGAATATTCCACAGACTGCACAGCCTGCATTCCAGGTACATATATGTTCGGCCTGTTTATGATGACTGAAGTTGGCATATGCTGGGGTGCAGGTCACCTTTTTTGTTTTGTTTAACTTCACCATACGACTTTCACAAGTCAAACAAATACATTTAGGAGCATCGAGGTCAGTCAATGGTCGAGTCAAGTCAGGAGGAAATGCGCAAACTACCATTAAATTTTGGGAGCAGCACTCACTTTATATATTTTTAATTATTCCCGTAGCTATGCAAAAGAGGTTACTTCAGTAACGTCTGGCGCTAGCCAGGGTCCACACAGCTTTAGTGCCATCGGCATGCCTGGCGCTATCCCGTACCTGTCCCGTACCGTATCATCAAGGACAGCATCGCATGCCTGGCGCTATCCCGTACCGAACCATCAAAGACAGCTGGCCACAATATTCAAATAGGGCTTTCAAATGCAAGATCATAACGTGAAGCAATTTGGAAGAATGAGTATGTATGTGAAGTGTATCGGGGGAATGCATGCAGGGCGATAGTGCGGGTTCGAATCCTAGGTAATGTCTTTTTTTTTAAATAGGAGAAATGAAGAATTTATAACATCCCTATGCTTTTTTTTGCCTAGGTCATCAAGGTGGTGGACGGTATCGTATTACCCTCAAATGCAAAGAGAAAGTTGACTCTCGCTAGGAAAAAAGCATAGCGTAGGGCCCTGAGCTTAAAAGCTCTCTCGTTTTTTAGACTATATTTGAAGGATTCTCCAAAAGTAGATGGATACTTATCGGGGGAGTTTCCTGGAACGGTGGACGAGGCGAAAGGGAAGTGAAAAGGGACAAGGGAAAATACTAGGGCTCAAACGATTAGTCCGATTAACCGGTTGCAGACCGGTTACGAAGAATTAACGGTTAACCGATAAAGATAACGGTTACGCAGTAACTTTTCAGTCAATTTTTCAAGTATCAGGTCGTTGCAAAGTGTGCACTTTCGCGGGCTGTCGCACGCGTACGCAATTTCTGGGCTGTCAACTCGGTCATATCTGGTCTCTTGGTGTGAGAGTATGTATGAATGAGCATGCAAGAGAATGTACAAGTGTGCGTTCTACTGAATAGGGTACATTTTTTGAATGAATATAGTCAAATATACGGTTAAAAAAGAGTCCGCAGGATTGCCGTGGCTTATAGGTTATAACCGGTTAACCGACCGTTAGCTTAGCAGTTAACCGTCAGGGGTAAAACCGTGACCGTTTGAGCCCTAGAAAATACTTAGCAGAAACACTGCTCAAGGAAAACTACAGGTAAAACTCACCAGGGAGAAACAGAATACATAACGAGCGCTAGATACGAAAATCAGGAATTCCGGTCGCGGAGAATTTATACTAAAAAAACATCTACTATCACCAACGTCGCTACCCCTATGTCATTTTGTTGTCATTGTATTTCAGTCAGTGAAGTTGCATGTGAATAGATGACACACGGCAAATATTACCATGATGTCATTCTCTCTTACCATGATGTGATTCTCTCTTACCATGATGTCATTTCGATTTCATTGAGCACAATGAGCAAGCCTGCACACATAGGGTCTTCAGTCAAAGAAGCCTTGCACAGCTTGCACCCTTCCTTTGATGCTCATCGCAGTTTGTCAGGTTTGCACAGTATGCACCGCGGTGACCTGTCTAATTGTCACCCTACGAAGATGGTTAACAAACCGTCCAGAAAATGATTCATTCGTTTGCTAGGGGACACTTTCTTCTTCTAAATCACAAGCAAAGACAATTACTGCTCACTGCCATTGCTACTTTCCACTACCCATACACATGACACAGGCTAACAACCATGGACCAGAACCCTCAATCTAAGTTAATATTGTTGAACTTTGTCTTACTACTGTAGAACGAAAAGTTAAAGGGGAAGTTAAGGCAAAAATTAAAATTTCACCAGTTGTAGTCTTGTGACAACTTTCACACCAAGGTTCAACTCGAGTGACAGGACTGCACCCAAAAAAGGTCAAACAGGCTAGTAAGTTGTACCCTGCAGGCACGGTGACCAGGTGACTGGTGTACGCAGGAGCACGTGACCACTTGTTCAACCATATTCGATTGGGACTAAAGGAGGAACGCTGCATCGCAGCCTTTTCGGACCAAAACCAGTCGACTCAGCGTCCAAAAGACTACAACATATGGGCCAATCGCGGTCATCCGTGCTTTTATAAGAACGAAATGACGCTTTTAGTGACATTTTGCATACAAATCCCCATCTACAGTCCGTTTCAAAAAGATTTGGCGTCTTACCGTATGAGCACTCGAGCGCTGCCTGGAAAAACTCACTGTGAACTCGAAGAAATATTCCGCGCGAAAGCAGGAAAAATGACAGCTCACTCACGTTGATACAGTCATGTACATGTACGTCTGGTTTACAACAAACGAGGTCTTCCTCGTATCGATAATGGAGTCAGAGAGGACATGTCGAAACGAAAGTGTTGTAAATGTTGACGAGCGGCATGTGTCCCAATCCGTTTTGTGACCAAAATAGCTTCTTTGAGCTGCGATGCAATTTACTCACCGTGTGACGAAAACGACATCGACACGGACTCATTCCGAAGGCCATGACTTGGCAAAGCTATCCGTGTGACTTCGACGACATTTTGAGAAAAGCAGACGCTTGTGAACGCTGATAGAAGACGGCGTTGACTGCTAAATTCAAATAAATTGGCGATCTTGAAATACTAAAATAAATAAATTTCAAAAAGCTACAGCGCGATGACTTCCATATTCACTCACACCATTGCAGTGTTGTGGGTGTGTTCACATGGCGTGAGCCAGTCAAGTGTCAGTCAGTTCGGCAGGAAGCGCGACCTCGAACAACAAGTCGTTTGGTGCAGCCATCTTCTTGGTCTTGTACCAGCTTGATCACCAAAACAATGAAAAAAAAGTTTGACTTGAGGATAGGTTGGGATTTGAACTCACAACTTCATGGTCAGCAGACAGCATTCATAACCACAAGGCCAAAAAGGAAAGGATAAATCGTGGGTTTTGATAAAATTTCGATACCGGTTTCCTGGGCAAATTGTAAACCATGGGAAAAGGCCGGAAACCTGGCCGAAATTCTAACTCCTTAACGGTTGGTCCAATTGTTCCGAAACCTTCACAGAACAATTTGCCGTGTCCTAGCAAGCCATTCTATGTACTTTGTTGTCCAAATTTCCCTTATCTTCATACTTTTTAAGACCCAAACCTGATTGTAAATCTTTTTGAAACAGACTATAGTAGGGCGCAGTCACCCAGTTTCGGTGGAAGTGCGCGAGTTCGATTGGGATTCAAGTAGGAAGGGAGCGTCTCAGCTTTCTCGGACCAAGACCATTCGACTCAGCACCCCGAAGACTACAACTGGTGAAATTTTGATTTTTGCCTTAACTTCCCCTTTAATACTGCAGAACGGCTAGTTTTAAGCAGGTAAAATCTTTAGTTTTTTCTGAATACGGACCAATTTGCGACAAAATATTTTAGCAATGCGAGTTTCACAGTACTGTACCGTACATGCAAAATTTCCATTAGCGCGGCATAACTTCCTCTCGCTAAATTCACTAAAATATCACCGATGCTAAAATAACCCATTTTACAGTGATAAACTTCCCCTTGATCAAGAAATTTTAATTTGATAATAGAGAGGTTTAGCACAACGAAAATTCATTGAACTTTTCGTTGATCTCTCGAGCTGGGCACGTGTAACGGAACTTGCAACAAAAGTGGTATGAAGTTTCCGTAAAAAATTCAAATAACGAAGATTACTTTTCGTTGATTTGTGGATTTGAGTTATGTTTTTTTAAACTCAAATAGGGTTTACTCTGATTCGATCACGATTCACGGTGTTCCGCGAGTTTGCAGCGGCTTCTCCAACTGAAATTGTGTCTGCATTGCAGTCGAGAAGAAGTTTTGGCTACTTGCTTTGGCTCCTTGCTTTCATTTCATTTTCGTTTCGGCGAGTGCATTCCAGTGTGTATCCGTGTACATCACGGCGCCCAGTTGATCATGGACAGAACCTGAACGCCACTCACGATACCCACTCTGGCTGGTCGCTCCACATCAACCAATCCTAAGAAGAGAGAGAGAGAGAGAGAGAGAGAGAGAGAGAGAGAGAGAGAGAGAGAGAGAGAGAGAGAGAGAGAGAGAGAGAGAGAGAGAGGATCTTGTCTTTTTGTGTCCAGTAAGGAGCGTTGGAAATCTATTTTTCGTGCGGCATCTAACGTTGCATGTATCTCCGAGGAGTCGAGGACGTAGTGCAGCTGCTGTCTTTCCAGCGCTTGAGATTTAAGATTTGAGAGAAAAGGCGTCGCAGATCATCTAGACCTACAGTCTGTTTCAAAAGGATTTACAATCAGGTTTGGCTCTTAAAAAGTATGAAGATAAGGGAAATTTGGACAA